TGTAAGTATGAAGAAAAGGTTGCATTTTATGGACAGTGGAAAACGATAAGCCTCATGCCAAAACTCAATTTGATTGCAGTCCCAACAAATTCATTGAGCTATTTTTGCTAAAACAGCAAAATTTGGTTTTCGGTTGTGACAGCATCAGGCGGGCCAGATTGAATTACTTGACAGGGTGGATTTGGCCGCGGGTCGTAGTTTGCCAATGTCTTCTCTAACAGATGTGATAACAATGCCAGATTAATAATAATTTTCTGGCAGTGATGTTTTTGATACAATCCCTTTTTCTTCCATATTCTTTGTTTATTTTGATCAAAGTGGGGAGGGGAATTGTATAGGTAAGTTGGCTTGGGACATCAGCATCATACTCTTTTGTACATATTGAACGGTGCATACGGATTAGGTAAAATAATGAAAGGGTAACTCAAACAGGAAAGTTAAAATACAATTTTATCTTAATTTATTTGTTAACACAACTTCTGTCTTTTTTATGAAACTCCAATGTGCCACGGATCGGACGTGATAAATTCGACTATTAGTTGAAACTGAATCACTCGGTTTCTTCCGGATTTTCATCAACTGTCTTGAGTAGGCAGGTGTTAGCATTTAACAATGGAAGTTTCGTTGGCGTATTTCCTCATTACTTTGTTGAAATGCATTTACTACTTAATTATTTTTAATTAAGTATGAAACATTGAAGTACTCAATGTGATCAATTATCAATTATCCTTTCTCATGCTTGATCAGAAACTATTTTTGCTTAGATTAGTCAACATCCTGTAAGTTGAGAAATATTTTGCGCTGATGATAAAGCTCGGATGGAGCGTCTATGAATATTTCATATTGAGCCATGGGTGGTGTGGTCAAAATATAACTATTTGGCTGTTGCCACTAGTTTATAGTGTTCTGTCTTAGATAAAGCACAATATCAGGTTGGCATTGAGGATATTGTTCAAATTTTTGATTCATAATTTTTTTTTCAATTTTTTTTATTTCATTTCAGTACAATAAATAATAAGTGTGGGAGGAATAAATGGTATAGTATGTGGGTATTTAGTAGGTTTCGTTTTTATCATTATTTTTCTATAGGCTTTGGCTGGAAGTTTTCATTGTTTTATGTTGAAATAAGAAATTTAAACCATGTATATTAATATTCTCAACCTCGTTTATATTAGAATATATTTTCTTCCTTCAATTTTTTTTATGAAAATATAGCAGTATAAGACTTTTATGTAAAAGTTTGTGTCGCTAACCCTATATAGAAGATTATCTATTTTATTTTGAAGTTGATTGTGTTGATTTTTTCGTTATGTAAGGGTAATGTATCTATTAGTGGAGGTTAGCAGTTTGTTGTATTAATATGAAGCATGTTTCTCATCGAGTCATATAAGTGGTTGCTATGTTCGTCACATCGTTTGAAGTTACAATCCCAAAAAACATCATTGACTTGCTTATAAAGCCACTAATTCTGTCTGTTGTCTTTGCTGTTTCGTTGCAAGCACCAATTGACATTTCTTGTGCAATATCGTGGTATTTTCTCCACACTTTGTAAGAGATACTTTATCATGTTTTTTGATTTATTGTTTTTACATGCACTTACAAACTTGTGGTTTATCAAGTGAGGCCTTCGATAATCTACTTGTAATAAACAAGATCTAGCTTGATGAGTACGAATAAATATTTCGAGTTTAGTATTGTTATGTTTTGCATTCTACTTCTTTATTACATTGATCTATGTCCACGGTAAAATGAGAGATTTGCTCTAGTGCTGAAGATAATTACACTCGGATGCAATTTTTATTCATCAATTGTGCGTCACTTAGAGGCTTTGCTTATTTTGCAGTTAGTTCCGCGTAGTTTTGTTATTTGAATACCATCTGTTGTCTTCTTGAATAATGAACTGAATTGATCTATATCTTTTATAATTTCTTCATATCACGGACACTTTATAAATTAATGTGGTCTTGAAGCTGTTTTTCTTCTGTGTTTGAGTCGTGCATTTGTAAAGTGGTTTTATAGGAAGGCTCCTTGGATTGAAGAATCATCTGGTAGACTATTTGCATTTGAAGTGAAAGTGGCTATTTATGAAAAAGTCAAATATGAAATTATGCCATTGTTAAAAAGCAAGGATTGTGCAACCTATTTTTTCAGTTTTTATTTTTACCAAACTGTATTTTTTTCATGATGTTTGGAGGTAGCTTATTCATGACTAGGGAAAGATATTTGATTTTAATAATATCTGTAAAAATTTGATTTTACATATCTAGTTTACTGAATCAAATTTGAAAGACTAATTTGAGGGTAGTTTCTACTATAGTTTTGGACATCCTTGAATCAAGTAATTCTAAATTGTACTTTTATTTTTATCCTTGACACTGATTAAACAAGTTTTTTTGAGATTTCTTGTACGCTGTGATTTACAATTTATGATTATTGTATTAGTTTGCTAAAAATAGTACCATACTAAAATTATATGATATGATTGGTAGTATAGACTTAGGAGAAAATCATTATATATTATACAGTACTACTAATAAATGTTGCTTGACAACAAATTATTATTACCGGTACATGTGAATTATTTGATATGGAAGTTATGTTATGTAAAAGCTGATCTAATCTGTAACAATTTTTAAAATTCTACAGAAAGATCTTTGATTAGCAAACTTTTTTGTGTGATAGTAGCCTAAATAGAGTTAAATTCAGTTCGTTTTTCTAATTTGCCTTTTATTAGTTCATTTCTAACACATAACATTTAATACGTATGACAGTTTTACGCCACAATCAATTTTTATTTTCATAAAGTTTTCAGAAATTGATAATTTCTTTTTCGTGAACCATCAAGTTAATGATGCAATGCTAAATGTCATTTTATTTGATTTGTCTTATTATTTTCACTACATTACTATGGTAGCACAGATTGCTTAAGGGCATTTAAAGGTCACTCAAGTAATTACACCCTCTTGTAATAGTGTTATGCTTTGAAATGTATATTACTTCTTCTGTTACATGTATAAGATTAAACCTCAATTTTATTTGTGATTTGAGAGAACTAAAGTGTATTAGACAGGAAGTAGGTTGCATTAGAAATTAGAATTCTGTATTGTTGACTTATCTCAGAGTAATAATTTTCAGAGTTTAATGTAGAAAGTAATCCAAGACTATACGATTATCCATCTTATTACGGTAATATGTGGGTAGGTTTGATTGTAGTAGGCATGGGAAAAGCCATATTGTTGTACTGTACTATATTAGCATTGTAGCATATTACCGGTCCATATATGGAAACATAGAAAAGAAGATTGAATATTTTTAAAACGCCTAGTTCTAATCTGCTATGTACAGTAGCTCAAAGCACTCTGCGTTTTTTAAAGTATTCCATATATAGCATAGGTCGAAACCCTAACGAAAGTAAAATTAACTGCACCTTCATTCATCTCATCTTTAGTGGAAAGTCATGGTTTGTTTTGCTATATGCTTGATTGATGTTAATTACTTTACTTCCTGATGCTGTAATATCGGACCATTATGAAAGAAATATCCTTATAAATAGTGCAAACATATTAATATTTGTGTATCCGGAATCACATATTTTAATTTTAAATCAAGATAGATCATTATAGTCATCCATTGATTTAGCAGAAGACTTTCATCTTGAGGAAATATTTTTAAATTTTGTCTTATTATTTTTATTTTTGCTGGGGTTAAAAATAGCATGCCAATTATTGTTCAACTATAATTCGATTGTTATAATGTTATATTTTGAATTTTATTTTAAATTACTGTAATTGTCCATATTTACATGAGAAAAGGTACCAGATATTGTTATTAATAAAGATCAAACATTCGCTACAAGCTAATTTGGTGACTGTTCTTCTTGGAAGCCCCTAAAGTGACTGCTTAAAGACAATAGAGCCTTGTTAGGAGCTCAAAATATTTTACGAAAATTTTATGCAAAATTATCAGATGAATAAGGAAGTAAATAGGCCTTCTTCGTAAACAGCATATCTTTATTTTTCAATATGCAAACGAAGTATGTTTGAATTTGATACATATCTTTATTTTTCAATATGCAAACGAAGTATGTTTGAATTTGATACAAAAAAAATGTTGAATATTTTCATCTTTTTCTTTACAATATTTCAATCAAGGGAACTGTACACTTCAGCCAAGCATAATATAAGTATGGTTGCCTATATTAAAATGAAATTATACACGATAAGGACTTTTCAAGGAATTTCAGACTTTAAAATATCTGGTAATTTTACTATATTTGTTACTCAATGTTATAAAATTTATTATAAAATAATAAGCTTCCTGGTTCCGCCGTTGTTGTGGAATTACCACATCCAATTATTCCCTCAGCATCATTATTTTGCTGATGCTATGGAAGTATTGAAATGAATATTCATAATACAAAAGTAAATATATATTTTGTACAAAAGGAGGAAAATTTCTTTTATCAAATATTAAGAAAAACCCAATTTTTTGCATATAATGATATACCAGTCATTATATTACATGTGTGTGCTAAATGCTTGTGTGAAAAGTTTTTTGTCGTCTTCTTGGAAGGCTTACCCTAAACTTTTTCTTTTCGTTGCATATTTCGCACTTGCTATTATGTTACATATTTGCTGTTTATTGAATGGATTGTATTCACCAAGGTGATATAGACTATCAGTTTGGAGCCATAATGGCAAGAGAATTTAAATTCAGATTATAGGAATTACTTTTCTGTGAATGTTTTTTGACACTGATCTAAATAATATCTTCTGAATGAATTAATCGATTTGAGAAATTACGCTAGTTTAATTGAAAAAATTTAGAATGTCTAATTAGTAGGATGTTTGAAGGTCAGGAATTAACTCAAGAGATTTTATGATTTATCCACAGTCCTCTTGCCGAATGTGCACCTGTTATTTGCCCCAATTGAAACATAATTCTTTCCTGAGAAATTATCTATTATATTGATATTAGTTATTCCTGTTTTTCATTTGTACATTTACATTTCAGAAGTTAATATTCATTTGTTTAATTTAGTTTAATAATTTGGAATAAAAAATTGGGTCACACAAAAGTCACTTCCTCATTGGATCGATTTTTACAATATGCAAGGATGTTGCCTAAGTAAAATGAAGGCTCGTACATTATTCATTTCGCTGTTGATCGTTGTATGTTTAATCCAGGTAAAATACAAATCAGTGCTTTTTTATGATATAGAAATATCTTATTTATTCAGATTTGATCATTGAATCGTTTCGTTTTTTATAATTTCAATATTGAGGTCATAAATTGGGGCAAAAAGGGTACTAATAGAAGTATAAGATTTTTTCAAATTGAAAAATTCTATTTTATACTAAAGTGTACCAAACAACAGTAATATCATTATTTTAATAATGTTTTAATATTTAAACTTTGTTTATTTCATTCATAGTTATATTTCACTCCGTGCTGTTATAAAATTTTTCAATACACGAGTTATATCACAGTCATGGATCATGGGTCCATGGCATTAAAATATATTATGGTTTTCCCTGATTTTCAGTGAATTTGTTTTGTTGCAGCGGAATCCAATCTATTCAGAATACCAAATTGTGCTTACATCGACTCTTAAAAAATGTTTACTTTTGTGTGTAAGATGGGATATTTACTTTACTTTTTAAGATTTGTCATGGATTGGAAAAACCGACAATATCAAGTATAACCGCAACTGCGACTGAAATTACTGTTTCATGGACAAATGCATCTGCAGATAACTACAGCATTATTATAGTGCCATCGGATTCAGTCACATCATCCGCGGACAATATCCCACTCTCAGATATAAAGCTTAACACAACAAGTCTTCAAGTATGGTTTTTTAAATTTTATATCTTTTTTTTTTATGTTTGGTAATATTAATGGGATGACAATATGGTGAAATTCTTTGTGAAGCAGTCTGGGTATGTTCCATGAACACCTGACTTCTGACATATTCATCTGTTCGGGCCAAAGCACTACGGTAATTACTAATAAGCACAAGGAAATGAATTTCTCTATGCTTTCACTGTCAGTGATGCCATGATATGAGAGCACAACTTCCTGATTCATCAATTCATGATGCTGTTAATTTGGCTTGCATTCAGAACGGGAGTTCAATCGAATAAACATGCAGGATTACAATATTAATTAATATTTGATCACATAAATAAAGCATAGGCAAGCATACTTTGATTGCCTGTTGAGAATTCTTAGTCTACTCAATACTATTAGTGTTTCTGTCGGGAATTTCGTTTTTGAATATCAACATTTGAAGTTTGGGTACTCTCGTAATATGTGTACCAAGTTATGTTTGGGCCATAATTTTAGTCCGATTTTCCTTTTTTTAGTTCTTTTATGAGCTCAGAGACTGCCGTGTTAGCCAATTGTATACACCCTCTGCCTATAGTAGGCTAGTCAGTTGATGTGAAGTAGGTGAACAAAATTAGTTACCTCCATATTGATAAACTGAAGCCCGAAGTTTGAAATTTTATCTCTGACTTCAGAAGGATGCAATATCTCACTCCAGCTAAGACTCCTCAAATAACAGTATAGCCGAGTATATAAACTTTTAATATCACAGATAACATCTTCAAACGAAAGTGATGGTACCACTAGTATCTCTCCAAATAAAGAATACACAATCTCAGTTTTTGCTGTTAACTCGACTGCAAGTGAAGAATCTGATCGTAGGAACATATTTACTAGTGAGTAATGCTTGTGCTATAGTTAATTTATGAGTGGTTAATAAGATAAGTGATACTATACTATACTGTACGGTGACCGTACATTTGAACCCATGTACATTTGAACCCATGCGTATATCCACGGGTTCAATCTGTATGCGGGTGCTAAAACCCATGGGTTAGGGTTAGTATGGGTTTAACTATCCGTGATACAAAACAAATTCCATAGGTGCAATAGCATACAGGTGCAATTGTCATGGGTTCAAATGTACGTGGGTTCAAATGTAATGGAACCTACTGTACACATTCAAACATAAATCCTATTTAATGGAAAGTTTACAGCAAAAAAATTTGACTATATTATTCGGAAAAATTTTCAGAAGTTTCACAAAATCATTCGTGCAGTAAATTATGTATAATGTAGTATGATATACAATGCAATATACATACTAGTTAGACAATTTATGAAATTTAAATTTAAAATAATATCAAGTAACCTATCTATTTCTTTCCATGAAGATCACTTTTTATAAAGAATTGTGTCTGTGATAAATATCCAAGATGTTGATGACTATAATACTACCAGTACCAGGCCACCTACCAGCTGTATGTACACTTGCTTGTGAACTAAGCCTGCCAACCCAGCAAACATCCTTCATTTTGTGTGTAACGCTGTATTATATTTGTTAATAAATTGTCTCAATTTTTTCCAGAGTATGATCATTGCATTAGATTTAAAAAATGTTGAACACCGACCCCAGACTCTAATTTCTTAGTCCTGATTGAAACGGCAGTTTTTGTAATTGTTACAAAAAATAATTTTTCTCTTATTCCAGGACCTGGAAAACCATTAAACGTTGTCGTGTCACGATATGCAGAAAGTCCGACGGACTCAATTTTTGTCAATTGGACAGAGCCTACCGGTGGATCATCTTTCTACAATGTCACAATAAAATATACTAATGGCACAGTTGCCATTTTCGAAACTGATATTATGGCGACAAATTATACTGCAATTGGTTTGACCTCAGGTGTCTCTTACACTACAACAGTTGTTGCTGGAAATCAGAATAGAGAATTTGGGATTCCAGAAAATTCTAACATTCAAGGAACAGGTAAATTTTTTCAAATACAGCATCGTTTTTTTGTACTCCCTTTGTGATCATATTAATTTCAATTATTTTTTATAAATGCCGATACCAAATTGAAATTTAATCGTTATTTTTGATAATTTGGATTACATTTATTGAATATCCACAGAATTGGAAAAAAAATATATGAAGTTTATTATTTTGAATATGTGATTGAAGTCTTCACTGTTTTTATCACTGTTTAATTTGTAAAAAGGCTGTTTTAAGAATAATTACAGTGTCAGGTATTTTGCAGTTACGAATCTTCTCTGGTCAAAACGAATATCAAATTATTTTATAATGTTGGTTTCATTAAGTTTCACAAGTGAAAATCAAAAAATTGTCGAAAGTCAAGTTAATTTTGCTTCAAGTAAATATTGAATTGTGAGAAAAGTTCTACAATTTAGTAATATTTATATACATGTTGACCGCAAAAAACAGAACCAAGGGTATTTGTAACATATCCTAGCTAAAACATACTTTTGTGCCAAAGATTACTAAAACTTTTGGGTACAATCATACTCAAACAGAAATTCAAGTTTTGAATGAATGTTCTTTACTTTCCCAACGGTAATTAAAAATATATTTCTTCTCTTTTTTTATTTGGGTCACCCGTATATGGAAGCATCTGTCATTGTTCAATCTTCTTCTCTGATTTGTTAATTAACCATTTTCATTTTTCTTGCTATTTCAGAACCGTCGCCACCATCTCAGTTGGCATCTCCATCTGTTACTGCAACATCTATCAGCCTTACTTGGAATACCCCAAGTATGGGTGAATGGAATTCATACAAGATTTATGTAAATGGCAGTTCCTGGTCAAATGTTGATCCATCTCTCAATTCTAGTAAAGATTTAACTGCTGCAACCGTAACAGGGCTCAATGCTAACACTGATTACAGTTTTGAACTTGTTACAATCTCAGATGCAAACCTGGAATCTAAGAAATCAATGTCATATGTAAATGGGACAGGTAGGATTGTCATAATATCTTGTTGCTATATGAGACTATTCCATTTGAATAACAGAAGTTTTTTTACTACTCGTGTGCATGATGGCTCAGTGCAGAGATTTCCTGTTTCAGCTCTCTCTATTTCCCCCTTCACTATGCATGAAAACTCTCATTTTATTTTTTCAGTTTCTAAAGGATCCTAAGCTGTGATACATACGCACAACTTGTGCTCTGTTTTTAATTAATAACAATTTAAAATGTGTCCATGAATTTGTATTACCATAACACTAAATAACCAAACAATATTCCGAAAGCTACACCGAATACAAAGTTATATTTATGTATTTCGGTTGAGACCAATGAATTTTATCGTTGATTTTCAGCTCCTGGTTTGGCCACGAATATTGAGTTGATAAGAACTGTTGATAGGATTAGGTCAATGAATGTAAGCTGGAACGCACCGACTGGGGGATCATCAAGTTACGATGTATTATTATACGGAGGGGAAAATTCACCAAGCTATATGAGCAGCAATGAGTCACCAATTACTTTTTTTAATATCACTCCTGGTATAACGTATAATGCATCGGTGACAGCTGTAAATAAGTATGATATCCGTGGAGGAATGGCTTATGCTTCAAGTGACGAAGGCACAGGTACTAGAGAAAAATATTCTATTTCTTAATTAGAATATGGTGAAGATTTGATAAAATAAAAAAATGGTGTGTTCTTTTCTGTCCCCATGAACCACTTCTCTGTATTGTATGCTTATGTATTAGTATTTTATAATTTGAAAAATACAGGGTGACCCCCCCCAAAAGTTTGTTTTCACTTAACCCCCCAAAAGTTTAAGTAATTTAGGACGATTTACACAAAAGCTTGCATTTTTATCTCATAATACCAATTTAAAATATTAATCGATGCAAATAAAATGCAACAAATAATAACCTGAAAGAACAAAAATTATGAATGCTACCAATAGAAATAATTTCATGAACGTCCATTGAATGGCATTCAACAAATGCAAATTCTGTCAAAAAATATGAGCAAATGAATAATTTCACAAAGTAGTGCGGAATGCTGGGAATTCACAATGTTTCTCGCGATGTTTGGTCATGCTACAGTGTTGACACCAACAGCGGTTCACCAGTCAACTTTGAAATTGCCAGCCCTAGTCACAATGGTTGCTTGCAACTCTTCTGTCCAATTTTAGTTGGGGACTAGGGTCTTTGTTCCGTGCAATCTTGTATTATAATTTGCAAAGACTTAAATATCTTTATCCAGATTTATGTAAGTAATCAATTTTGCGTTTATTTTTCAGATCCCATTCCTCCCATTTCTCTCAATATTTCCCTGATTACTACGAATTCTGTTGTACTGACATGGGCACTCCCGATGGAAGGCGATTGGACTGGTTTCAATTTATTTTTCAATGGTTCTCTACATTCCAACACTGATCCATCTCTTCTTTCTGCAAAAGATCGAACCAATGTCACAGTAAAGAATCTTTCACCAAATTCTGATTACATTCTCACTCTCAGATCTGTGTCTTCGAGTAGTTATAGTTCTGCAGATTCACCTACTGTGTCATTCACAACAGGTAACTATTTGTGAATTACATTAGTTTTTCCATTTATCATAGTCACTGTGGAATTTATCATCTTTTTCAGCAAAATACAATTTTCATATTGACTTTGATTTGCTGCCTAAGAAATTTATTTTGGAAAGCTTCAAATTGAAATAAATTTCTATCAATTCAGTACTTTGAATAAAATCTAACAGAATTCCAAAGTTCCTATTTGATTTGAATCAACTTGCGTGTACATATACTCCTATCCTTAATGTATTTACATATTCTCTGTATACAAATGCTGCTTCATTTATATTTTGAATGCATTTGGATGTATTTACATAAGTATAATCTCATTTCTTTGTATCAAAGTTGAGAAATTCGAGGTAATTCACAATATACTCGGATTCCAGACTCATAAGTTACTCCTAAAATTGTGACTCCGGCACCACTTCCAAAATGTCCCAATCTCAAGTTTTTATAATAAAAAAAAACTTAGGCAGTTACAATTATTATTTAATGGGCTTCTAATAGGAACACTTGGCCAGCTTGACTCCCACTCCAATGAAAATTTGTCAAACTCCAACTCCTAACATCAATTCAAAATGCATTTCATGATCTTATTTATAAAATATTTCAGTTCCTCTGCCTGTCAGTGATGTGAAGATTGCGCAAAATTCTGCTAATCCTACGAACTCATTGGATGTGACTTGGACCGCACCAAACAACAGTGCTGCATCATATCTAGTTTTGTTATTCAATAGTTCTAGCACAGTGCCAGAGCATCACGCAACCGTTTCAACCACCCATGCTGCTGTTACTGGTTTGACACCCGGAGAAAGTTATTTCGCATCTGTGTATGCAAACAATAAAAACGACCTAAGGAGTGAAGTGGTCAACTCTACTGATAGAAATGGAACAGGTATATTATACTTCACATGTCATATTTTGATATTTTTTACAATAATCTCTTATTTTAGACATTTTTAATCAACGATAGCAGTTAGCAATGTTGTTTACTGACAAATTTAGTGAAGTAATATTTTTCGCATTAAATCTTTTTTTTTGGGTTCATTTTGGCTATGATGATCTCAAAAAAATTTTTTTTTTGTGAAATTTCTTTCAATTGTGAGCAGGGAATGTTGTGGTTATTAAGATTCTATAGATTTATTTATGAAAATTGATTTGAATCTGAACCCCTTGCACTCAAAAGTAAAGTCCAAGCAGAGTTATGACTGTCTATTGAAATAATTGATTGGGCTAGAAATAGGGTACTCCCGTTGTATGTGTACCAGGTTAGGGTTAGTTTTATTCCGAGTTCGGGGACTGTTTGTGTTAGCCAAGTGAATATACCCGTTGCCCATAGGCTTCCAGCTCTTTACACAACTTGATGTATAATTCAACAGAATAGGAGTTAAATTTAAGCATTACCCTTGTATGAGGCAGGTGTCACCATTTGCTTATTTATTTGTCTACCTTTACAAAATGAAAGGGTGGCCCTTGTAATAAAGGTTATACAGTGCAAATATGGGATTGTATCAGATTTAATAAACTGAACGAAATATTCCATGTCCTGCTCTGATCTATCTAATCTTGTTTATGTATTATGAAAATTCATTTTTCTTGTACAGATCCTGTGCCTCCAACCAACTTGAGAGTCAAGAGTTTTACCGGCATAAGCAATACAACTGTGCCTTTGATGTGGACGATTCCTGAGGGCTTATTTATAAGTTATAAGCTATATGTCGATGATTCTGTGTGGTATAATACCGATCCATCACTAAATAACACAAATACTGTTACTGAGGTCACTGTGAGTGGATTGAGCCCAAATAAGCTGCATAAATTTGAGATGACGACTATATCAAAATTGGGTTACGAGTCCGCCAAATCGGAACCTGATCATAACATAACAAGTAGGTTGTTGTTATTATTTTTCAAATATTTTGGTTTTGTTTATAGAATTAAATATATAAAATGCTTTGATGTATCAGAAATGTCCAAATAACAATCATATCATAAAATTGCAACACTGCATTACTCTGACTTATCTTTTATTTATTTATTCTCTTCCATCGCCATGGATGTTCTAATCATTCATTTTAGACATGGATTTTTATGATATTTGAAATTAAATCCAATTTTTTTTTGTTTCCGAATTATTTCTTTTGAGAAGTTTGTTTTAGACTTGGTATTAAACAGAATAAAAATATTAATGGAGTATTATGTGTCATCATGTCACATTGTGGATATTGCCTATACTTTGACTTTGAGTACTTTTATTTCGGTACTTCGCCAGTAACCCTGGCCTCCCCCACGCAGGAGGGCTAAAACAGTGTTTATAAAAATAAATACAAGTACAGTACCAGCACTATGAATGAATATTAAAGAGTTTTTGTGAATATCATATTTTGTTTTTAGTTTTTCGAAATCAGTGTTGCATGTTACTGTAAAATACTCGTACTAAAATAAACAACTGGATTTATTTTTGTCCAGGGTGACCACCCAAAAAACATAACCCAGGTCATATATTCTAAAGAGAATAAACTTCTGTGCAAAGCGTCTTAGATTACTGACACTTTTGGGTACAATCGTACACTAACTTTTGGGTCACCCTGAAAATTTTTCTTTCTCTTATTCATCAATTCATATTGTTTGTCATTTCAACTTTCAGAACCGGATGCTGTGTCAAACGTCACCATTCTCGAAAACATGAGTGATCGTGCACGTTCTCTCAATGTCACATGGTTAGCTTCTTCGACCGGTTCCCACTCTTATTTTGTTTCACTACTTTATTTGAACAATACACTGGAGCAATCCCAGAATACAAATCTTACCAATGCTATTTTCAATAACCTACTACCTGGAACAACCTTCAATGCGTCTGTTGTGGGATTAAACAAGGATAACTTAGTTGGGGATACTGTTGTTTATTCAGACTCTCTTTATGGGACAGGTTAGTATATATTTTTGGTTGAATTTTGAGTCATTATAAAAAATAAGTACTTTCTTGGTACTCCCGTAGTGTGTATTAGTGTTACCAGGTTAGGGTTAGGCCATAAATTATTTCATTCCGATTTCAATTTTTTTTTTCATTCAATCACGAGTTCGGGGAATTTTGTGTTAGCCAAGTGAATATACCCCTACCCATAGGTTTCAATTAGTTTTCTCCATATTGTTACACACACTTCTAGAGCGCCCTTCTCTGAATGCGGCCCATTACAAAATAACCTCGGCCATCCCATAATATATAGATGTTTTTTTTTAATCCATTTTTTGTATAAGTCAATTTTTGTAGAATCGTTCCAGGATTTTCGGGCACAGTTTTTTTTATCTTTGTTCAAAACCTAATCTGATTAGAAAGGAAATATTCAAACCTAAATAAATATTATAGCTAAATAAGCTAATTTTGTCTCTTATTAACAATAAGTGTTTTGTTTTCAGCACCTCTTCCTCCTGCGAATATTTCGGCACATTCCGTGACCAATTCTTCTGTTATCTTGAAATGGGTGAACCCAACATACGGGAATTATCACAATCTTAGTCTCACATCAGACATGGCGATACTTACAATGTCTCCTGTACTTGATGAAGCAAATATTACAGAAACGCAAGTTACAACTCTCGATGGGAACACAAACTATACTTTCCGACTTAGAACTGTTTCTGATTTCGGATCATTGTCTGAATCTATCTCTTCTAGAGTGCTAACCTGTGAGTTGCTTTAAATATTTAATTTTCGGTTATTTTTCAGCCTGTGTTTTTTTTTTCTGAACCTGTTTTCTTGATCGTAATAACATAAAGTGCTTTTATGTCTCGCATTAATCGGTATTTATTGTTTCGCAATTCTACAACCCAATTCTTTAGTCTTAATAACGGCAGTACCCTTTAGTGTTTTTGGTGGTTGCTTTCGCTCACAGATCAATCCTAATTTCTGCGCGAGTGTGTTCGTTTTGTTTCGAGTAAATTTCCTATAAACAAGGTTCTCAAAGCAGTTTCATCTTTACATTTTAAAGTTTTCCACTATTTCCAATTTTCTTGCCGAAATGAATCTGAATTTTATTTGGAAAATTTGATAAAATAAGTAATTTCACTGAAAAGTTGTTAGTACTTTCCGTTAGTATGTAACAGATACTATTGTCAAAATTGCTATTGTTGACTCATGATTTCATTCAAAAAATGTTAATTTCATTCATTCAGCTGTGCACTGCAATTTGAACAAGCGGTATTCTCAAAATATTTTTTCAAATTCATCCAATTGTGGATTTATTTGAAACAAAGTCCTGATGACTTAATAAGTATAATACATAACTGTATACCAAGACGATGACGTACTGGTTGTTTTGTTGAATTGTTGTTTTCGCGATAAAATTATGGATAATTTTTCTGATACTGCTGGACCAACAGTTTCCAAATTATCAATGATGAATGTTCTACGTAGAATGCTATTAATTTTTTTTTTTAATTTATCTACTTTGTTTCCTGGGACTGGTGTTTTACCCACATACTGGTATTTTCAAACTGCAAATGTAGTTTTTACATATTTATTTCTGTGAGTTACCCGTGCTTGGTTGGCTGTCATATATCACGTTAATTAACTTTGCTGTCTTTTTGTTTAGTGCCTGATCGTCCACAAAACACAACACTGGACACTCCGACTACAAATGCATCCGATTCTCTGATTGTAAGCTGGTCTCATAGTGGTGTTGGTTTGCATCAAGAAGTTGAATTATGGTCAGAAAAAAATAATGATTCTGTTTTAACTCTATCAACATTGCCTAACTCTGAAAGTAGAAAAAGATTTAGTGACCTGGTACCTGGAGAATTATATAATGCGAGAGTCACTCATGTTAATGCCATGGGAAAAGGAGAAACTGCCTATGTTGAAACTCCACGCAGAACTGGTAATTGATGTTCGTTTGTTTGTTTCATGTGAATGGACTCAAATTAACAATTTAAAACGTTCAAAATTTGTTTTTACTGTAGTTTGTTGAAAATTATTATTTAAATATTAAAAATGATGAAATTTGAAAAAATAAAATTAAGTTATGATTAAAAGATAAAATGCCACGTTTTGCTACCTTGGAATTAATATGGAAAATCTTGATATTGCCACACTTTTATTGAACTTAGAATAGGATTTTCATATTTATTCCGGGGAGAGGAAATCCTATAATAGCGAATAATCATATTACAAATGATATATTACATGATCTTACATTAATAATTACATTACCAGTTTATGTCTGGGATTCGAATAGTTTACCACTTAGTACCTATTTTAGATGCATAGACTTCTTTGCTAAATATGGACAGACTTCTCAGTATGTATATTAAATTGAAATGAAATACATCTTTCCAAGTTTCCAGGCTAAAGTTTCCAAGCGGAACAAACTATTTTTCAACTTTAAACTTTTTTTGTTCAGAGCCTTTGATGCCGGTACTTAATAGCAGCATTGAGGTCACGGCCAATACAGTTTCACTTTCATGGTCTTATAACTCCAATAATAAAACATATGTGCAAACGGGATATGAGTTGATGGTCAATGGAAAACTTCATTCTAATACGACACCGACCTTAGCAATGTACACTGGCACAAATGTAGTCGTAGATGGCCTGTTGTCAAATAATGGATATAACTTTACGCTTGTTGCAATATCTGGACCAAGCTTTGTCGCAAAATCACACTCAGCACATGCAACATCCTATACACGTAAGCTATTTTTTAAATATTATTCGAGGTCACAATGCATCCTGAACAAATCGATTTTTTATTCAATTCAAAATAAAATTAATTTTAAAACAATATTACAGTAAAACCTAATGACTTTTATTATTTTCTAAAATATAGTGATTCCATGAAATCGTTGTTCATCTTGAATTCACAAATTTTAACTTTTCAAATTTAAACTAAATTTACCCCGACTTCCATGTATTTTTGAACAAAGTTATTCTGATAAATAGTTTTCATAATTTCTGATTTTAAGAGAACTTTAGGACTATTTAAAAAGGAAATCTACATTTTATAGCATATTATAAATTTTTTGCTCACTATTAGTTTTATAGGCCTATTATAGATAATTAACAAAATCATGATTTGCTACCAATTTTATTCTCCTGAAATTTGGCATAATACTCAATTGGCAAACTGGGGCCAAATATAACCCGTAAAACAATAATAATAAGATCAGGGGTGTGCAAGGTTTTTGGACCAGGGGCCAAACATTTGCTCACCTAGACTGGCATGCCATGTAAGTGTGACGTTAAAATTTACATTTTATGAACAATATTTACAGTGTTACAAAAGCAAAAGCGGAAAGCAATAAGCCTCTTGCCAAACTAAATCCAATCGCAATCTCAACAAATTTCTTTTTAAGCTATTTTCAGCTGTAACATTAAAAATTGGTTTTAGTTTGGTTGTGTCAGCATCAGGCAGGCCAGATTGCATTGCCCAACGGGCCGGAGTTTGCCCATGTCAGATATAGATCTATTGATTCCCAAAATGCATTATATTCAATCTGTCTTCTAGTTATCACCGATATCTTTGAAATTCTTGAGTAATTAATATTTGAATATGCTGTATATTCAAAAATCAATTTTCTGAAAATTCCAAATTACTATAATGTTATATTATCTGTTTAATAAATTTGAATATTATAGCCTACTATTACCATATCCATCCATACTACAAAGCCGTTTATTGTTTTTTGCATAATAGTTTCCGGGTCCGGCTTCATTAATCTCTCCCACTGTATTTTTTAGTTCCTGATCCGCCCACCAATGTACAAGTCATGAGAAATTCTACAGACAACACTACCAGAGTAAGTCATTTCTAATACTCAGTTATTAATCGACTGAATTTTTACTTAAATATCAATTTTAAATGCCCTAATCCGTTCCAAGCCCGCACAAAACTCTGACATAAGATTTGTATATATTATAATAATGATTAAAACCCATAACAAATACATTACTTTATATTAGTATTTTATATTAAATAGAAAACGTACACATGGAAAGAAGAAGAAACAGAAAAATAACGAATAAAAATTATGAACAGTATATTTGTGTACCTTTACATGCCATCGTCATAATCAAATGAGTGAATCCGATATCACTCAATGATGGAGAATTAAGACCGTAAAACCTGTTTTATTTAATAGTCTGATTTAAATATTTCATGTCGGCTGTTAGGATAATATTTTTGCTTATGATTTAATACCTCCAATTTTATTGTTATCAACGACGTCGGGATAACGATAAAATCCGCGATATATTGAATATCGAAATCCTTTCATGCCAGCTGTAATTTATTGCGGCTGCCTTCGATTGCTATAAAAAATAGAATAATTGTAAAATGTTTCAAATCAAAACTCGGACGACAGCGCTAGGATATGTTCGCCATATTCGGGCTTCTTATAAACACCAAAGAACGATATTCGAAGGTTGCGATATTCTAACTTTAAATTTGATTCGGATATCCCTGCATTAAATCAACCTAGACCAAACAAATATGACTACATACATTTTTCAGTTTTCGGCCTTTTGTATGTAGAAATTTTTACGTTAGTCGAAGCAATATTTTTACGAAAATAATTTTTGTAAGATTGGATTTTTCGTATCCAGAGCTTTTCGTAGGTAGAGTTTCTACTGTATCTAGCTATTTTGATCCCACAAATTTACCTATTTTTTCTGCTGCATTGCCTTCATTTTTTTAAAATTCTGGGATTGGCTAAAACTAATTAATCTACTATTCTAAATGCGCGCAGAAGAATATTTTTCAATTGTTCTGAATTGAACTATGTTCAAAAAAACACACACTCCTATTCAATATCTATAAATTTGAGAATCCAGGAAATTTAAGATAAGTTGTTTTCATTTTTAGAAATGATTCAAAAGCTTTTTATATGAATCATAATTTTTTAAATACTACGGTACTTCCAATATGAAGAATTGAATATAACAAATTTCAATTCAATTTGAATGTTCGATTCACTTTAGTTCCCAATGTCAACTAGTATGCTAGAGTGACAACACAGTGATTGGAAAAAAAAAAAATAACACCGCTGAATAAATATATATTCTACTATTAAAACTGTTGGCTTTATACTACAATACCACAAGTCCAGTTATTCACTGGAATATGCATTTTGCTGCGTTACTGATAGTGAGTGGGAAAAGCTATTTTGTGACATCATAAAGGAAGTACACTCACAATATTTTTATAATTAAATTTCTACTGATGTTTCCAGAGTGTTTTGATCATAAACTATAAACATAAACAGCAAATTTACTAGCAAATTAGAAAAAATATAACTGTGTTACTATTGAATAACCATAGCCATAAATTGCTGCTTTGATATTCGTAACAAATATGTGGGAGGGAATTCCATATCTATTCAGATTTGTGTTCTAGAATTCTGATTCTACTTTTCGGCTGTTCATTTTGTAAAATATTACAAATTGATATCAATGCGAAAAGGACAAAATTTTCCGAAAAATCGTTATTATAGAAAGTCAAAATTTAAAAAAAACACCTTCATTTTACTATAAATTTTGTTTGAAAAAATCTCTGGCACACATCTCCTGTACCTTGAAATTATTTGTATTAAACCTTGTAATTGTATTCTTGCTAGATAAGGATCAAGGATCAATGTATTTGTATATCCTATTTCAGGAAATTGTAGTCTGATAGTGCATCCTGTATAAAGCATTTTACAACATGATATCAGTTGACATTTCCATGATTGAAATTTTAAAACACAAAATGTGGTCAATTATGAACCATTGATAAATCATGTTATTAAAGTGCGAAATACGTTTGGTCCATGTGAAACGAATATTGTTCCAAAATTATATCAGACATCAGGGTACTGAACTGACAGAAGCAGTTCAAAAGCTACCTTCTAAGTATTCAATACAGACCTCATCTGATTTTTTTATTTTGGAGCTCCAGCCCCTTCAAATTTGGAAACTTGAAAGTTTTTTTTTTGTGTTTAAGTAACTTTTTGTAGAAGAGTTTTTATCATTTGATCATTTCTGCACTTAAATATATACAAAGGGAACTGTGCTGCCATATTTAACAATGTGAATAGCTGTCCTGATTTGTGAATAATAACTAGGCGAGAAGTTCAATGCCTATTTTTTGCGATTACTCATTTTCCACAAATTGTTTTTCTGTCAACTCTTTCACCACAAAGTTAGAGAAACTGAATTATATTTAGGAAAATTATATTCATTTTTTGAAAACGCTATTTTTTGAAATTTTGTGTACTGAACTTTGGTAAAAATAGCCGAGTAGCCCGAGGTGAAATTTGATCAAAGATTACACACATAATATTACATGGAACTCCTATGACACAGAGCAAGAAATTCAAGCCCTGACATATTAAGAGTTTCAGGTTCCAAGTCTTCAAATGATATGTGTAATAACAAATTTAATTTTAACAAAATAAAATTTGAAACCATAGTTAATTGAAAATATGCTTTTTAAATAATCAATAAATAATAAAATGAAAGCTTCATTAAATATTTTTTTAATTCTAAATTTCATAGTGTTCATTACACTGTAATGAATATTTATTAAAATATATCGTAGTTTTCTTGCAAATGTATTCAAAATCTGAATAATTTGCAATTTAGTATTATAAAACGCTTCAACTATTACAATAGGGGCATCTCTACTCGCAACAGCAACAAATGTAACAGCTAAACCTAAAAATGTCACCACCAAAATCAAAACTAACACAGATACGTCTTTGATACTCTGCCCATTCCTGGTGAATAATGACAGAAGGTCAAAAATGTCCATTTCTGGGTAATAATCCACTTTAGTTTAGGTGCAACACATCCAGAAAATATGCCAATGACTCGTATTTCCAATTTAACACAAATGGAATTTTTGATGGAATTCAGGGATATTCCACTGAAACACGGTGCTTTTTGTGATATCAATACTTTCAAAATATTTCAAAATAAGTTTCTTGAACATGCGTACTAGTTATATTTTACTAGACTTCATTGATTTTTTTATCTTTATTCGAATACAATTTCTAGCTTTAAGAAAATACTGACCTAGTTTCAACACACATTATCCTATTGTAATTGAACAATGGGATATCTTCTCCTTATTGATTTCAAGATTTGATTGTCTAATCAATGAAAAGCTAATAGTAGTAGAGAAAATAAAAACACCTTGATCATTTTGTCATTGCTGTAGTTTAAGTAGGTATAAGTAATTTTAATTGCTAGAACAACGGATACATTTAGCAATTTTTTGTAGTTTTCTGAGAGTAAATGAGGTGTGACATCAAAATTGAATCAAATGTATTATATTGTCATCCATTGCAATATGTATTTTAGTCTTGTTATTAAACTTTCAGTTCTAAATGAAAGCTTGTGATTTTCGATGGGCTAATAAATCTATTTGTTACAGCTCATCATTTCATTTACACCACCTTTGAATGGTGCGGACTCTTATTTGGCTTCTGTGAATGGACTACAAGCAGAAGGTGGTACAAGTCCTGTTGGTACTTCATCATCGATAAGCGTGGACGGTCTAGTTCCTGGTGCAACATACAGTGTGTCCGTAATGTCACAAAACAGAAAGGGAAGCAGTATTCCAACAGATATGCAATATATAACTATGGGTAAGTCGGCGTTTTATGGTATTTATGAATTGCCGCTGTAGAACTAATTTTAGTAAAAATTGCCATTTTTGTGATTCTATTGTGATTTTGTGTTCTCTAAAAATGGACATAAAGGCATTACTTTAAATTCAAACTAAAATAGGTGCGGTTTTGAAACACAGGACAAAAGATGGACCTTGGTCGATATTGGAAAAGGATCAAAAAAGTCGTGTTCCTGAAAAATCTGGCTAATTAATTCGGCTTTACTGCTGCAAAATAAACATTAATAAATGACTTTCTAAAGTTTTTAAAGAATTCGAACGGAAAGGAGTAAATTCTGGAAAATTAGATCTCTAAGTAATTCTGACGAATTTGAAAAAAATTTGATTTCTAAATATAGAAGCTTATCATGGCAGTAGGTGCTTGCCCAGAGCCTTCTTCTTAGCTGCTTCTTCTTAGTTTAGCTTGGTCAGATATATGGATATATATGTAAATTCGGGTAGTGCTACAATGGCATTACTGTACCTAATGGCATCATGTAAACTTATCAGATATCACATTTAATAATTGGAAATATCATATGTTCTTAAAATAGCTATATGCTATTTATAGACCTTACTTACGATACTTTGAGGATGCTTTTTACAATTTTCTTAGCACCTTTTGGAATGGACAATTTCAGAGTTTCGGATAGATCACAAACAACAATGAATATAACCTGGACTCTTCCACCTAATTCAAAGAGGGATACAATAGTAAGTTTCCTATTTCAATTGACATTAAAATTTGTATGTAATTTTTAAAAGCATATTTTAGATTAATTTAAAATTTAGTAAAATAAAAATACTGGAATATGGAGAAATATTTATTCTGATAGCAATTAGGTGTTCACAGAATGTTTGGGTATTTATATCCGGTAAGGTTTGATATTTCTTGCCTATGATTTTCTGTAAGTACGACATAGGTAAGGGTATCGCAAATTATTTAGAATTATCTTAGTACTAATATTAACAGATTTATTTTATTTTAGAAACTGGCGTATTCTGTACTTGGTGAGGAAGCTAATGCAACAAATTTGGATCTCAACATCGACTCCGATTCATACAATTTGACTAATTTAACTCCGGGACAAGTTTATACTGCTACCGTTATTGCTGTTAGCAATAACACCAATAGCAAGCCTGCAAGCGTCGTTTCTCGAACTAGTATGTATTTCTTATATATCAAAAACTTTTTAGTTTTGTTGTTTTGTGTTCTAAATTTTTCCTAAAAAGTTCGTTTATTTCAACGTAGTAGAGTAACCCTAGTAGACACCCATGGACGAACAAAAACTGGGCGACTTTCTGAAAACTTCGTAGTCTTGAATTTTAATTCGAACTTCACGACAATATTGTAAAACTCTGAGACGCTGATTTGAATAGTCAACAAGTTTATAACAATATTCATATTTTTGTTTTATCAGTTCCTAGGCCTCCAAGAAACCTTGTATTTGTCGAAACAACTAACAGATCAATTGAAATCAAATGGGATGAACCAGAGGGAAATGTCGTCTATGGAAGATATAAAATACGATATGCAGAAGTTACTGAATTGATCTTCAATATGTTGTACAATGAAACGTAAGTTAAACAGAATTTATATTCACAATACTTAGTTGGGGTTCGGGTGAGCTGTTCCAGGAGTTCGATGAAGGTCCTTAGAAATAATTTTAGCCTTTGGATTTCCAAAGTTGCAATTTTTGCCTTCATAGTTTTTCCCCTTTCCAGTCGCACAAGTTTTTTTCTGCCATGAAGTCACTTGCCTTATACGATATTGTGGCACAACAAAGGTTATTTATACACAGTGTATCGGTATCTAAGGTTACACCACAATGATCATGGTGGTTCCAAGTTTGTCGAAACAATTCCGAAGATTTTTTACATGAAATACTTCAAACAAGAACAAGACCTGTTGGGAGAATTATGTGTAGTCGTTTTCTTGTTGCAATTTAGGTTGCCCTATACCGAACAAATTCGCACTCTGTATATTGAAGGCGGTAAGGAGTTCGACAAAAGTAACGTCACGGTACAGCAGGTCAAAGTAGAGTACAGGGTACAGAGTCAAAATTTTTTACTAGAGTCGTAGTCACTAAGCGAATATAAAAAGTATAGTTTGCAACTCACCTCTAATCCCTGTAAAACTGAAGTCAAAGACACAATTTTTAAGGATAATTCCATTATTATAAAAACCTAATGGTTTCCATTTCATCGCAGGTATGTGGACAAATCAACAAAGAATTTTACGATAAATTCACTGAAAGCTGGAACATTTTATCAAATCAATGTATCTGTTGAATCTAATTTAACTGTAGGAAGTCAGATTGTGCCTGCAACTTACAGTGAAGAAGTATCAATATCTCCTACAACTCGTAAGTTACTCTGTCAGATGGAAGTTTATGTACTTATGTTGAGCATGGAATTGTACTGTTGCATTTTTTTTTATTTGTGTTCAAAGCAAAAATTGAGAATCCTTGCCTTGAAATCAGGGGGTAACTGATGTACTTGGGATCATATATAGGTTTATCGATGCATGATTTTTGAATAATTATGCATCAATCATAGTGATAATGGGAAGGCATTCCACAAAGGGTAAATATAGGATTTTTGAATTTCCATTTTATGCCATGTTTCTACATTAAATGTTTTTAATACGCAAAATTTAGAATGCTATTTAAACAATAGAGCAAGGCTGAAACATATGGATACGGCCTTCGGCACTGGTAAAATTTTAGCTGAGCACTGGCTCTTTTGAAAAGATTAGGGAAGAATGAAGTTTACTGATAATTTTGCCATGAAATGTTCCCCCATTTATTAGAGTAATGTGGTAAAATTTTAGGCAAGTTGTCGGGTCCCATTGGACTCTAATTAAAGCGATAGATTTCTGTGACTTTTTCCATTAAGTAATGAAAATTTGAAGTTAATTAGTCTATTAGTTGTCAGGAAGGAGAAAATTTTTCCTTACCAACAACAACCCAGCAAAATCGACAATTTAGCAAAAAGATAAGTCCACTTAATGTTCAAAAAGCTAATTTTAAGAATGCTGTAAATTAAAATCGATTGCATTGCAAAATGCAAAGAAATTATACCATTATCGCATTATGTCAAATATTGCTTCGTATAATTTTGCATTCCTGACTTTGATGCTTATATTATGTCTGAGAGTCATTACACAGCATCAAAAAATCAAATAAGTGAAAAAGACGAATATTGAAAACCCCCAAATATACAGACATAGGCATTCTATTCTACTCATGATTTAATATTAAAAATTTACAAAAATCCAATTTCCTCTTTTCTATTTGATAGACCCAAATCCTGTCAAAAATTTGACACTTCGACAACTTGCTGAGGATCCAACCAATGGAATACAGGTTGTTTGGGAAGATCCGAACGGTAATAAAGAGAGACTCGAGGTTTGTTTCAATAATTTCATTGAATAGTTTGAGAGTCAAAGATGTCCTAAAAATTTGGTTCGTTAAAAATATGACATACTTTTTGATAAAAAAAAACATAATTTTTAATGGAATTATATACTCAATTTTAAGTTGACGGATGTAAAACTATCAGTGAATTTAACACTTTGGAATTGTTGTTCAGATAATATATCATGCAAGCGGTGCTGAAAGTAATCAAACAAGTCCTGTGAGTCAAGGGGTTAATTCTCAAACAATTACTGACTTTATTCAGCCGGGAACAATTTACAATGTAACTGTCATCACAATCAGTGGTAGTTTCAGGGCTGAAGTAACAAAGGCAATAAATACAAGTTAGTTCAATATTTCTGAAATATTCTGTTTATAGTTTTGATGGAAAATATTTAAGAAATCTGGGTTTTATATAAAATAAGTGTTCGTTCATTACATGAAGATTGCTTTGCTACGGTAATATCAGGATTCAAACCAAGTTCAGTATTATTTTTTTATGACGCATGATTTTTGTTGACAACCGATTGTAATTTTAACATTTTAACACCCATTATCTGAGTCGAATTTTTTTTCCCCATTTGCATCCGTCGATGGTAAATTTGGCTGGGCTCCTACCTTGAGCCTTGGTTTGAACATCCCTGATTCGGATGTTAGAAATATTGTTTTTATTTGCAAAAAAATCAGCCACCTTTGCAATGAAATATCGTTACTCCCGTAGTGTGTGTACCAGGTTAGTTTTAGGCCATAATTTTATTCCGAATTTCCTCATTTTGGTTTTATTTGGGCCGCCAACTATCAAAACTAAAAATCAATTTTGCGGCTTTTTCAGATATGAAAATTCCAACCCAAATTGTCAATGCTCTCTTTTTCTCATCAATTTTTACTTTTTTCTTATTTCAGAGCCTGCTGTTCCAACAGATTTTAGATTCACAGATATTAAACAGACAGGTTTAAGCGTTGCATGGAACAGACCCACTGGTGGGGCAAGAGGATATCAAGTATATTGGAAAAATTATACAGCTTCTGAGTACTCGGTGAATACTGCATTTTAATAATTATCATGATCTTCTGATCTGATCAAATTTTTATATTTTCACAACATTTTCATAGCAAGTTGCTAGTCATGCTGACAAAATTAGGTTTAGAATTTTTTTTTTAATGGAAGATTTTGGACTTGAAATCAGGACCACTATTTTATGTACAATTTTTTATAATTCTTAAATCATAACTTTTGTCACATTTTATTATGATATGAAATATCTGATTTCATTTATATTGAATTTCACTTTAAAAATTGGGAAGAAATAAAAATGTTATGTTGCAGTGTAATAGAATTTTTAAGAATTTACTACATTACCTGACTAATAAACCGACTTGATGAATAAGTCGAGGCCACTTTTTAGCCTAAAAAATGATTGATTTTTCATATCACCACCCAATAAGAAGAGGCAGAAAAATTGTGTTAACTTTTTTCTATGTTCGAAGATTCATAAAACTGACGGAAAGAGCATATTATTGTCCTTCTCTCCCGTTATTTTCTGGTAGAAAGTTAATAATAAGTCGACCACAAATAAAGAAACTAAGCCGAGCTGTCCAATGAGCCAATCCCAGAAAATTAGAGTAAAAAAATCAGCTTATCAGCCGAAGTTTTCAGATTATAGGCTGATTTTTTTAACCCAATTTTTTTGTTGTTTCTGTTTGTCCTAATCTCTATGTAATATACCATTTCTAGAGCTCAACATTTCTTCATGAAACTTCGCATCATATACTGTTTTTGTATCCACATTATCAATATGATGTTGCAATACAAACAGTCATCACTAATTATCTTGGAAATGATGATATGAGTGAAAGAATTAATATCACTGAAAAGACACTTGCTGCTGGTTTGTACTTGATTAACAACTACCAACAAAACAAATTGCACATTTCTACTTTTGTGTGTCAATTGCTTAGAATGACAAAATAATTATATGAAATGTGCTCTGTTAGCATATAAATATATAAATACAAAAGAACAATGCTCTAATATATGAACACTGTTTGGGAATTGCTGGTCTAAATAAAATTTGTTTGGTGTAATTGCAATTTTATCTGTTTCTCATAAAAATATTTTGCATTCTTTAGCTCCATTTGTCAACGCTCCTCAAGACGAAACTATGCAATATGAGGTTACCATGGATACAGCACAAGTGGTCTTGGATGCCAATAGATTTGATGATAGAAATGGACCAATTGATTATGTCTGTGTGATTGTTACTACTAGCAAAAATAGTAAGTTGCACTAGAATTTCAAGAATGGCTAAAATCGAATCATTGACTGTTCCAAACATTTTTATAAAAATATTTTTAGGATGGAAAGTTGAACATTATAATCAGGTTTCTTCCAACAGATATTTTTTTGTGAAATCAATCTTGAATACGACGTAATAAGAAATAATAAAAATACACAAATAAGTGATAAAATAGTTAATTTTGAGGGTTGACTTTTGTATGTCAACTGCCTGTTTTAGACAAGTGAATACCCCCCTACCCATAGGCTTCATTCCTTTTACACAATTTGATATAAAGTAGGCGAACAAAATTAGTTACCTCCATATTGGTACACACACTTTTGAAGCGTCTGGAGCAATTTTTATGAAAATTTATCATCGCAGGTTAAATCTCCGATTCAAATCCCATGCCCATCACCACACCCAGGGTGATGTTGAAGGGTACGCAATGCCGAACTGGAAAGACCGTTACTTCCAAAAATAGTCACTCTTCAGTTTTTGTCGATAATTTCTGCAAATTCATTCAATCTTTTATAAGTATCATTACAATCCACTCAATTAACTCTTGAAAGCTGAAGAAAAAAATGTCTATGTTAACAACTCGACATATTTGTGAATATAGTAGCACTTTGAAGTGCTTTGTTTAGTTAACTTGTCACTAAGGGAAGATTTACATATTATAGAAGAAATACGCCACCAGAATGGATTGGTTTAAATTTAATATTAATATATTTAAATGGTTCTGATGTCTGCGTTGCTATGATATATTCACTCCCACACTAATAAAATCCCACATTTGAATGTTATTACATTCATTATCAAATTCGAGCTATTCTATATTGATAGCAAATTTGTAAAAGTAGTTTTTTTTATGCCAGAAAATTTGATTACTTGAGTTTGTGAAACGTGCAGTCCTGTTCATGTTTTCAGAATAAAGGTTCAACTGAATACGCTCACACTTCTTTGTTAAATTAGCATAACACACAACATATACGATTACGGCATTAGAACATCTTATCTGTTGATGCAATTGCGACACTTTAACATTAGACAGAATAGTACAATCAATTCTTCGGGTTGTTAGTTGATAAGGCACTATTATTGGCCATTATCAACACATTCAAATTAAAATTTCCGTCGAACATTGTGATCTTGAACATAATTATGACAGCTGATGGTCAGACAAAATAATGAATTTAATTTAATTTCCAATTTGAAAGCTGTATTAAATAAAAATTGGTAACAATGATTTGTTACGATCTTCACTTTGTCAGAAAATCCCTACCCTGACACCTCGAAGAATGAAACTTGGAATAAATTCGATGTTGGTGGAACATTTGAATGGATTGCTGAATGGAGGAAATTCACTCCTGCTCCTAAGTCAAACAGAAGTAAAAGAAGTTTGGAAAACCCGGTCGGAAATAAAAAAGAAGTTGTAAGTATTCAAAATGATTACCGATAGTTCATTTTCCCTGTCATAATAGGTAGGTTTTCATAGCTCTATAAATTTCAAATGCTTCTGAGTTCTGCGTCGAAAAAATTGTCATTGCCTCATTTGGACTAGCGTCTCCAACCAGAATTGATTGGTCGCTTGTTACCTTGCTCTGACATGAGTATCATTTACTTTCGATTGAGTGTGATTCTGATTAAATTCTGTTATGAAATAATATGATTAGTTTCTAATGAAATCCCATGACCTCTTGCTCAAAGCCTTATTCTATTATATTTAAATCCAGAAACAATTGATTCGCTGTTCCAAATGCAGTATTAAAAGTAGTTTTGAATATTGTATATATTCTAAGCAAAGCCACAAAAAACGAAGATACCAATTTGATGAAATTGACAAAATAGCACCACAGCGAAAGATGTGGGGTTGGCTATCAAAACTTAATATCGAAGACCACAATTGAATTCTAATTATTACTCAAAATTGCAGTTTTTCAAGATGGCTTTTCGGGGTGATCCCAAAAATACAGAACCCAGGTTATTTGGAAACATATTCTAAGAGAACCTAAGTTTTGTGTCATATTTATTTCATCTTGTAGGTTATAGGTTTTATATTTTTGAAATTATATTTTATAGTTTGTGATCGGTGACGGTAATCGTACTATTTCACCATGGAACCAAACATTCTACAATGGAAAACTAAGTCCTTCCACTACATATAAGATTTCTTTCGGTGCTGTGTCTTCCAATAAAATTATGATTGCTTTGAATTATTCAGAAGAGATAACAACACGTAAGATTTTCTCATACAAGTTTCTCTATTTTGATATTTCCAAAGTACAGGAGTTTGACTTGGCTTAGAACTACTGTCATGCCTGAAATTAATACTGTATTTTATTGTATAACGCTCTATACAAGTAATTAATTTAAAATTGTTGAATAATATTAGATTTTTATGATGATTGGGGCCAGGAATCAGCAATACCAAAAACAATTTTAGCCCGTATATGTTCTAAAATAAAGTTTTGGAATTTAAAATATCGATTATATTCTATAATGGGTCATATCCACTGGACTAAATTCTTGAAGAAATCATTTTGAATTGATAAAAGTTGAATTTGATAATTTAAATTATTTTGCATAAACAATGATATGATTTAGATTCGATTGATTGATTGATTTTTTTAAACTTTAAGAAGTTATTAAAGGAAGCCGTTTTTTATCTCTGACCAATAGATCTCAAATGATCATTGAAGTATTTGCTCAATAGAGCCAATTTCGAATTTATTTGATTATTTTGTGCGCCCATGGCTAGGATCTATCCCAGTCCCCAATTTCTTACAACCTTTGTGAGGTGGTGGGCTAGAGCCGATTGCTGAATTTTTAATCTCCAACCCCAAATGCATTGAAATTTACTTTTAATTTCTCACTATTATTTTGTTCCTTTTCAGAATATCGAGGTAATTTCATGTAATAAAGTAAAAAAGCTGCAAATGGCTGTTACTAATTGTGCAGCAAATGCTTTAAAATACTTAACAATGCTAATCAAGCTTTTTTAAATATCAAAGCTACTCACTAATCCAAATTGTGATTGCTCATTTAATCCAGGTGCAGACAATGGTAATTCAAATTCCTGTTGGTGTTTTCTGTTTTGTCCCTTTTTAAACAATGCCTGTTTTGTCATTCTGATGTTTTTTGTACTTACTTTACCTCTTTATTTCTCTCACTTTCTCTCCGATTCGCCAAGTTTGCTCATTTTGTTTATTCCCCCATCTTCTCTATCTCACTCACTCACCTCTTATTTGTGAACTTTTTTTTATCTCTTTATCTCACTCGCTCGCTCTGTGATTTACCAGCATTTCTCCTTTTCTTCAGCTCACTGTCTACTTTCTCACTCGCTCATTCTCTGATTTGCCTCCAATTTTGTTTATTTCACAGTCTTCTCTCCTAATTCACTCGCCCTCTGATTTGCCTACTTCGCTTATTCGTTTATTTCACTATCCTCTCGCTCGCTCATTTTCTTTAACTCGCTCTCTTATCTATTGTACTCAGTACTCACTCACTTTCGTCTCCATCTACTAATTTTCATTCGGGCTGTGCTTTTTGTGTGTTTTCTTGTTCACCAAAACTTTTTCGGGATCTAATATTTTGAATAGCCTACATCATTTTTATCCAAATTTTGATCTATAATTTCTTAATTCCAAGATAATGCTTATGAAAACTTCAGTACTGAATTTTTACAAATTCATAAACCGCAATTTTATCAAAATATGTAAGGAAAAAAACATGAACTTTTTTTTATCATGATGACATTTTCAGATTCTCAAAACACTTTTTTTAATTTAAATCTACGTTCACTAAATCATTAGAATTTATTTTTTTATTTTTGTCTGGTGTATTTTTTCGCTGAATATTCTCTGTTATATTCAATGCATGGTTAATTTGTTTCACTTCTTATACTGAAACATCTTTGCACTTCAATATTTTTAAATTAATTTTAATTAAATTCAATTTAATTAGCCAATTCATAATTACATAGAAAAAGCTTGCTTAATTACTTCATAATTAATTATTATGTAAGTAATGACTCAGTCATAGTCATCAAAGATTGTGAACATGTGGCAAGATTGTTTTTTATGGATGTTTCATGATTGGCCACAATAAAATATATTTAGCCATTTTATATTTGTTTATATGTTTTTTTTTCAAAATAAAAACTTTTTTGAAATAAAAAAGCCATTTTGATTTTGGATTATGCAATAGATATATTTTTGACTTGAAACTAACGTTTGTTTATGAGAAATGTGAATATTCAGGTGTTAACGGGCCGCTGATAGCGGGAGTCGTGATAGCTGTTCTGTTTGTTCTAATTTTGGCTATTGTGCTCTGCGTCTTCATCTTACGACGAAGAAAACAGAAAATGGCAGACAAGTAAGTTTGTCAATATCTTATTTATATAATTATGTTTTCATCTACCACATGATTATTGATGTAATTCTCTAATTATTTCTTAAAAAAAATAGTTAAAAACTACTAAGATAGGCCAGCAAATGCATCAATTCAGATATACCGTATATGCTCGTTTTACCGCCCGATCTTGATTAAGGTCCCGTTTGAATAGACGCCCCTGTGAACAGAACATAAAAATAAATAAGGGCCAGTGCTTGAATACCCGCTCGATGTAAAAGCTGATTTTTCAGTGGTAGAGAACAATAGAAAATAAGAAGCGCTTTTGTCACAGCGAGTTGAATTTTAATAAGCGCTGGTAGATAACACTCACGCCTTAGGCGTCCAACAGATAGCATTGATTACGTAACACCTTGGTTCTCAAACTGGCGTCGGGTGCGTCGTTTCTATATTGATAGAGCGTCGCAAAACTTTTCTTCCTTTGCGGATTTGTACCTGCGGTGCGAAGAAAAAGTCAAAATTTTTGTTATTCTCATTTAAATCATACTTGAGAACTAGAAATGACAATATATTAATTATTGTAACGATCGATCTTATCTATATATATATGTTTTTTTATATATTTTTGTGTCTAATTTTACTTTAAAAATAACAAGCCCATGCTTGAATAAGGGCCTGGTTAGTGAGTTTGGTTAAAAAAATATGGGCCCGGGCTATAAAACGAGCAAATACGGTATTTAATATTTAAATCTTTTCCAAATTTTTATCTGGTATACAGACTCTTTCATTCCAGTCCCATGTTCACAAGAGCACTATCCTCTGGAAGAGTCTGCTCGAAATGTTCATTTGAACTGGGTATTCTTACAAATAACTTTGCCTATTTTTGTTTTGTATAAGTATTTACTTACTTATTGGCAAAGCGATATACAGTGGTTGTAATTGTACTATGAGAGCTAAAAGCTTGAATAACTAAAAAAAATTTGTGATATCGTTTGGCACAATACTAACTCTGTGGCACTCCAGGAGTGTGTGTACCAATAACTTATTTTGTTCGCCTACTTTACATCAAGTTGTATAAAGGGACTGAAACCCATGGGTAGGGGGTATATTTACTTGGCTAACACAGACAGTTTTCGATTCTGTAATAGAACAAAAATATTCTCAGTTCAACCGGAAAGCTTAAGGTAAATTGGAATAAATTATGGCCTAACCCTAACCTGGTACATATACTACGAGAGTTCCAACTCTGTTTGCTGTTGTTGGATTTTAATTTTTTCCTAAAGCAAAGCCATGCGTACTCACTCATATCTGAGCAAAGTTACGAATGGCCACTGAAATATCAATGGTTACTGAAAAGGAAGATTGTAATGGTCTTAGGTTTTTTCAAAATTTTGTATAATATATAACTTATAACAGGACGAGCGAACGTGTTGATGCAATCATGATGCCAAAATTGTAAATATTTGATATGATACTAATAATTTGGCTCGTGTCTCTTTTTTTGTTGGTTTATATCATTATTTTCGTTTATTTTTATTTTGCTTTATTTCTTTTTTTTCCATTTTAGTAGTTGAATAAAGCAATATATTCCACTTTTAGAAAGTGTTTTTAATTTGTGGATATTTGTTACCTCATCTATGTCTCGTTAATGCACTATGCAATGAATATAAATGTAATTTTTGTAAAAAAAAAATTAATTTATTTTATTTTTAACCATCCCATACACATAGATTTTTGATTTCATTTTTTTTCATTTCATTTCACACTAACATGCATGCATTGTTTTTGTTTTTAATCCAGTGCACCTGATCCTACTGTTGTTCAAAACGCCTATGCAATGGGTTTATCAGTGAGGTATTGCTTCTAATTTTATCATTATTTTGTTTCCTTAGTCTAACATCAAGTCACAATTGCACGATCGTGGTTTAGTTTGGTTTCCTAATTATTCTATATGAACTAAAGATCTGGTTTAGGGATGAAATTAACAAACCAATTTCAGTTGATTAATAACATCACCCCCCATAGGCCAGTGGTTCCCGACATTTTTCAATAAATTTCTCCTTTTGCTCATTGTACTCGCTCTTTATGCATAAATAACTGGTTTTGTGTTTTGTTTCATCTTCGAAGGATTCTTAATTAGTTTTATGCACAACTAGCAATCTGGCATTTGCACAGTTTGGGTAGTTTATTTACGTGTGAATGAATACACTTTAACAATACCACTAAATAACTAAACAATATTAGTGAAACTGCTCCAAATACAAAGTAATAATTTCTCCCCCAAAATATCAATTCCTGCCAGTTTTGGAACGTTGTATGAGACTATAGAATTGTCCACCATGTGGTTATCTGAAACAACCATTTTGGTTTCGATTATGTGTGTTGCCTATTAGATTCTAAAATATTTGAAAAAAAAACATGTCATGATCTGTTGTTTTCCAATTACTAAACAGCATTGAGTTCTTAACAACAAATTACAAAGAATGATATTTTGAAAAAATTCATCAATCAATGGATTCTTCTACCTTTAAACCATTTTTTGCATGTCATTAAATAACTGTTCACTTATTTTTTAGTATAATGCAATTAAAGTTGATTCGTTCAAATTTATGAAATAATAATATCCTGAGAGAATATTTGAAAAAGTTCACCTATAGTCATAGCCAGATGGAAAAGATTAAAACTTCTACTTGACTCTTTGGTTATTATATTTGAATAGGCCTGTGAACCACCAAATCACTAATTTTGCCTCAACCAAAATGTAAAGTTCATATTATGTATTTTTGATACTGACTGGATATTTTTAATTTTATTACAGGGAAAAGAAGACTCGGTATGATAATTTTGGTTTTATATTTTTACATCAGTTTACGATTATATTTGAATATAATTTGATAAAAAAAAATTATATTTATTCAATTCAGACCTATACAACTTGAGGAATTTTCCGATCATATGGAGAAAATGAGATCAGATTCTGATTATTTATTCTCACAAGAATACGAGGTAATATCAAGATGGAAGGCTTTTAGAATGATTTAATCGGCCTTCGATTGCAAAAATTCTTCTTAGAGCAGGGGTTCTCAACCTTTTTTCTGTCAAGTACCCCCGAGTCACGAAACAATCAACGCAAACCCCCCGTAATCAGACACCGAACAAAGTTGTGATATACTGATATATTTCCTAACAATTTGTTGCAACACCAATTCATTGACCATATGTAACTAAATTAAATCGACTTGTTGATATTATTGCCCTTGCCGTCTGCATAACTAATGAATTCTTAAAATCTCTCCCAAGTTACAATAAGCATAATTACTTCTCCAATGCTCGCAGCACGCTGTCTTCAGAGATTTCACAGTTTGTACGCAAAGCCTTGAATTTCACATTGTTGCGTCATAATCACAACAACGCAAGATCAGGGAATATCAACGTTCCAATTGGCGACTAGTTTCAATTGGCATGCATTTTCCCATGGTAGTAATAAAGGATATTAAAAAACAGCAACATACAAAAACTCGACTGTCATTCAAGTACCCCTGGAAATCTTCTCGTGAACCCCTGGGTGTTTGCAAACCCCAGTTTGAGAATCCCTGTCTTGGAGAATACTTGTTATGTTTTGGGTTTTGTTGATGTCACTTTATTGAGTATGCAATTTTTCCAATGCAACGGTTCATGGGCAAAATGATTGTTTTACTGAGTTTTATGCATTTAAAATTAGTCCGATTCCTATTGAAACAATCAGATATTCCGCAAATCTACACAAATATATTTGTATTGGTGTGCAGTCGTTTATGTTTTCAATGATTTGCAACCTGTGATTTTAAATTTCATCAGGAATTCAAAGGAGTGGGAAGAGATCAGTCGAGCAATGCTGCTGTTCTTGCAGAAAACAGAGGAAAGAACAGATACACCAATATTCTTCCATGTAAATAATTAATTTGTTTCGAAAAACTAAAAACTTTGATTTAAAAATTTAAATATTAGAATACTACACAACTTGTTTGGTTCGATTGGTGCTGGGAGAAAGTTTTGTTTTTTTATTGTACAAGTTAGCAATTGTAAACGAAATGATAAATATTGATTACAAATTTACAATACTACTAATCCAGTCAATATTAATAATACTACAGGCAAATTCAAAATAAAATTTTTTGCCCGAAACAGCTTTCTGGAGGGTTCATTTTTCTCGTTTAAAAAAGGTTGGCCTTTACATTTGCATATAATTTTTTCAAACTATTCTTCAGCAGTAAAAGTGCCTGGATTTTCTAAATATTTGAGCTTTGTTTTCATACTGGTTTTTAAACTGATTTGTCAGATCACACTATTGCTGGTAAATTGTGTCCACAAATCCATGAAATTCATGAAAAATGTGAACTCTACAATTTATTGTGAATAGAAATATATAAAATTTTATTTAGCTCTTTTTTTGTGGTTACTGGTTAACAGTGATGTATCAGCTATGCTTTTCAATACAACGACTTGTGATTTTTAAGAAATATTGACAAAGATGGATCTGATAATTATTCATTGACTAACTTGTGATCTTATAATTTGTTGTCTCAGATGATGCCACTCGTGTCAAGTTGGATGGAGTTGATGATGACCCAGGATCTGATTATATCAATGCTAATTTCATCCCAGTATGTATTTTCTGAAAAAATTCCTGAAGATCTTATCAAAATGAACAATTAGCTGTCTGAAATATTCATACCCTCGTCTTTATTCTTCTGTGTTGTCAGTCAATTTCTTGGTACACAGATGGCATATGTTAAACTTCGGGTACTCCTGTAGTGTGTGTGCCAGGTTGGGGTTAGGCAATGATTTTATTCAGATTTTTGTTCTATTACGAATTTGGGTACTGTCTGAGTTAGCCAAGTGAATATACCCTCTGCCTATAGGTTTCAGTCCCTTTAGACAACTTGGTGTAAAGCAGGCAAACAAAATTAGTTACCTCCATACTGGTACACAGACTTCTGGAGTGCCAAACTTTGCATATGCAAAATTCTCAATGTAGGAAATCTGTATCATGTTGACAGCAAGCACTAAATCTGTATCAAAAATATAATCATTGTATTTTTTGTAATTTATATTCAACACAGAAATTTGAACATAACTAAACTGGCTTAAATAAATTGAACTTGAATAAATAACTGGCAGTTTGTAGGAAAAATGCTTTATACTTACTGTCTGTTGAGAAATGATTGCGACTTGCGAGCTTGCTTTGAACATATTTTCTTAAAATATTCAGGGAAACGTAAGTCAAAGGGAATACATAGCTGCTCAAGGTGCATTACCTGGCACTAAGGATGATTTTTGGAGAATGGTTTGGGAGCATAACACAAGAAACATAATCATGTTGACTCAGACTGTTGAGAAGGGTGAGTTTGGGTTTGGATTTATCATATAAGAGAGAGAAGTAGATTACCATTACTCTTGTGTGGTATCTAATCTAGTTTAAAATCAATATAGTAATACCTATAACCAGTTATTTTGTCTATTTCCATTCAATTTGCTGCGCTGCTTAGTGGTAAGTTTTTAAGAAGTCAGATCATGAAATGTTCTGTTTGAACAATAGGTGGATAATTCATTTCTTCAATTTTTCATACTTGATCGTGTATAAATATTTAAAGGAAAATTCATACACGGCGACAGATCCTGAAAAAGAGCAGAGTTTCCCAAACTTTTTGTGCCGCGGTCCCCTATTCCTGAATCTTAATTTTGACGGACCCCCATTCTAATTCGTATCAATTTCTGTGCCTAATCAACGAATGTGGATAATGTTGCCACGCACATGTATGTCGCTGCAACAAACAAAAAAATTTTTAATTCTATTTTCTGACAGCAATGGATATTTGCCCGCAATGCTCAACCAAAAATATGCAATTGCTTTTGATTGAAATCAGTCATTAAAAGATCGGTCAGATTTTTTTTTATATCATTGCCGACCCCCTGTACAGTTATCACGACCCCCAGTTTGTGAAACCCTGTTCTAGAGAGAACAAAACTTTTGGGAAAAACGTCCTAGATTACTGAAACTTCAAGTAATAGAAAAATTTAAGAAACCAAATTGTTCTGTTTTTTGAGTCACCTTGCAGTTTAGTACTTAGTACTTGCTTCTAATTGAAAATGATTTTATCTATTTTCCAGGCAAGATCAAGTGCGATCACTATTGGCCATTCGACAATGAACCTGTCATGAGTGGTGACCTCACCATACAAATGACATCAGAGTCTATGCTTCCTGAATGGACTATTAGAGAGTTTAAGATCACTCATGTAAGTATGGGCCAGACAAAATCCTGTGCTGTATCACGCCTTCATTTTTATTTTTCAATTTTAAAGTTTTATTTTCTTTCTGCAGAGAAGATTGCTTAAAAACCTGTTTAAGGTAAAAGTGTGATGGCATGAAAATTTGTAGAAATTTATTTTTCATCAGATCAGGGGTGTGCAACAAGCAGTCCGTGGGCCACAACCCGGTCTGCCAATCCATTCAGTGTTGCCCTTGTCGACACAAGGATTTTTCTTCATCAAACATAAAATCCTAATTCGGCAGTTTATTTTAAAAAAAGTGCTTACATGGGTAGAAATACGTAATGTTCTTTTACTCTTGTCACTGAGTTAAATTTTGCATTCTGAAAAAGTTTAAATTCGTTGTGTACATGGAAAAACTGAATTTTTTGTGTGGCACAGATATATTTCTGAAGTTGGTTATATGGCCCATCGACAAAAAATTTTGCACATCCCTGTATTAGATAAAATAGAAAAGTCACTCCTAATTTTGATTGCTGATTCGGGATAAAATTGATTGTTGAGACTAGCTAGCATTTGGTACAGAGTTTTGGTGTTGCATTGATACAATGGTTATTGTAGTAGAATAGCGCTCTGTTAAATTTATTATAAGTTGGTTAATTATTGAAGTTTGAATGATCAAAACAGCTCGAGCGTTCGAATACAGACATAATTACGTATATTACATGATGTAAATTTCAGGAATGAATTTGAGCTAAATGTCATGACTCATAAAACCAGTCACAGAAATCCTGTTGTATATTTGTTTGGTTGAAAATTATCTTTAAAACTAACCAAACCATGAACCATGCGCAAATTTCCTACTATAACCAGAAATTGGCACTTGAATTAGGTCGACAACTCGTAGATATATATTATGTGACAGATTATTAAATAAATATACCTTCATTTTATAAAAAAATTTATTCCACAAGAATCTTCACATTCTTTTTATAGCGGTCTTTTGCATTCCAATATACAGGGTGCTAACACTCGACGTGTTCGTCAATTCCACTACACTGTATGGCCTGATCATGGTGTTCCAGAAACCACAGAAACACTCGTTAAGTTTATAAGATATGTAAGAAGAACAATCGACAGAGAAGCTAAACATACAGGACCTACTGTTGTTCACTGCAGGTTGGGATTAGTTCATTTGACTTTATCCCAGAATTTTGACAAAATGAGAAAAAAATTTTGAAACTTGTGTAACTTTTTATTGAAATATTTTGGTGAATATTGCCTACAAACTATGATTAAATAGCCTAAATAACACCTATTTTTCTGTAATAATTTCAATTCATTTTTTTTGAAACTGATCATTTACCATTTTATCTTAAATTATCTCCAGAAGATGACAGGTGGTATAATTATATGCAATGCTTTTAATCCTGTAGAAAGTTTCGTTTCCAAATATCAAAGAATTTGATGCAAATTGGAAGAAAATCATTTTTATATATCTTTTTAGAATATTAAAATTATTTTTATTTCGCAAAATGTTTAAAATTCAAGTTCTTTATTCATGTTTCACTGTAAATTTAATAGATTTCCATTATAAAAAACGATTTAACCGATGTGTGGAAGACCAATGCAGCGAAAAGTTTCTGAAATGTAATTTAGCGTTCCATTTCATGTATTCAAATGTGTTGATTATTATTCGATTACATCATTCTTTTATTTCTTTTATGAATTTATGAAATTTCAAACCGCGTTTGTTCATATTTCCCCTTTATTTGAACCTCTAGTTTAGTTTGTGTTTGGCCACTTTTCTGATCATAGGTAACCAGACAAGATTTGCCATAAATTTGAAATGTCTTGCCCACTCTTTCTTTCTTTCTGGATAACTATAAAAAAATATCTGATATATCTTTAGTGCCGGCGTTGGACGTACTGGAACATTCATTGCAATGGACAGATTACTTCAGCATATGCATGATAATACTTATGTTGATATCTATGGAATCGTTCATCAAATGAGGATGCACAGAGTGTTCATGGTGCAAACCGAGGTACGTTAAAATCCCAGAATTCAGTTTTAGGTATGATATTGGAAACTTGAAAGAAAAAGAAAAATATAGAAAATGAAATGTTTAAATGGTTAAAGTTTCAACTATGGCCTAGCAGCTAAAGCGATAGACTTTAGAAAAAAAATCTAGTAAATTTCTGTAACATTTGTTGACGAGTATCAGTAAAAGCAATTTCTATTTTGATCTTATGATACCTCACAGTTGTATGTATGTATGTCTGTTTATTTGCCTCAAAAATGTAACAGTATCTGCATAATAGTTAAACGGTATAAACGAGACGGGATACATGTTCGAGACCTTACTTGCCTAAGACACAGATGTGCGACATGCACCCCAACAAGTATAACTGCAGTTTAGGACTGCTGCGAGCCAAATATAAGATGAATAGGAAAGTACTCTAAATGAAATACCAGTTGAACCTAAATTAAATTAACAGATTAGTTCAATTTATTCTATTGGAATATAAATTGGTGCATGATAATTTCATTCTTTAGCGTTCCTAGTGTTTTCAATTAGACCATATGAAATACTTTACATTTTACGATTATATTCTGAATAGGATATTATTGGGTATCCAATACTGACCAAAAAAAAACTTTCATCCAAGGAAATCTTCCATAATTATCAATTTTTCTCTAAATTTTTAGAGTCAGTATATCCTAATACATAAGATGGTCGATGATGTCAATCAAAATCTTTATGATGAAGATGAATCCAACAGTGAAGATCAGGTTTGTTTGTCTTTATGTAAATAAAATAAATCATAAAAGCATTTTATGTCATTTATAATGAGTTGCAAACTATATATTACTTCCAATGCAATCCAATTTTTTAATATATGATTAACTGGAAATCTTATTGCACATGCGTTTTAGGCAGTGATGGTACTCGAAGACCAGGTTCACTTTTGTATTGAACTCTTCAACAAGTGTTTTTTGCTGAACTTGAGGTTCTATAGTTTTATGTCATATTTATTAATGTAGGGTGGTCCAAGGTTTGTCGGTTCCGGGGGCCACAAAATTATTTTTGCATTGTTCGCGGGCTACAATAATGCCAAGAATAGGTAAACAGTGAAATACAAAACAAACACTTTTATTGTGTAAACACAGTGAACAGTATTTGTCATTTATCAAGCTGAAACATGCAAAAAACCACCAAAAAATTTACTAACACCTGCACAAATCTTTATTTCTTTTTCGAACATCGATAAGATCTTCAAATCAAAATCTTAACTTCAGAAAATGCTCATTGCTCACAAGATTTTAGAATGCAGTTTTAAATTATATTCATTTGTCATCGACACAACTTGCCGTCATATCAAGCAAGCATTGTGGTATTTCCCTCTCACATCTGATATGCCACATGTGGCCCGCAGGCTTGAGTTTGCACAACCCTGTACTAATGTATGTCACTATGTAAAGTACATTTCCATGACACGCTTTAAATAAATCGAATACACAAGTAACACAACTTTCCAAGCTATTGAGTTATGCGATCAAGAACGGATTTGCTGATTATCACGGCGTTTCAAGAACGGGTATGCATGAACCCATACGAACCCCCCAAATCTTACTACTTGTCGCAGAACTGCTTATAAATGTGTCATGCCTACTTCCTTGCCTTATTCACGGGTCGTATTTTTTTCATTTCTTGCTTATTCATTGAAATATTCAATTGGAAGAATTTCTTTTGTACTCAATGAATACTTATTTTTAAAAATTGTCTTCAACTTTGCTCCGTTCAATAGTTTTTTTTTCGCAGTCGTTTATATAATAGGCATCTAGAATACCAATCAGTGTAATATAATTTCCATTTGTTTAGTTGGAAAATTTGACGTTCTCAAATTTCCCCGAAGTGCAAGTTTGGCTCTGGTTCATGTAAAGGAAAAATGCAGCAAACACGCCGCTTTCATTCCAATTATTTTGATAGGGGGATGTTGCTCAAATTAACAATTCATTTTTTTTTTTTGCAGAATGGTGAACCAGTATATGAAAATACCAAAGAAGAGGCCGTTTATGAAAATACTAAATTCAATGGAGATATCGATAAAAATAATATTGATGGAATAACAAATCCTGCTATGATACATCCTGAAGAAGATGGTAATGATTTTTTTACATGTCTAGTGGTGATATATAGGTTTCTTTGTCCTCATCAAGTGAAACTAAAGGGTTGATCAATTAATGTGCGATGTTTTGACAGTTCAATTATCAAGGAATAGGGATAAAATAACTATGACATTTCAAGCATTGCTTAATATGGGGTGATGGAAATGTTAAGAACCACTCGACAATAGCATTCATAATATTTGAGTTATGAAGTTTGACATTGTAATGATCATCGATACATTACATGCCTCCATATATCGTACATGAATTATGGTGGCGATAAAATTAAATTTTTTATTAAGTTGTCAGATAGGCTCAATCATTTGATGTTGCTGTGAACCATTATTTCTTTGTGACATCATATAAACATTATGCCAGTACTAAACTTCTCTATCATATCTCTATTGTCTTATGACTTCACATTTTACTAGCAAACTGGATTGGTGCTTTCGCAATAACGCTCTTAGGAATATTATTGAAGTATTAATGTATGTTTCCAGGATAGGATAGGATATACCTTTTTATCCCGGTGAAGAGGAAAGCTGTAAAGACGGCCTAATTATATGGCAAACCACAGCCTCTCATTCGGTTACCAGTCAATGTCGGGTTTGGGATTAGTCAGTCGTTTTTTGTTTCCAGATGCATAGGCTTGATGGTGGAGGAAGCCCGACCAGTCGTTACGTAACCCACCTTTGTCATTGGGGATGATATGAGCATCCTCTACTTTATATCATGATATAGTACTTTTAAATTGGGTTTAGTTTTTATTTAACTGAGCCAAATTTGAGCCATAATGTGTGACCTCGCTTTGAACAGATTTCCTAAAAAAATGGTTTATCCATTCTCTGCTTTCATTATGGTCTTAATTAAAATGCAATTTCGTTTATAATGTGTTTTCAAACTTAGGTCATCACAAACTGTCTAATGGTGGTGCTTTCTAATACATCCATGAATGTGATTAACATGTATGTAATTGTGAAGGTTTGTCTGGATTGTTGCCATCATTGAAATGTGCTTGTTTTTGTCACTTTGTCACATTTTGTTGGTTTTTGTTTTCATTCTTTGTTGTCAGCAAGAATTCTTCACCATTTTTAAATAAAGTATTATATTAGTTATCATTCAAACAAGGGCACATAGTATCATGTTGTCATAAAAGTAAGCACATACATGTCTTTTAAACCCAGTCTTGGGAATTACATTTGTGAAACTGATGCTCAGCTTGTTAGGTCAAATCATCAAGTTAAGAAAGCATGAGTTTCGTCCAGCACATCACCCAGAAAGTAATAATTTTCATAGCTTTGATGAGTCGGATGAGTTGGATAGCTACTTGTTTATGGTTAAGATATAGGTGAACACCGTATGAACAAATTTCTGTGTGACAATTTAATAGGGCCCACCAAACTTAATTGACATAACTTAATATTCCATGTTTTTACATTTTTGCGTTATAGATACTGCCAATTGTTACATTGTTATCACAGTATATTCGCAACAATTCAATTTTACTGGTATTTATTAATTATCGGCCCCTTTGTGGGTAATTTTGGTCCCTGGTCAATCAACTTTCGGAACCACTTGAGTAGACTCACCTGAGCCTCCAGAGCTTACCTAATGATAACTTGAATGTAAAACACTGTACTAGTGCATTATATCATATATGCAATGACTTATCAATTTGTGAAAACCACGTTACGATTCCATTATATGAGAATTTAAAATTAGAGTTCAAAATTCATTTTCAGTCAATTTTTATTTTGTTCAATGCAACCGCCAACCACACCATCTCACCCACATTGTAAGCAGATGATTAAAACATTCCAGTATTTTAAATTAGCCGCTTGCTTAGAATTTGAGAAGAGAATATTAAGGATGAAATATGGAAAATTAGTCCTGAACCCCCCAAATTAATTTTATCAACAGAGAAGGTAGCAAGCAAACAGGAGAATATGCCCTTGATGGTTGTCATTAACGAAACAAAGCAGGAAGACAAAGATTCCATGAAGGAGGAGGAAGACATGGAAGTTTTTACGGACCACAAAAATGATAATTCCAAACTAGATGACATCACTTCAAAAAGTAAATCAGAGTCAGTATTGAAGCCGCACACAGAAAATCTATCCCAAACGATTGCAACGAAGAGTAGTGATTCTAGTGATAAAAAGACAAAGAATGACGAAGCAACTTCGAAAGATTTTTCTCAAATAAAATCTGAAATACTGGAAAGTCTGAAGCATATGGAAGAGAAAGTTGCTGAGGAAAATGGCAGTAAGACGAATGTGAAAATCGAAGTTGATATTAGAGTGGTATCGGAGGAATCTCAAGCCATTACTACCGAAAGTGGCGATTCCGGTAATAACAAGAAGAAAATTGCTGGAGCAACTCCTGGAGATCCTTCTGAAATTTTGGAAAGTCTGAAGAAATTGGGAGAGGAACGTGCTGAAGAAAATGCCAGTAGCAAGAAAGATGATGCGAAAGATTCAGACGTAAAAGATAAATCAAAGTCAACAGATGCGAAAAGGGAAGTTGAGAATGTAGTTTTTCAACCTGTTATCATTGAAGGAAACGACTCACAGGATCATCACGATAAGATCAGTTCATTTGGAATTGACCTTCCTCTTTTAAGTCTGATATTGACGAAAGATGACTTGAGGAGAGGTGATACAACTGAAAGTGTCGAAAGTGATAAGAAAGCACTTGTAACAGATACAAAAATGACACAAAAACCGAAAGAGAGTCACATTACTACAGATAAACCTGAAAAAATTAGTTCTGAAGAGAAGAAGATCATAAAAGAAAATACCAAGGGAAGTAATGGTGCAGAAAAGTCTATATCTAAACCACTTGTTCCTAAGCAAAAGCCAATTATTCCGCCGAAGAGAATAAAAAATGTCGAGAGTGAAGAGCAAACACAAATTAGTAAATTATCTGTTGAAGTGTTGGTGAAGCCAAGCACTGGTAAAAAGGAAGCAGATAAAAGAGAATCAAGAGCAATCAAATTAGTCAAAACGACGAGTCGTTCTACTATTACATCAGAGGAAATAGAAGATTTCACTGATAAAAAGCTTCGTCGAGTGAGCTCGTCTTCTTCTTCGTCCTCATCACCCGTCGACGAAAGACCACCAGTCGATTACAGAGATCTACCTTCCGTTAAATCAAGAATCGGAAACTTAGGTGACCAATCGATCGTTTTGCATCGTGATTCAAAACAATACAATTCTGCGATTGAGAAACATTGCAGATTTATTGTGATAAGTTACATTTTCAACGATTTATGTTGCGGATTTTTTGTTTCATTATTATGGACTTCTTTGTACGGAAACTAATATTGTTGATTTGAATTTGTGTAAATTACAGGGTGACACAAGAAAACAAGAACTCAGTTCATTCGAAACCTATTTTAGAGAGCACATAACTTTTGTGCAAAGCACACTATATTACGGAAACTTTTGGTTACAATTGTGCACTAACATAAATTTCAAGCGTTGAATATATTCATCATTTCGTGGAAATAATCAAGAAATTTATGGTTTGTTTTTTTGTGTCAACATGTAGAATTTTATTTGAGTTTGGTGAGAAGTCAATAAAAGCTTGAATACTTATTGCGGATCAAGAATGTACAGCTTTATTGTCAATTTTATGCAAGAATTATATGACTATTTCTTTACAACCAGGGATGTAATTTTGAATATTATTTTTTTAACAGAGCTTATTATTTTTTTTAATTATGATTTTTCTTAACATTTCTCTACAGTTTACTACCGTATGCATTCTGAAGTATGAATGAATAAATTCAAGGTATTGAGTAGTTTAGTAAAACACGTTTCTGTTATAATCAAACTTCCATTCTTTTCTATTTTTTCACCACAATTTTCACCTTGTAATATTAGATTGTAGACATATGTAACTTGACTATGGGTTACATATTTCCTTATTCCAACATTTTGGCATTCTCGAATTTCGATATCACTATAAATTCATTTTAGTTACGTTGATTTCCAATCATGTTAACAAAATCATGTTATAACCTCTAAAGTCCGATGGATTCAAATCATCTGAATACTGAGATGCATTTTTTTATTTTTATGAAGTCTTTTTGAATTGAGTTCTTTTCTAATTCTAGTATCTATGATAGTATTGAAGTATATTAGACTTTATTAGTTTCTTACCTACAGTGGTTAAATTGTATCTTCAAAACTGATAATTATCATCTTTGGCTTTTTATTTTCCTAAATCCGTATTTGAACAAAGAATTAGTTATTTAAAACCTGTCGAGTTAGTTTTTAAAATGTAACGACAAATAAAGGTTATATCCTTTCAGAAGACAAACACCTATTTTGACTTATGCAAATTTGAAAGTGGTTCAGTGGTAATAGGGAAACGCTTTCTAGTTTTCAAAAAAATAATTCAGCGAAATGATATTTAGAGGTGTTTTTGAATGAAATGGGATTTACTTCAGCATTGCTTTCTAATCTGTATTCATTTATACTCAACCTTTTATAAAATGCATTATCGCAACATATAAAAGACAAAATAAAACTATAGCTGGTAGATTTAGAAAATGATAGTTTCGTTAACAATAAAATTTATCAAATTGTTATGAATTACTATCACTAATACATTAAGTAGTAAATTAAGCTAAATATTGGTCAAGCATGATCAAATCATATCTTGCCACTTCATTTGTGCATGTGCAATCTTGTGCATATTTCCTGTTATAATTTTGAATGGCGTCATTTGGATTATATTTTTGCATGCAGTTTTATTTTTAATAGACCAGTTCTGACCATATTCAGAGGTTTTATTTTGATGGAAAGTTTTTTTGATTTAAATTCATTTGTTTTTTTGACACATTAACAAATTCAATTTTTTTGATCAGCAATGCATGGTACAGTTTATGCACTCAATATGATTTGGATTTTAGAGTGTCCAATTTTGTCAGTTAAGAATAGCGATTGATATATGTCCTAATTTTCATAAAAGTCATGGGTTAAAACAGCGGTCTTGTTTTTTAGGTCACCTACGGTACTTGATATATGTACTGCTAGTACGGTTTCAGGTGCATGTTCACTAAACGACGTAAGCACTTCTATTTGGCGTTGCATACCATTTTCGCATATGTTATTCCAAACCCCCACCTGGCACTGTCATTCAAAGATTCATCACTATGACCTCACAATCACATCAAAGAGCTTGCCAAAGTGTAGCTACGATCGCCCGAAATAGCATATCCGCGGATGATATCAAACTCACTAACGCCAGCGATCTCTCTCATATCAGTATCGTTAATTTTGGGTGATCATCTTGGATGACAGTTAGTATAGTTTGGAGGGCCTTTTTACATCACTGTGACATCGTAGTGACGTAATATTTGAATGACATAAATCACGTAATCAGGTGGGGGTTAGAAATAACATATGCAAAAACCATTGTGCCACGCCAACTACAAGTACTTACATCGTGTTGTGAACATGGCCCCAGTTTATATATTTACTTGAATCATAGATGGATACATTTCCTGAAACATTCAATTTGTTATTTAATGAAATATTAGGCTTCCCTTTCATCCACGTTTAGCTAAAAAAGGACATTACGGTAAATATGAATTCACGATAAAAGGATTGACGTAAGCAATTTCTATTTTCTATGAAAAATCTTTTAATAACATCCATTTAATTTAATACAGAATCTATCAGTTCAGAAGATATGCCTGGAGAAAAGTTGTAACACGACATATGTTTGCAAATCAGATAAAGATACTGGAGTCTGTCTTTCTATTGATGCACTCTCACTCGCTGATGCCCATGTCTCTATGCTCTTATGGTTGAGGCATAATGACAATGCTGTAAATTTAAAATCAGGCAGTTTGAAATGAGTAGTTTTGTAATTTGGTGTGTATATTTTGTTATTGTGGATATTTTGTAGATAATTACTCTTTTCTTGTATCCGCTACTCTACTTGTATTTCTGAGGAAACTATTATTTGATAATATTTAAAAATGTTGTTAGTTGATTTCGCTCCGTTTGCTTGTAGAAAAATATTGCTCGTAATCATTGGTATATATTATGATTTAATAGCTACGCTCTTCAGTATTAGCATAAAGTATTTAAATAGAATATGTAAATACAATTATACCAACCTTGTCCATAAATCTGATTTAGCCTAAATAAATTACAAATATTGTTGTCTTTATGCAGCTTTTACTAATGAAATTAAATAAGTTCACCATTCCCTCGGAGCTTAATTTCAACTATCACATCCTATTTGCTTGATTTTAGTGCAATCTTTTCTGAATGCGCTTAGCAACTACGTACTATGTGCCTTATTCTGTGTTTTCTATTTCCTGTCTTTCCATATTATTCTATGGTCATTTTTTTATAGTTTATATTTGTTCAAGTGTGGTCCATTTATAAAGCTAACTAACCAGCATCGTACCATACTTGATTTCTCTAATCAGTTATGTTATGCTTTCTCGTACTATTGCACAAATCATGATGATTTAGGGATTAATTTCTTATTTTTGTATGCTATATATGCCATAAATACACAATATGAATTTTCACAAGATAACGCTCAATATACACAAGATATCATGTTTAGACGTATCGTTTGCAACAACCGTTTGCGTCTTTTATCTTTTATATAACTAATCATTGTGAGATAATAAAATATGTTGATTACATATGGATGCCTTTATCACACCCAAAATCAACTTCACCTGGTTATTACAAAAAATGATTTACCTAAAAGTTTAATTTGAGTCTTAATGCTTGCCATAGTGTGGACTGTGATATTCACTTCTTAAATTAAAGAGTATATTGATTCCTTCATATTTAATCTTGCTTCATAAGCCATTCAATAAATTTAAACCAGGCTAATCATGTTTATTGTTGCTACTATGTACTTCTGAGTTTGGTTTTGATTCAATACAATATCCAAATACGACTGTTAATATTTTGTTATAGATACTTTGTTTATCATGCCCTACAAATTCTATATTTTCTATATATATTCAATCTATGTTCAACACAATCTCAGTTTATGAGATTCCACTGTTTTGTTGAATATTTTCTCAATTCCACCGTATTCTCTCTGTAGAAATCACATACCAATACATTTTATGTGAAAATCTTGAGTGCTAGATAGGGGTCACACTAGGTTGTCAGTGCAATGAGCCAGAAGAAATTTCCCAATGAATGTTGTTTAGTTATCAATAAGCTTTATTCTGTACGAAGGTGTGCACATAAAAAATTTTAATACGGTTTTCAGTTGTTATAGGAATCCAAAAGCAAGCTCTATATTCTCATCAAAAATTATGTATGGGCCATCGATTTAGATAAAATTATATTGCAATAATCAAATGAAAATTTAGATTTGAGAATCATTTGATATTTGAAAGCATTTTTCTGTACTTCATTTCATTGGACCCAAATAAAAGCTAAAATTGGCATTATATCGGATAATACTACTTCGAAACAATTTAAAAAAAAGTCCAGGAATACAGCCTATTTCAAATACATTATTAAACTAATAGCATATTACATTATTATTGTTTGAAAATGAATTGCATTTTAAAATATGCAAAGATTTATCATCCAAAAAATTGAAATTACTTTTTTCAATGTAAAATTGCCCTGTGTAATGGAAGAATTAGTCGTATAGTAGTATACTAATTATGGAACTAATCCGATTACAAGCTATAGTCAATCTAATAATCAAATAAATTAGTGCAATTACACTGATAAATTCACTTTTTCTTACAAGATACTAATTGGTTGTTTGCCTAAACAAAATTATCTAGAAGAATGTGCCTTAATTAAATGATTTACTCTGTGATTTTGATTCACTATTAATCCACGATCATTCAGGTTTGAAAACGAAAACTTTTTCCAAAATGAAAATATTAAATATTAGAGTTTAATATTGATTTTCTTACTATTTTCTCAATTTTGTTAAGCGCACATAGATGAGGCAAAAGCATAAACAGACGAAACGAACTTATCTTAAGACATGGCATGTTTATATATTATACATAAAACTATTGGACATTCTAATCAATTAATAAATTTTCTTACTTTTGATGCTTAACATATTTTTAGATAAATTTACACTCTTTTGTTCGTTGAACTAGCAAAAATTACTATGTGCTATATGGTGTTGGGTTGAGGGCCTTTAATGAATATTTTTTTTCCTAATTCAGATTTCTTGCCTTATTTATTTTATAAAAAACATTTCCTGCCCCAAATACCGAATCTACACAAGTAGTTAGTTACTTTTTGGTGATATGAGTGGGAATAGTTAGATGTGTCTGTTTTTTGTTAGTTTTAAAAATGCCAGTATATTATTCAGTGTAGTATTGTTTTTTGAGTTTTCGTTAGGGTATATTTTTCTGTAATTTTTTTGAAACCTATTTATGATTGAGTGCTTTCCCTAATAATTTCTTTGTATTATGTAAAATCATGGTGTTCACATTTCTTTTTTTTCCTTATGAAATTATGTGGCAAAGGGAAGTTGAATTTAAAAAAAATTTTACAACTATCAATCTATTTCGGGTATATGTATGACCAGTGTTTGGCTTCAGGTGGAGTGCAATTTTATGATTTATTTTTCCGGTTCAAACAGTTTCTGAATGCGGTACTCTGACAAGTGTTTGTTAGGTAATTTGGAAATCTAAATTGTGTAATACAGGGTGGTCACATAAAACAGAAGCCAGGTAGGTTATTTGTCACATATTCTGGAGAGAAAATATCTTTTGTAGAGGGCTTCCTGGTTTGCTGAAACTTTTGGGTACAATCATACACAAACATAGGTTCAAGTGTTGAATAAATATATTTTCTTTATTCTCCTGAAGGTAATTACAATTTTTTTTTGTAGTGGCGGGTGAGAGGCACCCTGTAATATGATGATTTGGAATACATTAGCCAGGGCAATTTGCCTTCTTCAGCTCACAGCCTCGACCAATTTTTTCCCAACTGCTTATTTAATGAAATTACCGTATTTGTATTGTTATTATAAAGGATATTTAAAAGTAATTCTTGAAAGCCCAATTCTTTGCATCAAGGCATGACCAAATCATCTTCAATTAAAAACTTGGAAGAAAGCTGTTGAATTATTCTAAAAATGTAACAAATTATTCTAAATAAGCTGTTCATTGGTGGCCCACTGAGTGCTAATTTTAGGATGAAATTTTTTTCTTCTAATATTTCTGTTTTTTATTATTGTATCTGGGTGATTAATTTTTAACTCATTGTGATAGATAATATAATTTTTTCATCAGAATTATAATATAATATTTGCTGCAGCATATATATGTCAGCTACTATTTCCATAATTTAAATATTATTGACCAATCTTTCTGTATATGCAAATAAAATTGGCATCATAACACATTATGCTTGTGAGTTGTTTCTGTGCATAAAGGATAGAATAGATGTTGAAGTGAGGATTAATCAGTGAGCTTACGTCTGTGTCTGGTTCTCTTCTAGTATTTCTGCAGAAAAGTTGTCATCTGAGAAACCAACTGCATTCTGATGGGATGTCAATAAAGCAGTGCAGTTAACCCGGTATGGCTGTTCGATGATAGCACATTTCTTACCTGGCCTTGTTCAGAATGTCCACAATATGAGCTTGGAGTAATGATGCGCGAACAACGACGAGTTGGCATTATCATGGCTTATAAAGCATGGATCGGGGGCGCCAGACAATATCATCCAACCCACCGCATATCAATAATATAAGGTTTTACGAGGATGACCAGTCCGCCGTATCTCACAAACCAAGCGTAGCACTGTTTAAAAAAAATTTGCCTGAAAAAATCGTCATCATAATAAAACTGCGGTATTACTAGTTATTTCGTCACGGGAACAAGGGGCCATGAGGATGCTCTATTACACAAGGGGGGGGGGGTTCACCTTTGAGACTGCGGCCCGCAAGGAAATATTGTGCGGCTCGCGGAGAAGTTCCATTTTCGAATAGTGTGCCCGCGAAACGAGTTATATGGTTTAGTTATTCTGGTACGTGCGACAAAATTCCAATTCCCTTGCGTCGCAAAGCCTATAACAGTACCCGAGTGCCACTGTAATATTAGCAAAACTAGCTAGCAAAAACTTCAACTAATATAAATTATACCTTAAATAAAAGTGCGGCCCGCGGCTCAACCCAATTACTTGAATCTGACCCTCCTGTAATAAAGGTTGCACACCCCTGCTCTATATCGACTTTCCTCTCCCCTGAATTGGATATTTTATATAGTAACACACCTTTTTAACATTTGACAATCTGTGGCATTTGTCTGAGCAGTCCTATATCTTCTTTGTATGATGCAAAAAAAAGCTCAGCATCCGTAAAAACATGCAGTCGGGCCAATTCATCTGTCTTGACTGGTGAGGTGATCCGGCCAAGACGCGTTCAGCAAATCTCAGATACTCAATAGTCTATTGGGGGACACCTAAATGATGCATCTTGGTGACTAACAGGAGTCATATTAAGTTTTTATCATGCTGGACCTTACACAAAAGTTAGATACATGGATCGTGCTTGATCAGGCATGATGTAACAGATGTATTAAAAATAACCTAACACAGAAAGCATTAACCAAAAAAGAGAAGATAAATCTTCAAGATCGTGAAACTAGCAGCTAGCAAAACAAGGGAAAAGAAAACTTAACATCAGTCGCAGAAAAAAAATAGAAATTGTATTTGCAACAAAGTTAGGTGACCTGTCCAGCTGCAACAGACAAGTGGTCATAAACATAAGTACTGAACAACAGAAGGCACCAGAAGAGGAAATTCTAGAAAAACTATACTCTTGTAAAGTTAGGATTTTGTCCATACTTCTAAATATTACTTCTTGCTATGAGGGAGATTCTAATTTTCATTATCACATTGTTTACACTTGGGTTAACATTTTGAAACATGACTGAATTCCTCTCTAACCAAATTTTATGTCTGGCAGTGCACAGTAATAATATAATGGCGTTACGTTCTAAGTTGTACAAATGTTAATAACATTCATGATTAAAATCTAGTGATATACAAGTAATATAATTATTTGATTGATTGATTTTTCAAAACACAATGATTGATTTTTAAGGCAATAGAATAAACATAAACATTTTGTGCGAAAGGAAAGTTCCAAAATAAATGTGAAACAAACTCAGGTTCTTGTGAACAAAACACACAAAATTTATTCCCAGAAATATGTCCTAATCTGGATTTTACTTTAAGAGAAAAAGCATCTCACATTACTTTATAATGAAAAGATTTAAAACACTATTGGACAATATCTTACAATGAATATCAGTACAGGGCCCTTCTAAAGTATCATCCCAAAGAAACACAATTCTATATTCTACACAATTGTTTACAATTTTATTATAAAGTAGCTTATAATTTCCTTGTTTTAAATCATTTCCAGTGATGTTTTATTGTCCTCGAAAATTAATCAAAGCTGCATAATCTTCACGAGGATAAAATGCATGAGTTACACTATTGTTAAACAATAAACAAAGTTGTTGACCAATATTATATTCTATAAAACCCAAAACTGATGGTCTATATTGCTCAGTAGTCACATTAATTTTATCACAATAATAATCAAAAGCAGTCATTATATACAAACACATAGTAAACAAAGGTATATTATTTATATCATAACCTCCAAATTCCGTGTTTCTGCACAGTGTTTCGATTTTCAAAACACTGTTTTCATCAAATACGTCTGTTTCAACGTCATCCGATAAAATATATAAAACTGAAACAAAAACAAACATAAAAAGTCATTCAAACGTCAAAATTATTGCTTCACCACTCACCAGTAAAGCAATCAAGGTTTATAAGAAAAATAAAATGGAAAAAGGCTGTCATTCTAGAGACAGATTACTGTCCTATACTTTGCAATAAAAATAACCAATTAAAGGATGTGAGGCATGTATCAACTTTTCAAATTTACCACCATCAACAATGGATGGATGTTTGATTGTAATAGACATGGGAAAAGCCATATTGTTGTACTGTACTATAATTAGCATTGTAGCATATATTTATGTCCGTATATAGAAACATAGGAAAGAAGATTATTTATTATACTTATACTTTTGCTATGTCCAGCTGCTCAAAGCATTTTAAAATTCAGACACATTTAGATTCACAGAAGTGGGATTTTCCGATTTTAGGGTTTATATATGTTTTTAAAAGTATTACATAGAATAGGTTGAAACCCTATCAAAAGTAAAATTAACTGCTTCTTCATTTAACTCATCTCTAGTAAAAAGACGTGGTTAGGGTGACGTGGTTGCTACAGGCTTAATTAATTTTCATTATTTTCTTTTCTGATGTTGAAATATCAGACTATTATGATAGAAATATCCTCATAGTGCAATAATATAGATATTTGTGTATCCGTGTATCCGGATAAATTGATATATTTTAAATCTCATTTCAAAATACTGTTATTGTCCATATTTACATGTTAAAAGGTACCAGATATTGTTAATATAAATCAAGCATTTGATACAAGCTAATTTGGTTGTACTTCTTGAAAGCCCTTTAAAGTTCCTGCTAAAAAGACAACTGAGCCTTGTTAAGAGCTAAGAATATTTTATGGTAATTTTATGCAAAAATTTGCTGATGAATAAGGAAGTAAATGTGCCTTCTTCGTTGTCAGCATATCTTAATTTTTTAATATGCAAACGAAGTATGTTTGAATTCCATTAAAAAATGGTAATTATTTTTATCTATTTCCATACAATATTTCAACAAAGGGAAATGTACACTTAACCAGACATATTATAAGTATGGTTGCCTATATTAAAATGAAATTATACACGATAAGGACTTTTTCGAACTCTAAAATATCTGGTAATTTTACTATATTTGTTACTTCATGTTATAAAATCTATTGTTAAATAATAAGCTTCCTGGTTTCGTTGTCGAGTTATCACATCTAATTATTCCCTCAGCATTATTATTTTGCTGATGCCATGAAAGTATTAAAATAATTACGCATAATAGAAAAGGAAGTTGCATTTGAATTTTCTAATTTGCATGAAGAGCATAAATTTCCATGATACTGCATACTTTATTGTCTTATGGATCTTGTAAAAAGGAGGAAAATAACTTTTATTGAATATTAGGAAATATTCTATTTATTTGCATATAATGATATACCAGTCATTATATTGTATTTGTGTGCTAAATGCTTGCGTAGGAAGTTTGCCAAGTTTTTGTCGTCTTCTTGAAAGACACACACTAATCTTTTTCCTTTCTTTGCATATTTCGCACTTGCTAATATGTTAGAGATTTGCTGTTTATTGAATGGATTGTATTTTTCACCAAGTCTGATCTAGACTATCAGTTTGGAACCGTAATGGTAAAAGATTATAGGAATTACTTTTCTGTGAACGTTTTCTCACACTAGTAAATCATAACTTTTGCATTAATTAATTGATTTGAGAAATTACAGTAGTTCAATTGAAAAAATTTAGAATGCCTAATTAGTAGAATATTTGAATTGCATGTTTGAAGGTCAGGAGTCAACCTAAGAGATTTATTCCAATCATCTTGCTAAAGTATAAATGCGCACCTGTTATTTGCCCCAATCGAAACATAATTCTTGATTGATAAATTATATTTTTGTCCAAGTTATCAGTAAATATATTTGAAGCACTTATATATTCAATATTGATATTAGTTATTCCTGTTTTTCATTTGTACATTTACATTTCAGAAGTTAATATTCGTTCGTTTAATTCAGTTTGATAATTTGAAATAAAAAATTGGGTTACACAAAACTCTCTTCTTCATTGGATCGATTTTTACAGTATGCAAGGATGTTGCCTAATTAAAATGAAGGCTCGTACATTCTTCATTTCTCTGTTGATCTTTGTATGTTTAATTCAGGTAAAATTCAAATCAGGGCTTTTTTATGATATAGAAATATCCTATTTAATCAGATTTGATCATTGAATCCTTACATTTGGGGCCAAAAGGGTACTGATAGAAGTATATTTAAATTTTTTTTCAAATTGAAAAATTCTTTGTTTATACCAAAGTGTACCAAACAACAGTATTATCATTATTTTATTAGGGTTCTAATAATAGTTAAACTTCGTTTATTTTACTATATTTTACTCCGTGCTGTTATGAAAATTTTTTTGATTCAGAATCCAATGATCCCCTAATTCTTTCAATACACAAGTTATATCACAGTCATGGTATTAAAAAATATTATGGTTTTCCATGATTTTCAGTGAATTTGTTTTGTTGCAGTGGAATCCAATCTATTCAGAGTCAGGAAATGTGCTTACATTCACTCCAAAAATGTTTACTTTTGTGTGTAAGATAGGATAATTACTTTACTTTTTAAGATTTGTCGTGGATTGGTAAAACCGACAATATCAAGTATAACCGCAACTGCAACTGAAATAACTGTTTCATGGACAAATGCAGCTGCAGACAACTACAGCATTGGTATAGTGAAATCGTATTCAGTTTCATCATCCGCGGACAATATCGGACTCTCAGATATAAGGCTTCACACAACAAGTCTTCAAGTATGGTTTTTTAAATTTTATATTGTTGTTTTTATGTTTGGTAACATTAATGGGATGACAATATGATAAAATTCTATGTGAAGCAGTCTAGGTATGTCCCATGAACACCTGACTTCTGACATATTCATTTGTTCGTGCCACAGCACTACGGTAATCAGCACAAGGAATGGAATTTCTCTTTCTGCTTTCACTCTCGGTGATGCCATGATATGAGAGCATGACTTCCTGATTCATCAATTTATGTTGCAGTTAATTTGGCTTGCATTTAAAACAATGGGAGTTCATTCCGTTTGACATACAAGATTACTATCAGATAACATTTGACCACAAAAATAAAGAATATGATACTTTGATAGCCTGTTAAGAATGCTTAGTCTACTTAATGCAATTAGTGTTTCTGTCAGTCAACATTTAAAGTTTGAAATTTCATCTCTGATCCCGGAGAATGCAATATCTACAGTCTTCCAAATACTCGAATAGCCCAGTATTTTTTAATATCACAGATAACATCTTCAACCGAGAGTGATGGTACCTCTAGTATCTCTCCAAATAAAGAATACACAATCTCAGTTTTTGCTGTTAACTCGACTGCAAGTGAAGAATCTGAACATGGCAACATAATTACTAGTAAGTATGCCTGTGCTATAGTTAATTAATAAGTGATTCACAGCATAATACTATACTTTACACATTCAAACATATTTAATCCTATTTAATAGGAAGTTTTCAGCAAAAAATAGCGAATTAATCAGCAAAAAGTATCACAAAATCATCAATGCAGTAGGCTATATTATGTATATTATGTATAGTTAGATATGCACAGATTCCAAGGATGTCCAAAAAATTAATTTCAACAAAATTCCAAATTTTTACTATGTGAAAAAGTCTAATTAGCAAAAAGTTTTTATCTTTGGTGTTAAGGATATTGATGTAAAATTTTGTTATTTCTGTAATCAATTGGCATACATCCTATTTGGCATAATCCTAAGTAATTATATATTCGTTAATATTTGACATTGATATAAAATTCATGGTAGAATTCTAAAATACAAGATTATTTGGATATGAGCTTCCCTTTTGAATGCTAATAAATTTGAAGTAGGCTACGTCAGATTTAGATATATAATTCACATTTTTGGGGGGATAAATTTCAAACAACTCTTTTTTGAAATTTAAATTTACATGAATATTAACCATCCTTACCTTCGAGTGTATTGCTGTATTTTATTTGTTAAATTTTGTCAATTTTTTCCTGAGGGTCGTTGCATTAGATTTGAAAAATAATTTGTATGTTGAACTTCGTCCCCAGACTCGAAATTCTCAGCCCTGATTGAAACGGCAGTTTTCATAATTGTTACAAATAATAATTTTTTCTTATTTCAGGACCTGGAAAACCAATGAACGTCCTCGTCTCACGGTATGCGAAAAGTCCTACTAACTCGATTTTTGTCAATTGGACAGAGCCTACTGGTGGTTCATCTTCCTACAATGTCAAAATAAAATATACTAATGGCACAGTTGCCATTTCTAAAACTGATATTATGGCGACAAATTATACTGCAAGTGGTTTGACCTCAGGTGTCTCTTACAGCGCAACAGTTGTTGCTGGAAATCAGAATAGAAAATTTGGGATTCCAGAAAATTCCAACATTCAAGGAACAGGTAAATTTTTTCTAAAAAATCGTTTTTTGAACTACATTTATGAACATACAAATTTCAATTCTTATTTATATGTGCCGATATTAAATTGGAATTTAATCATTATTTTTGATAATATGGATTACATTTGAATATCTACAGAGTACAGACACTGAAAAAACAAATATGAAGTTTATTATTTTGAAATCTCCAACTTGAAACTGTTTTTCTCTTCATTGTTTTTATTAGTGTATAGCTTAATTTGTAAAAAGACCGCTTTGTAAATAAATACAGTTCCTGATATTTTGCAGATAAGAATCTCTAGGATCAAATGAATATCAAATGTATCGTATAATGTTAATTTAATTATCTGTCAAAACCAACTGCTTCACATTAAATTCTGTATCTACTTCTCTAATTTGTAAATTATTAACCATTTTCATTTTTCTTGCTATTTTAGATCCATCGCCACCATCTCAGTTGGCATCTCCATCTGTTAGTGCAACATCCATCAGCCTTACTTGGAATCCCCCAAGTCTGGGTAAATGGAATTCATACAAGATTTATGTAAATGGCAGTTCCTGGTCAAATGTTGATCCATCTCTCAATTATAGTAAAGATTTAACTGCTGCAACCGTAACAGGGCTCAATGCTAACACTGATTACAGTTTTGAACTTGTTACAATCTCAGATGCAAACCTGGAATCTAAGAAATCAATGCCATATGTAAATGGGACAGGTAGGCTTATCATACTATTGTGTTGTTATGTGATCGGATTGCATTGAAATAACAGTAAATTTCTCTATAACTTCTTGTGTGCATGATGACTCAGTGCAGCGGTTTCCAACTTTGTTTGATGTATGAGTTGTTTATGAGCTGTGCTATGCACAACTCCTGCTCTGTTTTTGCACAGTTTGAATGATATACAAATTGTCCATGGATATGTATTACCTAAACGCTAAATAACTGAACGATATTAATGAAGCTACACTGGAAACAAAAATATTAATTCCGTATTTCCACAACGCCCCAAGGGGTTGGGAAACAATGGCTTTGAGTTATATCATTAAATTTTTACAATGCTGGCATTGCAGAATAAATATTAGGTTATGTATATTATGTATAGTTAGATATGCACAGATTCCAAGGATGTCCAAAAAATTAATTTCAACAAAATTCCAAATTTTTACTATGTGAAAAAGTCTAATTAGCAAAAAGTTTGTATCTTTGGTGTTAAGGATTTTGATGTAAAATTTCTTATTTCTGTAATGAATTGGCATACATCCTATTTGGCATAATCCTAAGTAATTATAAATTTGTTAATATTTGACATTGATATAAAATTCATGGTAGAATTCTAAAATACAAGATTATTTGGATATGAGCTTCCCTTTTGAATGCTAATAAATTTGAAATAGGCTACGTCAGATTTAGATATATAATTCACATTTTTGGTGTAGATTAATTTCTAACAAGTCTTTTTTTGAAATTTAAATTTACATGAATATCAAGTTTCCATTTCTTCCCGTAAATATCACTTTCTATAAAGAATTGTGTCTGTGATAGATATTCGAGATTTTAATGACAATGATACTACCAGCTGTACACTTAATTATGAACTAAGCTTGGTAACCCATCAACCATCCTTAACTTCGAGTGTATTGCTGTATTTTATTTGTTAAATTTTGTCAATTTTTTCCTGAGGGTCGTTGCATCAGATTTGAAAAATAATTTGTATGTTGAACTCCGTCCCCAGACTCGAAATTCTCAGCCCTGATTGAAACGGCAGTTTGATAGTTGTTACAAATAATAATTTTCTCTTATTTCAGGACCTGGAAAACCAATGAACGTCCTCGTCTCACGATTTGCCGAAAGTCCTACTGACTCGATTTTTGTCAATTGGACAGAGCCTACTGGTGGTTCATCTTCCTACAATGTCAAAATAAAATATACTAATGGCACAGTTGCCATTTCCGAAACTGATATTATGGCGACAAATTATACTGCAAGTGGTTTGACCTCAGGTGTCTCTTACAGCGCAACAGTTGTTGCTAGAAATCAGAATAGAAAATTTGGGATTCCAGAAAATTCCAACATTCAAGGAACAGGTAAATTTTTTCAAAAAAATCGTTTTTTAGACTACATTTATGAACATACAAATTCCAATTCTTATTTATATGTGCCGATATTAAATTGGAATTTAATCATTATTTTTGATAATATGGATTACATTTAAATATCTACAGAGTACAGACACTGAAAAAACAAATATGAAGTTTATTATTTTAAAATCTCCAACTTGAAACTGTTTTTCTCTTCATTGTTTTTATCAGTGTGAAGCTTAATCTGTAAAAAGACCGCTTTGTAAATAAATACAGTTCCTGATATTTTGCAGATAAGAATCTTTAGGATCAAATGAATATCAAATGTATCGTATAATGTCAATTTAATTATCTGTCAATATCCACTGCTTCACATTAAATTCTGTATCTACTTCTCTAATTTGTAAATTATTAACCATTTTCATTTTTCTTGCTATTTCAGATCCATCGCCACCATCTCAGTTGGCATCTCCATCTGTTAGTGCAACATCCATCAGCCTTACTTGGAATCCCCCAAGTCTGGGTAAATGGAATTCATACAAGATTTATGTAAATGGCAGTTCCTGGTCAAATGTTGATCCATCTCTCAATTCTAGTAAAGATTTAACTGCTGCAACCGTAACAGGGCTCAATGCTAACACTGATTACAGTTTTGAACTTGTTACAATCTCAGATGCAAACCTGGAATCTAAGAAATCAATGCCATATGTAAATGGGACAGGTAGGCTTATCATACTATTGTGTTGTTATGTGAGAGGATTGCATTGAAATAACAGTAAATTTCTCAATAACTTCTTGTGTGCATGATGACTCAGTGCAGCGGTTTCCAACTTTGTTTGATGTATTTGCCTATTTCAGCTCTCTCTGTTCCAATTATTTTTATTTAAAGGTTTATGAGCTGTGATATGCACAACTCCTGCTCTGTTTTTTGCACAGTTTGAATAATATACAAATTGTCCTTGGATATGTATCACCTTAACGCTAAATAACTGAACGATATTACTGAAGCTACACTTAAAAAAAAAAAATTATAGTTCCGTATTTCCACAACGACCCAAGGGGTTGAGAAACGATGGCTTTGAGTTATATCATTGGATTTTTACAATGCTGGCATTGCAGAATAAATAGAATAGGAGCATGTTGACCTCACCATTTTTCCACTAATCGAATTTCAAACCAATGAATTTCTTCGTTGACTTTCAGCTCCTGGTTTGGCTACGAATATTGAGTTGATAAGAACTGTTGATAGGATTAGGTCAATGAATGTAAGCTGGAACGCACCGACTGGGGGATCATCAAGTTACAATGTTTTACTATATGGAGGGGGTGATTCACCAACCCAGATGAACAGCAACAATTCACCAATTACTTTTTTCAATATTACTCCTGGTATATCGTATAATGCATCGGTGACAGCTGTAAATAAGTATGATATCCGTGGAAAAATGACATATGCTTCAAGTAACATTGGCACAGGTACTGGAGAAAAATATTCCATTTCCTAATTAGAATATGGGGAAGATTTGATGAAAATAATAAAATACTGTGTTCTTTCCAGTCACCCTATTGCAGGGATGGCGAACTGCTAACCCTCGGGTCACAAAGTGACCCACCTTGCTTTATTCGTGACCCACCAAGGCACGAATGAAATAAAAAATGCTAACATATCAGTGATAAAAATTGATAAAACCGGCCTTAAATTAATCTAGCAATAACTAAAGTCAGTTGGGCAGTCAAGGCTGCGAGTCAAAACCCCTAATCTTGGACGCATGTCTGCACCGCTGTGTACCGTTATTCAGCCTTTGACTCTGACATCGTTTATGATATTACAATGCAATTGATCTGTTCATTTTTCGCAACGTCTTGTCTCTTTTGGAAGTGCACCTGCATGCTGTTTCAGGGGTTATACGAGAACTAGATGCTACTTTGCATTTTATTAGTTTCTCATTTACAATGCCGCTGAGAAAACATAATCTTTCAGACTTCAAATGAAAACCTAGAAATCTGAAATACCAATGGGACAGTGTAAAAGTGCCTTAATGTGGTTGAGAGCTGATTGAAAAATATAACACTATCAGAGTGGAATTTCCTCCAAACTATTTGGTACCGTGAAAAATAATTTTCCCCATCATCCTAAACGTTTTTGGTAATTAATATACGTGTTTTCATACTCTAATTTCATGAAAATCGAGTGCCAAAAAAAGTACCTATTAGAAATGCTGCATAATCCCAAAACTACACCAACACCAACAGAAGCTTATAAGATTTGATTCAGAAGTTTCTTATAGATACAAACATTGATTAAATATCTGTGACCCACTCTCTTCTTTTCCGCGATAAAAATATAATTTTTGACCTATTCATCATAAAAGGTTCGCCATCCCCGCCCTATTGTGTTCCTCCAAGTCACCCTATGAACAGAACCACTTTTCTGTATTGTATCCATATGTTTTAGCATTTTGTAATCTGAAAAATACAGGGTGACCCAAAAAAACAAAACAAATTAAATCAACTTCCTGTTTGTGTATGATTTTGCCCTAAAGTTTCAGTAATTTAGGACACTTTAATAAAAAGCTTGCATTTTTTATCTCATAATTTTAATTTATAATATTATTTGATTTATGGTAATTAAATGCAACAAATAATAACCTAAAACAACAAAAATTATGAATACTAGTTATAGATATAAATTCAAAAACAGCATTGAATGGCATTCAACAAATGCATATTCTGCATGAGAATATGAGCATATAAAAATTTTACGAAGTAGTGTTGAACGCTGAGAATTCACAATGTTCTTAGCAATGGTGGGTCATGATACACCGTTAACACTAAGAGCGGTGAGTTCTGATTAGCAGTTAAAATGCACTTGCTGAAATTGCCAGCCCTAGTTGCAATGGTTGCTTTTAATTATTCTGTAATATTTTAGTTTTGGGCTATGATCTTTGTTTCATACAATCTTGTATTAAAAAATGTGCAAAAAAAGAAATATCTATATAAACATTGTTCCAGATTTATGCAAGTTATAAAGTTTGCATTTATATTTCAGATCCTCTCCCCCCTACTTCTCTCAATATTTCCATGATTACTACAAATTCTGTTGTACTGACATGGGCACTCCCAATGGAAGGCGCTTGGACCGGTTTCAATTTGTTTGTCAATGGTTCTAGACATTCCAACACTGATTCATCTCTTTCTTCTGCAAAAGATCGAAACAATGTCACAGTAAATAATCTTTCACCAAACTCAGATTACATTCTCACTCTTAAATCTGTATCTTTGGGAGGTTATAGTTCGGCTGATTCCTCTCCTGTGCTATTTACAACAGGTAACTATTTTGGAATTATATTAGTTTTCCATTTATCATAGTCACTGTGGAAATTTTCATCTTCCACTGCAAAATATGATTCAAATATTAACTTTGTTTTGCTGCCTGAAATATTTTTTTGGAAAGTTTCAAATTGAAATAAATTTCTATCAAATCAGCACTTTTACTAAAATCTGAAAGAATTTTTTTCGTATTTCATAAATTATATTTTTTTCCATTGGACCAGGGAACTCTGGGAAATTTACAATATACTTTGATTCCAGACTTTGACTCATTGGGTCACATTGACTCCCATTCCAATGAAAATTTGCCAAACTTCAACTCCTAACATCAATTCAAAATGGATTTCAAGACTTTTTTTTATAAATTATTTCAGTTCCTCTGTCGGTCAGCAGTGTAAAGATTGAACAAAATTCTGCTAATCCTACGAATTCATTGGATGTGACTTGGACCGCTCCAAACAACAGTGCTGCATCATATCTAGTTTTATTATTCAATAGTTCTAGCACAGTGTCAGAGAATCACGCAACCGTGTCAACCACCCATGCTACTGTTACTGGTTTAACTCCTGGGGAAAGTTATCTCGCCTCTGTGTATGCTAACAATAAAAATGACCTGAGGAGTGAAATGGTTAATTCTACTGATGGAAACGGAACAGGTATATCATGTTTCATATATCATATTTTGATATTTTAACAATAATCTATTATTTTAGACATTTTCAATCAATGATAGCAGTTAGCAATGTTGTTTCACAGATAAATGCAGTAAAGTAAAATTTCTCGCATTAAATCCTTTTGGAGGGATTATTTCTTTCAAATATGTGCAGGGAATGACCAATTAAGATTCTATAGTATTATTCATGAGAATTGGTTCAAATCTAGACCACTTGCACTCAGAAGTAAATTCCAAGCAAGCTTATGACTGTCTAATGAAATGATTGAAATGGCTAGGTGTCAAAGAAGTGAAATTGGGGGTAAATTCAAGTATAAAACGTTATTTGCATAAGGCAGGTGTCACCGCTCATTGATTTGTCTACTTTTTTTTTATCATATATTCATTTCTATTTTAGTTGCATTTATGATGCAAAAATCTTTGGCAGTATTGTTTCTTTGCTGCCACCTGCTGCTGCATATTTCTGAATTGAACAAAGACAATGATATCAGGGATGACGTTTATGTTAATGATTGACCTATGTAATTAATTGACCTATTCCATGATTGTGAATTCATGTAGTCATACGGCCCTTACCAAAAAAAAATGGTGATTCCAGTTTTAAAGGCTACACTGTGCAACTACGGAGTTGTATCAGATTTAACAAACTGAATTAAATATTTCATATCCTACTGCAATTTACTAACTCATTTTGTTTGTGTGACATCAAAATCCATTTTTCCTTTTACAGATCCTGTGCCTCCAACCAACTTGAGAGTCAAGAGTTTTACCAGCATAAGCACTACAACTGTGCCTTTGATGTGGACGATTCCTGAAGGAAACTTTATAAGTTACAAGCTATTTGTTGATGATTCTGTGTGGTATAATACCGATCCATCACTAAATAACACAAATGCTGTTACTGAGGCTATCGTGGGTGGATTAATCCCAAATACGCTGCATAAATTTCAGATAACAACCATATCAAAATTGGGATATGAGTCTGTCAAATCGGAACCTGAACGTAACATAACAAGTATGGTTATCTTATTATATTTTAAATTTTTCTGTTTTGTTCATGGAATTGAATATATAAAAGTTTCAATGTAATAGGAATGTTTATATAATAATTATATCATAAAATTGCAACACTGTGTTGCTCTGACTTAACTTTTATTTATATATTAATTTTATCTTATCCTTGCTCAAATCACCATAGATGTCTGAATCATTCATTTTAGATGTGGATTTTTATGATAAATAGAATCAAATCCCAATTTTTTTTATTTCTGGATTTGTGTTTTCCTAGGAGTTTGTTTTTAGTTTTTCAATATTTAAAAGTTCTTTTTATTCCAAAGTATTCAATATCACAGGTGCAAAAACATAGCCCAGGTCGTATATTCTGGAGAAAACATAACTTTCGTGCAAATTGTCCCACCAGATTACTAAAACTTTTGGGTACACTCATACACAAACAGAAGTTCAAGTGTTAAATAAATTTCCTTCTTTTTCGTATTAGTAATTAAGAAATTCCTGGATTCTGTTTTTTGGTTACCCTGTAAAATAACTTTTCTATCATTCAGCAATTTATACTGTTTATCATTTCCATCTTTAGAACCAGATGCTGTGTCAAATGTCACCATTCTCGAAAACATGAGTGATCGTGTACATTCTCTCAATGTCACATGGATAGCTTCATCTACCGGTTCCCACTCTTATTTTGTTTCACTACTTTATTTGAATAATACACTGGAGCAATCCCAGAATACAAATCTTACCAATGCTATTTTCAATAACCTACTACCTGGAACAACCTTCAATGCGTCTGTTGTGGGATTAAACAAGGATAACTTGGTTGGGGATACTGTTGTTTATTCAGACTCTCTTTATGGGACAGGTTAGTATATATTCTTGGTTGAATTTTTAGGTATTATAAAAAATAAGTACTTTCTTGGTACTCCTGTAGTGTGTATTAGGGTTACCAGGTTAGGGTTAGGCCATAATTTATTTTATTCCAATTTTCCCTATTTGAGTTCAATTACGAGTTCGGGGACTTTTGTGTTAGCCAAGTGAATATACCCCCTACCCATAGGTTTCAAATCCTTTACACAACTTGATGTAAAGAAGTCGAACAAAATTAGTTTCCTCCATATTTGTACACACACTTCTGGAGCACCCTTTTCTGAATGCGGCCCATTACAATATAACCTCGACCATCTCATATATAGAAGGTAAAAAATTCACCCATGTTCTTTTCATTTATACTCTATTCAAGACTTAATCTGATTATGAAGGAAAAATTCAAACCTAAATAAATATTATAGCTAATTTTGTCTCTTAACAATAAGTGTTTTGTTTTCAGCACCTCTTCCTCCTGCAAATATTATGGCACATTCCGTGACCAATTCTTCTGTTATCTTGAAATGGGTGAACCCAACATACGGGAATTATCACAATCTTAGTCTCACATCAGACATGGCAATATTTACTATGTCTCCTGTGCTTGATAGAGCAGATATAACAGAAACTCAAGTCACAACTCTCGATGGGAACACAAACTATACTTTTCGACTGAGAACTGTTTCTGACTTCGGATTATTGTCTGAATCTATCTCTTCTAGAGTATTAACCTGTGAGTTGCTTTAAATATTTAATTTCTGGTTATTTTTTAGCCTGTGTTCTTATGAAATATCAAAACTTTCACAAAAAGTTTCATTTTCATTTTCAAGTCAAACTCAGATGGCTATGAACTCTCTTTATCTAGTCTCTGTACCTTAGGCCCAAAGTATTTTTTAAATGACTTTATTTATGTGGAATTTACTATCATACCTATCTGTTTTCCTGACTGTAATAACATAAAGTGTTTTATGTCTTACATCCATCGTTATTTACCATTGTGCAATTCTACACCACAATTCTTTTGTCTCAATAGTGTCAGTAGCTCTTCACGTTTTTGGTGGTTGCCTTTGCTCACAGATCAATTTTGTTTTAGAGAGGGTACGTTTGTTCTTGTTTTGAGCAAATTCCTTATAAACAAGGTTCTCAAAGCAGTTTCATCTTCACATTTGAAGTTTTCCAGTATTTGTTTTTATTGTCAAAATTGCTAATTGGTATTCTCGAAATATTTTTTCAATTCATCCAATTGTGGATTTATTTAAACAAAGTGGGGATGACTCTTTAAATATGATACATAACTGTATAATATGATGAGGATGACATACCGATCGTTTTGTTGAATTGTTGTTTTTTGCTACAAATCGTTTTTCTTATACTGCTGAACAAAATGTTTCCTTAAAAGCTCTCAATTTTATTTTACCCACTTTGCTGGTGTTTTGCCCACATTTTGTTATTTTAAAACTGCAAATATTGTTTTTCACATGCCGGTATTTATTTTTTTTGAGTTATCCATGCTTGGTTGGCTGCCTTATTTATATCATGTTGCTTTACTTTGCCGTCTTTCGTTTAGTGCCTGATCGTCCACAAAACACAACACTGGACACTCCGACTACAAATGCATCAAATTCTCTGATTGTCAGCTGGTTTCATGGGGGTGTTGGTTTGCATCAAGATGTTGAACTTTGGTCAGAAGCTGATAAAGATTCAGTTTTTACTCGATCAACATTGCCTAACTCTGAAAGTAGCAAAATATTTAGTGATCTTGTACCTGGAGAATTATACAATGCGAGTGTTAATCATGTTAATGCAAGGGGGAAAGGAGAAACAGCTTATGTTGAAACTCCACGCAGAACTGGTAATTGGATACTTGTTTGTTTTGTGTAATTAGACTCAAATTAGCGATTTTGAAACATTTGAAATTTGTTCTTAGTCTAGTTTGTCAAAAATTATTGTTTAATTATTGAAAAATAAAGAAATTTGAAAAACGAGATCAAGATAAGATTATAAGATTAAATGCCACGTTTGGCTACCTTGAAATAAATAAAAATATGAAACGTATCCTGTATATATGCTATCGTATAATATGGGTCTAAATCCTGAAATCTTTGATATGCTGCACAAAAAGCCTATAAGTGGGAATAGTCATATTACAAACCATGGTATGTCATTATGTGTTCTCGTCCATATGGTAATAGGCAACTGGTTATTTGTTTCCAATGTATGGCCTTTTTCACTAATATGGATAGACTTCTCAGTATGTATATTTAATTTAATTAGGATGAAATACAACATTCTAATGCTAAAGTTTTTCCAGCCAAAACTTTGTAACTCTCTGTCATAGGAATGAATTTCCTATGGCCAGAACTTGATTTAAAATTTTTGAATGGTTTGAGATATATTCAATTGAAAATAACTCTATTTGATCATATGCCATTTGCAACTATTTCACGATTCCACCCTTTTTTGTGTTCAGAACCTTTGATGCCAATACTTAATAGCAGCATTGGGGCAACGGCGAATACGGTTTCCCTTTCATGGTCTTATAACTCCAATAAGAAAACATATGTGCAAACGGGATATGAGTTGATGGTCAATGGAAAACTTTATTCTAATACGACACCGACCTTAGTAATGTACACGGGCACAAATGTAGTCATAGATGACTTGAGATCAAATAATGAATATGACTTTACGCTTGTTGCAATATCTGGACCAAGCTTTGTTGCAAAATCACACTCAGCACATGCAACATCCTATACACGTAAGCTATTTTTTAAATACTATTCAAGGTCACAATGCCTCCAAAACAAGTCAAATTTATTCAATTCATAATTAAAATGATTTTTTGAGCAATCTCAAAGTAGGACACAATGACTTTCATCCAATTTCTGAAAACGAGAGGTTTAAGGAAATCTTTGTTTCATCTTGACTTCTCGAATTCACAAATTCAAATTTTTTGAATTCAAACTAAATTTATATTGACTATTATTGTTGGCTGTTTATATTATTTTGACCCGGGTTTTTTTCCCTTCGAAACAGTAATAATATAGATCTATTGATTTCTAAAGTAGGTTCTAGTTATCACTGATTTCTTTGAAAATTTTGAGTGATTAATATTCAAATAGGCTGTATATTCAAGAATCCTGGTCTTGCTTCATTAATATCTCAATATATTTTTTAGTTCCGGATCCGCCCACCAATATAAAAGTCGAGAGAAATTCTACAGACAACACTACCATAGTGAGACATTACTAATACTTGAATATTGATTATAAATAGTCTTTTATGAATTTTGATTTTGGATATAGGAATATCTAGCTATTTTTATCTCTCAAATTTACCTCTTTTTTCTGTTAAATTGCTTTAATTTTTAAAAATTTATGTCAACTAGGATTGGCTAATACTAATTAATCTACTATTCCTAATACATTCAGAAAATATATTTTTGAATATGTTCTTAATTGGATTAAAATCAGATTTTGGTCAAAGAATTACACAGCTAAATAATTATATATTCGACTTTTAAAACTGTTGGCTTTATACCAAATATCACAAGACCAATTATTCACTGAAATATGTGTTTTGCTGCATTAGTGATTGTGAGTGGGTGATGCTATTTGTGACATCATGAAGGAAGTACAGTCACAATATTAATGTAATTTCATTTCCAGCCTTGGTTTCAGAATATTACTGATCCTAAACTATAAACATGAACAGCAAATTTACTATCAAAACTGCAACAGTATAAGCCTTTCGCTATTAAATAACAGTAGCCATAAACTGACGCTTTGATATTCATAACAATTATGTGGAAGGGATTACTATATCTATTTAGATTTGTGTTATATAGTTCTGATTCTATTTTTCAGCTTTTTATTTTGTAAAATATTACAAATTGGTATATTCATGTGGAAATGACAAACTGTACAATAGAATCGGTATTTTGGAAAATCCAAATTTTTAACTACAGTATATATTTTGTTTAAACCAAATCTTCAGGACACACATTTTTTATTTTAAAATTATTACATTTCTATCATTAAACTTCATATTTGTATTCTTGCTAGATAACGATACACGAATAAATGTATTTTTATATCCTATTTCAGGAAATTGTAGTCTGATACTGTTTCCTATATAAAACATTTTACAACATGATATCAGATTACATTTCTGTGATTTAAAACACGAAATATGGCCAATTATGGACCATTGATGTATCATGTCATTAAAGTGTCAATAATTACCTTTGATCCATATGCAATGAATATTGCCTCTAAATTTTTCGAACAAGTAACTCTTTATCCATAGTTTTAGAGGAGTTTTTTTGCTCTTAACTAAATACACGGGGTACTGTGCGGACATTTTGAACAATGTGGATAGCACTATCCTGATTAGCTCATTTTGCTCAGCTTTCCACAAATCATTTTTCAGTTAACTTCCTCACCACAGAGTTAGAGGCACTGAAATATATTTAGAGGCACTATTTTTTTGAGTAGCATTGAGATGAAACTTGATCAATAATTATGAACATAATATTGCATGTACTCTCATAACACGGAGCATGCAATTCAAGTCGTGACGTCTCCAGAATTTCAAGTTTCAAGTCTTCGCATGTGTAATAATATGAGGGGTGTCCAAATAGTTTAATTTTAACAAAACGAAATTTGAAACTATAGCTAATTGAAAAATAGGCTTTTTGAATAATCACGATAGCCTCATTTCCTATTTTTTTTAATTCAAAATTTTTCTAGTGTATTCAATATAATGTAATAAATATTCAATATATATCATAATTTTGCTGCAAATTTGTATCTTTTTAGAATATTTAAAATCACAATTATTTGCAATTTATTGTTCTGGAACACTTCAACTATTATGATATGGGCATCTTTACTCGCAACAAATGTAACAGCTAAATCTAAAAATGGCACTACTGAAAATCAGAACTAAAACAGATACAACTAGACCAGAAGATGGTCCCGGTTCCAAAAATGACAGGAGATCAAAAAAATCAAATTTTGAGTAATAATCTACTTTAGTTTACAGTGCAACAAATCCAGAAATATGCCGAATACTCATATATTTCCAATTTCACACAAATGGAAATTTAGATGTAATTTTGGGATATTCCACGGAAAAATAGCGCCTTTTTTTAATATTTTTTGTGATACTTTCCTTAATAGATTCAAAAAAGGTTTCTTGAACATGCCTACTAGTTACAATCTTTCCAGATTTTATTGACTTTCAAATACATTTTTATTTTCCTTGAGAAAATACTGACCTTGTTTTAACATACATTATCTTATTGTGATTAAACAATTTGATTTTTCTTTATCCATAAAAAGATTTGATTTAAAAGCCAATAGTAGTAGATAAGATAAAAACATCTTTATAATTTCGTCATTGCTGTAATTTTAATTGCTAGAACGACAAATAGATTTAACACTTTTGTCGTTTTATGAGCGTAGATGAGGTGTGTGACATCAGTGCTTTCAAAATTGAATTAAATATATTATTGGACACGTCAGTGGACATAACAATCTTTCCAATATTATGTTGTTGTTCTTGTTCATTATCATTGTAAAATCGCTTTTCTCTTCGAATACTGGACTAACTGCTTTGAAATTTTCAGTGGTTAAAGATTGTTTTTTTCGCCAGATGGCTATTACTAAATTTCAGTTCTAAATGAAAGCTTGCGATTTTTGTTTAGAAAATAATTTATAATTAAGTTGAAAAAATTAAGACTTGGGTCGGAGGTGTGACTAAAAACTCAGACAAAGAGCAAATTTTTTGTTGAAGAAATTACATAAACTTTGTTTTCTAATATGTTGTTGTAAAAAGATTAATCAAGTGTTTTCACCCTAAATTAAGGATGGGGGAAGCCTATAGTACATTTTTTTAATTAAAAAACATTTTTAATTAAAAAAATGGTGCTTAGGAAAAATATGGTAAATCATTAAAATTTGAATATTGGGTGTGGGCAGATTTGTCCGTAGAACTCTGTTTAAAGGAAGTTTGATTTGCACATTATAAAAGAAAAAAGAAATGTCTACTAAAAAAATATTTTTTAATAAAATATAAAAATATTTTATTACAATATTTTTTTATTCATTGTTGCCTGTGGAATCATGTTTGTTAGAAGTTAGGAAATATATTCATTTGGAATATCTGAATTTGAATTTTTGAAATTTTCATATTGTATTATTCCAAGGTTATATAAAAATGTCAATAAGACATTACTGTTGTAAACGTATTACGTTTATGAATTCATCTATTTGTTCCAGCTTATCATCTCTTTTACAACACCTTTAAATGGTGCGGACTCGTATTTGGCTTCTGTGAATGGACTACAAGCAGAAGGTGGTACAAGTCCTGTTAGTACTTCATCAACGATAGGTGTGGACGGTCTAGTTCCTGGTGCAACATACAGTGTGTCGGTCATTTCAAAGAACAGAAAGGGAAGCAGTATTCCGGCAGATATGCAGTTTATAACTATGAGTAGGTTATCTTTATGGTATTTACTAAACGCTGCTATAGAACTAATTAAAGGTTCCGAAAAATAGCCTTTTTTGTGATTATTTAAGGCATTACTTACTAAAACAGATACAGCTTTGAAATCCAGACCGATATTGGCAGAGGATGTGAAAAATTTGACATAGGCTAGTTTGGTTTTACTACAGCAAAACAAACAGTGAACATTAATATATTATATTCTAAAAGTTTTTAATGAATTCGGACGGAAAGAAAATGAATCTGGAAAATTAGATCCCTTTTTTATATTTTGGTCGTAATTCTGTCATATTTGGAAAATTTGATTTTATCTCCAAATATAGAGCTTATCATGTCAGCAAGTGCTTGTATACAGCCTTCTTGATATCTGCTAAAAACTTGAAATTACAAGATATATTCCAGATTATTTAGGTAGAGCTACAATGGCATCATCTGAATTTATCAGCTTAAATTACGGCATTTAAATATATCTCTATATCATCTGTTCTTAGAATTACTACCATAATTGTTATTTATAGACTTTACTTACTCTGAAGATGCTTTTTTCAATTTTCTCAGCACCCTTTGGAATGGACAATTTCAGAGTTTCAGATAGATCACAAACAACAATGAATATAACCTGGACTCTTCCACCTAATTCAAAGAGGGATACAATAGTAAGATTCTTTATTTTTTTAATTGAAGAATTCATGATCCTGAATCAAAATTATTTTGTAAATTGTGAAAATATTTATTTTGATAGTAATTTTGTGTTCATGGAATGTTTAGGTATTTATTTTTTGGTTATGTTCGGTAATTCTAGCATATGTTTTTCTAAAAGTGCGGCATAGTAAAATGTATTAAAATCTGACTGTAAAATAATTAAATTAAATATATTATCAATTGAATTACTATTCATCTTCAATTTTTTATTATTTTCAATTTTAATGACATTATATTAGGTATTGTTAAAATCACATAAAATTTATTACATTAGCCTATTTAAAAAAGAATTGCTTTTTGATAAATAAGATAACGAGAATAACTAATATTTGAAAAATGTGCAATACAGCTCTTTTTCAAATATTTAGTATTCAAATATACAATTATCTAAATGAATTCATAAATTTATTATTTAATAAATAAAAGTACCGGTAAGTACTTTTATATTCCGTTCCATCTAAGTTATTTTAATTTCTATATTCTTTCCATTTATTCATTCTACCCCACAATATATTTGAAATACAAACTGTTTAACAGATTATATTTATTTTAGAAAATATCTCACTCTGTATTTGGTGCAGAAGCTACTGCAACAAATTTGGATCTAAACATTCACTCCAATTCATACAATTTGACTAATTTAACTCCGGGACAAGTTTATACTGCTACCATTATTGCTGTTAGCAATAACACCAATAGCAAGCCTGCAAGCGTCGTTTCTCGAACTAGTATGTATTTATATTAAATCAGAAAAATTTCAGTTTTGTTTTGTGTTCTGAATTTTTCTTAACCCGGTTTGTTTTATTTTAATCAGTGCTTATGTAGGGTTTTACTTCATTTATTACACCTGTAAGAGCCAACAAACTATATATGGCAATATTAATGAGTTCCCTTTGCAATTTTAAAATTAAAAAACCTGTTAACACCTTATCCTGCATGTTCTTTTGTGCAAAAATGCTGCAAGCACCCAAATACAAGACATTTTTTTTTCTTAATGAAAATCTAATATTTCCATTTTGAATCATGGCTTCTTGCCTATGACCAAGGCTCTGTGACATGATTTTCACTATTTTTTTCTTTATATGGGAGTTAGAATCAATAATTTGGAATAAGAGATAGATTTTCATACTTTTAATGGTGGTAATTAAAGTCACAATTTTTGACAGAAACTAATTAGGCAATAGGTTGACTAACAGGTTGATGTAGCATTTTTAACAGACAATGAAAGAAGGATGTACCCTCCTCAGATTCCCAAGTGCTGCTTATGACACTTCAAACCATTTGGCAATGAATTTCTCACTGAATCCTGAATGCTCTTCCCATTTGTATCTCACAAATCGCTCCATTTTTAATAACGTTACCAGGGCTTTCTAGAGGGTCATTTATTTGGAAAACACAAATTGGGAAATCAAGACGTGAGCCAAATGGTTGATGCATATTGCCTTTAATTGTTTCTTGATGAACAAGTAGTACGACCTCAGGAAATATGGTGTCTAGCTGATCCGTGAAGAATATTCATGTTTCCCAAAGAGAGATTTTGCTTCGCTTCGCACTCACCCACCTAATTCCAATCAAAACTTCCTGACAGTATTGTGAAAATCTTCGGGATATCTGATTTGAATAGTCAACAAGTTAACAACAATTTTCATAATTTCATTTGATCAGTTCCGACGCCTCCAAGAAACCTTGTATTCGGCAAAACAACTAACGAATCGATTGAAATCAAATGGGACAAACCAGAGGGAAGTGTCGTCTATGAAGGATATAAAATACGATATGCAGAAGTTACTAAATTAAGCTCCAAAATGGTGTACAATGCAATGTAAGTTTACCAGAACTCTTATTTACACTAAGTAACAAATAAAAACTTCGAGAAACATTATCTGGTGATGAATGGGAGCTGTTAAAGGTTGAAGTTTTATCAAGCGATCCTTAACAGTCGTGCACATTCCAATGTTTTTGGTATAAAAATTTGATTCAATTTAGAGCAGTGGTTCTCAACCTTTTTCAGTTCGCCGACCGGCAAAATTTCAAAACAAATTTTGCGGACCTACGGACCTTCAAAATTAACCAAAAATGTAATGAACACAAAACATAATCAAAAGAATGCAATTACGAGCAAAAGAAGACAATCTAATTTAATGTCCAATTGCTGCTGTCTTTTTGATATTATATGTGTTAAACGCGGTTCTCTTCCTCTGTTCTTACGACTAACTTGGTTTTCCCCGCTGTTTTTTTTTGAAAGAACTGGATAATTATATCCTGGTTGTTTGCCGCCATTTTACTATGAAACCTCGCTAAATTATAAGCCTACTGTCAAAGTACGGAACGTGCAAACTTTTCAATCAGGTACCGTACTATGTGATATCAAATTCCTCCGTTATGACGTTGGCCATCGTTATGAGGTCGTAGAATTAATGAACATCCAGCCGTTCAGGGCTTTAAATGGACAGAGGTCCTCTCACCAAGTTTGGTTGTTAGACTAATACTGGTACTACAAATCAATAAGAGTTAAAAAGCAGAAAATTAATGGACATGCCGTCAATACTTTGTATTTTGCAATTTGCTTATAATATTTTAATATTGAAATATATTTGGCGGACCGGCAGCAAGGTTGCCGAGGACCGGCGGTTGAGAACCACTGCTTTAAAGCAGTGTTTCCCATCCTATGGGTCGCGACTATGGCTGGGAATGGTTAAACGTTTAACCGATTTTAGATGGTTAATGGTTACGATTTATTTTAACCGTTAACTGTTTGACCGTTAATGTACAATTTCTTTCAAAAATGATAACGTCATCGCAAATTTATCTCCTGTGGCGTTTGACTAAAAGAATATCACTAACTGTATCGCTAAGGACCCGATAAGGGTCCTTGAAAAATAATTTAAGTACCAAGATTGCAGATTATGCAATCTGACAATGATAAATTCAGAATCAGTTTTCGATCAAAATATATTGTTCACGATTTTATTTCAAAATCGTTCATTCAATGTCATCAAACAAGTGCGCAGTTGAGGCTGTTTTTTTTTTATGATATCTTAACGTAGAATTTGCATGCAACACAAATTTGTCACATAAATCACATTTAATAAGCGAATCGGGTCCAAAGTACGCCGCATGTCTCTTGCAGCAGAGAGATCATGAAACTATCTCAATTCGTGAATAATATAGAGCGACATCAGGATAAGATAACACGAAATTGCTTTGTAATGATTGTGGCGTAACAAGCTAAAATTTTAAATTATTATGCCAAACATCACGCCGTGGTTAATTGGTTGACCAGGTAATTTTACCCGGTTAACGGTCAAATTGTTTTCTCCGAATTTCCCCAACCCTAGTCGCGACCCAATTATGGGTCGTCTGAACATTTTCTTGGGGGTTGGCAGTGTCGCTCGAGAGTATTTGTATAAGTGGGGAGTAAAACATCGTAAAAACTTGGCAGCTGCTGTTTGCTTGAGGCAACCTACGCCACGATATCAAAAACTATGGCAAATGAGTGCAGCTTTTTCAATTTGAGTTAATTTTTGGTAAAATAAATTTTTTGTAAAAATATTTTTTTCATATAGTCAGTTAGTTTTGTGACCAAATAAGGCAAAAGCTTTTTTTATATTTTGGTTGCTTGAAAGAAAGGTTGGTAACAACTGCTCGATAGTAGTGTTTCCTAATCTGGGTTCAATCAAACACTTGGGGTTCGGTGGTGCTGTTCCAGGAGTTCAACGAAAGTCCTCTAAAATAATTTTTTTATGTTTTCAAACATTTTTGCCTGAAACTTTGTCTTCCTCCAACATGACACCATGACACTTTGTTTCATGCAAATTCAGTCATGCAAGGAACATTGAATTAATGGCCTAGCAGGTAAAGTGTTAGACTATTCTGTGTTTGCATTGCAGATTAAAGATCTCTGATTCGAATCCTATGACCCCCGACCTCACATAGTTTTTGTGCGCAAGATTCCACTCCTTCCAAATAATTAGTAACTTCTTATGTATGTTAAATCAGTGACCACTTGTACGGGCTCTGTTCAGAGAGAAAGGCATTAATAATCAAATATAATCAATTTGAATGTAAAAAGTATCGATTGCATCTCTAATCTCTATAAAAAATAAAGACAATGACTCAGTATTCAAAGTAATTTTCATTATTATAAAAACTTGATGGTTTCCATTCTATCGCAGGTATGTGGACAAATCATCAAAAAATACTATGATAAATTCACTGAAAGCTGGAACATTTTATCAAATCAATGTAGCTGTTGAATCAAATTCAACTGTAGGAAGTCAGATTGTGCCTGCAACTTACAGTGAAGAAGTATCAATATCTCCAACAACTCGTAAGTTACTGTGTCGAATAGAACTTTTCATGCACTAATGTTAGGTGCAGAATTGTACTGTTGCAAATCAAAATTATCCTTGCCTTGAAATCTGGTGCTAACTGATGTACTGTACTAACAGGAATACATTCCACAATTGATAAATATAGTATTTTTGAATTTCCTTTTTATATCATGATTTCCACAATGAATATTTATACACAAAATTTAAAATGCTATTCAAACAATGGAGCAATTCTAAAATATATGGATAGGGTCTTCGGCATTAGTGAAATCTTAGCTGAGCATTGAGTTATTTGGAAAGAATGAAGTTTTCCAATACCTTTGCCATTGAAAAGCTTTCAAAAGATTTATTTGTCTTCTTCCATTAGAAGTTAGTCGGTCTATTAGTTGTATGAAAAGCAAATTTTTACTCGACTGCGACAATTTAGCAAGAAGATAAGTCTACTTAATGTTCAAGAAGCAAACTTTGGGAATACCAAAAATAGAATTTATTTGCATTGCAAAGAAATAATACCATCATGTCAAATATTGCTTCGTATCATTTTGTATCCATGAATTTGATGCCTTATACGTACGTTTAAGAGTCAGTACACACTACACAGCTTTCAAAAATTGAATAAGGGACCAATGGAAATATTGAAAACCATAGTTATACAGACATAGGCATTCCACTCTTGACCTATAATTAAAAACTCACAAAATTTCAATTTCTTTCATTCTATCCGATAGACCCAAATCCTGTCAAAAATTTGACACTTCGACAACTTGCTGAAGATCCAACCAAAGGAATACAGGTTTTTTGGGAAGATCCAGACGGTAATAAAGAAAGATTCGAGGTTTGTTTTATTAACTGAAAACAGTAGTAGCGGTAGTTATCATTGTAAAATTGAATTCAGTTGATGAATTTATCCTTTTCATTGAAAAATTTGATTGAGGAGTCAAAGTTGTCCTGGAAGTTTGTAAGAAATTTGACATATTTCTAACGAAAAAGAAAATATTTTTTTCAGTGAAATTTCATATTCATTTTTATGTCGGTAGATGTAAAACTATTCATGAATTTAACACTCTGTAATTGTTTATTTAGATAATATATCATGCGAACAGTGCTGAAAATAATTATACAAGGCATGTGAGTCAAGTGGTTAATTCTCAAACAATTACTGAATATATTAAGCCTGGAACAATTTACAATGTAACAGTCATCACGATCAGTGGTAGTTTCAGGGTCAAAGTGAAGAAGGCTATAAATACAAGTTAGTTTAATATTTTCTGGAATATTTTGCTAATAGTTTAGTGATGAATATTCAAGATAGCTGATTTTTACTGCTTTAGATGTAAAATAAGTATTTGTTTTTTTCATATAACTTGTTTTGCTACGTTAAATCCAGGACTTAAACCAAATTTGGTATTATTTTTTTTTATAAAGCATCCTTTTTGTCGACAACCCATTGCAGTTTCTGAAAATTTTATAACCCACGGACCGAGTCAAAATTTGTCTTTATTTGCATCCGTTGATGATAAATTTTATCGGACTCTTGCCTCGAGCCTTGATTTGAATATCCCCGATTCAGATATTAGAAATACTGTTATTCTTGCGGAAAATCAGCCACCTTTGGCATGAAATATCAAACTGAAAATCAATTGTGAGTCTATTTTAGATCAGAAAATTTCCTAATTCCTAACCAAATTGTCCATGCTCTCTTTTTCACATCTGTTTTTTACACATATTTTTTATTTTAGAGCCTGCTATTCCAACAAATTTTAGCTTCACAGATATTAAGCAGACAGGTCTACATGTTGCATGGAATAAACCCAATGGTGGGGCCAGAGGATATCAAGTTTATTGGAAAAATTATACAGCTGCTGAATACTCGGTGAATACTGCAATTTGCTAATTATAATTATCTTCTAATGTGGTCGAATTTTTATAGTTTCACACCATTTTTATAGCAAGTAACAGGGTTGTTGGTGATGCTCACAGAATTAAGTTTAAACAATTTTTTTTTAATAGGAAATTTTTGACTTGGAAATTAAAAATTTGTAAATAAGGATCACTATTTTTTGTGAAACTGACAATTTTTTAGGATTTTTCAATAATCAATTCTGTCACATTTTATTCGAATATAAAATATTGGATTTCGTTTATTGGTATATTGAATTTAACCTTTAAAAATTGGAAAGAAAAAAAGTTTTATGTTGAAGTGTGATAGCATTTATTTTTTCTCTGTTCGAAGATTCATGAAAACTGAAGAAAAGAGCCCATTATTGTTCTTCTCTCCCGTTATTTTGTGTTAGGAAGCTAACAATAAGCCAACCACAAAAGAAGAAACTAAGCTGAGCTGCCCAATAAGCCAACCTCAGAAAATTAGGTCAAAATATCGAAAATTTGGCTTATCAGCTGATAAATATGTTTTTGCTGTTTCCACTTATCACTAAGTAATATATCATTTCTAGAACTCAATATTTACTCAAGAAACTTCTCATCATATACTGTTTCTGTATCCACATTATCAATATGATGTTGCAATACAAACAGTCATCACTAATTATCTTGGGAATGATGATATGAGTGAAAAAATTAATATCACTGCAAAGACACTTGCTGCTGGTTTGTACTTGATTTTAACTAACAACAAATTATATTTCTTGAGATTCTTCAACTGCATGATAGTGATTTCAAATGCTAAGTTGATTAACTATTAGCTTATTTGGGATTGAACACATTTTTATTTCTGAATATCTTCTTAGTCTTTTGCTCTGTAAGCATATACCAAATACAAAAGAATAATGGCTAAATATATGGCCACAAAATTGTAATGCATAACCATGGAACAACTGTACTCTATGTGGAGTACACATAATTTTATAGCAAGTCGCATCGATATGGATAAGGTCCCGTTGAGCCCAAGGTTTGCTGAAAAGATAGCAGACTAGCTATGTGGTTGCACAATATACTTATGAATAGTGAAATTTATAGTATAATATAGCCCCAGAGCTCCAGAAAACAGAGGGGGGAATGTGAAAAAATAGTAGTTATATTCTTTCTTGCACCATTAATTACTGAAAATTGTAATCGATTGATTTTTCATAACATCAAAAACATCTTCAACCAGAGCAACAATTTAGCAAAAATACTTTATTGGTACAATTCTTGTCTACCTAATAAAATATTTTTTAAGATGTTGTTTCTGTGATTTAGGTTTATTTCCTCTCTTTTTAAACTTCCTTGACACGTCCAACATTTAATGAGATGCTTAGCTTTGTCAAATTTATTTTTACTCATCTTTTTCATTACATTCTCACCTCTGCCTGTTTCAGATCTCTCAATTACTTCTTCACCATAGACGAAAAATCAGTTTCCGTTTATTTTTTAAAGTTCAATGGATCTAGCGTCATGCGCAGTTCATTTTTTTTTCATTTTTGCACGGTTTGAATAGTTTACTCTATGTGTATTGTTACTAAGTAGTATGTTCTCTCCCAAAAGCAACAAAACTCATTCCTGGGGATGGGGCCCCCTCCTCTTTTGGAAACTGTTGGTCTAAATCAGTGTTTCCCAAACTTTTTTCTGCCAGCGCTCCCAGGATGACTTTTTAACTAGCAAACGCCCCTTTTAACAAAAAAGTCAAAGCAACTTTATTCTTCATTTATCATTAGTATAATGTGAAGGTTGAGCCTAGTGAAATGCCACCAGCTTGATAATATCTAGCTTCATTTCAGGCAAAAACAGTCTTGAGTCTCCTTGTCTTACACTTTCAAGGGAATCTTTCTTGATATGTAAAAGTGTGGTCGCTGCACTAATCGCTCTACCAAGGATGAGCTGGCGAGAGCAATATAAATTTTTTTAACCCGATATAACTTGTGAGGATATTTCAATTTGATGTGTGTTTGTGCCGAGAAATATCTGTACATGACTTGAGGACATACTATGTAGCCTTATTATTCAATGACCCAAGAAATAAAAATGAACCAGTTAAGTCGCAACATGGAGATGGTCCTATCTGAACTACGTCTGATAGTCACCCAGCTCTCACATGTTGCTCTTAACAAAACCAAAATTATAACAAAAGGGTGTTGTACTTACACTACCGCTTCAAAGCATCATAGAACCCGATATTAAAATGAAGCTGGTATTCAAAACAGTACAACCAAACGTGTAGTACATGGCGAGGGAAGCGTATGCCGTAAGCACTATGTATTATTGTGAAACAATACGGATTTAAAAAACTCATAATACATATTCTACGTTGAGCAAGTAATTATCAACACCGAAATCACAAGCAAACTAGTTTGAAACAAAACATAGGAGTAGATGGCATAAAATATCATACTTCTTGTGAGTTCCCATATTAGTAACAGCGCCCCCCAATCGCCCAGTTTGATATCCAACGCCCCCCAGTTTCCCAAAGCGCCATCAGCGCCCCCTAAGTTATGGCAACCGCTGGCGTAAATAAAATCAGTTTTGGTAAAATTACAATTTTATATATTTTTTTAAATATAACTCTCATTTTATGAAATATTTTTGCATTCTGTAGCTCCATTTATCAATTCACCTCAAGACGTAAATATGCAATATGAGGTTACCATGGATACAGCACAAGTGATCTTGGATGCCAATAGATTTGATGATAGGAATGGACCAATTGATTATGTTTGTGTGATTGTTACTACTAACAAAAATAGTAAGTTGCGTAAGATTTTTCAAGGATGGCAAAATCGAATCATTTACTATTCCAAACATTTTTACAAAAACATGTTTCAAAATGGAATATTGAATATTAGAATCAGATTTCTTATAAAGTATAATTTTGATGGTAGGCAATTAAGAACTTGACAGACTTTTAGACTCAGTCAATAATTTCTGTGAAATCATTCAATCTTATTTAAGTATCATTACAACTCACTCAACTAACTCTTGAAAACTGAAGGAAAAGATTTCTGTGTAACAGCTTTGCATATTTGTAAACATAGTAGCACTTTGAAGTGCTATGTTTAATAATAATCAAGTTTAAACTTATTTTCACTAAGGCGAAGGTTACATATTATAAGAGGAATATGCCCGCAGAATGACTTATTTATTTAAATTTAATGTTAATAAGTCTAAATGGTTCTGATGTCTGGTTTGGCATGATAGATTCATTCCTACACAAAGTCAAATCGCACATACCAGTAAACAAATTTGATCTTGTCCAAATTGATAATAAATTTGTATAAGTAGTTTATAATATGCCAGAAAATTTGATTTTATGAATTTGTGAAAAATTGTGCAGTCCATGATATTTTTCAATATTTTCCGTTCTCACCCAAGCTATTAGAATGAGTGTTTAACACATACTATAGATGCTTATATCAGCAGAACAAACTGGCGAGTGTTGCAATCGCAACACATCAAAACTAGACAGATTAGTACAATCAATTACGAGGGTTGTTAGTTGATAAGGCATCAATATTGGCCGTCATTAACACATTCAATTTGAGAGTAGTTTCATTTGAACATTGTAATCCTGAGTATTTGAGAGCTGATGGTCAGACAATATTATAAATTTAATTTAATTTCTAACTCCAACACTGTAATCAATATGGAATATTTTTTTTAATAATGTTCGTTTCAGCCATTTTGCAGCACTTATTTCGATGAAAAAATAATGATTTGTGCGAAATGATCTTTACTTTATCAGAAAATCCCTACCCAGACACTTCGAAGAATGAAACTTGGGATAAATTCGATGGTGGTGGCACTTTTGAATGGATTGCTGAATGGAGGAAATTCACTCCTGCTCCTAAGTCAAACAGACGTAAAAGAAGTTTGGAAAACCCGGTTGGAAATAAAAAAGAAGTTGTAAGTATAATTATGATTACCAACAGTTAATTAGCATTTGTTCCCTGTCTGTTTTCATAGGTCTACAAGCTTAAAATTCTTTTGAGTTTTAGGTCAAATTTTGTTCGGCATTGCCTATCTTATTTATTGCACTTTGGAAGTGGTGGGAGCTGAATTCTATAGGTGTTTTCTGTGATGACAACACATTCAAGTTTGATACTTTAATCGCTGACCACCTAGAATTCATTGGTCACTTGTTACGCTGCTCTGACATGAGTTTCTTTTGTTTCTGATAGACTATTATTCTGGCCAAAAATATGACAGAGATTTTTCACTAATCAAAAGATTTGATCTCTTGTTGTGAAAAGATATAATTTCACTAAAAATTAGTTTTAAAAGCATCATAGAGAAAGTTGCGGGGATAGCTAACTAAACTTATTATAGTACATTAATTTTCGACTGAAAGCAGACATTTTTCAAGTTTTTCAAATTTTTCTAAAATATGGAGTGCTGGTCTCTCTCCAAAAACAGAACCCAAGTCATTTGGAACATATTCTAGATATATCATAACGTTTGTGCAATACATCTTAAATAACTGAAACTTGTGGGCACAATCATACACAATAGTTCAAGTTCAAGTGTTGAATATATTTTCTCTGTTTTCCAAGTTATTAATAGATTCTGTTTTTTGTATTACCCTGTATTTCTGAAATCAGGATTTTTGAATATATTTAATCCAGCTTGTACATTCCAGGTCTAAACCAATTTTATACTTTCAAAATGTGTTTTAGTTTGTAATCGGTGACGGTAATCGTACTATTTCACCATGGAACCAAACATTCTACAATGGAAAACTAAGTCCTTCCACTACATATAAGATTTCTTTCGGTGCTGTGTCTTCCAATAAAATTATGATTGCTTTGAATTATTCACAAGAGATAACAACACGTAAGATCTTTAATATTTTGAACAGTACAGGTGTTTGAGAAATAGGCTACATTTGAATAGTAAAGCCTAGAACAAATAATTATTCTGAAATTATTGAATAGTATTAGATTTTTGAATGGTCGAGGCTTGGGATTGCCATAACTGAATAATATGTTGATTCGCATACATTGCAAAATAATATTTTTAAGTATGAAATATCGATTATTTTCTATACTGGGTCATATTCAACAAACAAAAATTTTGAATAATATTCTCAAGAGAAGTGCAAGTGTTGAATAATGTTTTTTTTTTCTTAGGAATAATTATGAAGTTTATGGGTTTTTTATTGGGTTACCCTTTATATATCGTATTTATCTGATATTTAGGCCTTTATTCCACTCTGGAATATATCTCACTCCCATTTAGGAATTGTGGTGAATAGTTAAGCTTATTGAATAATTACAAATGAATTTCAAATGAAATTTTAAAATTAATATACCTGTCATACATCACTGTTATTTTTGTAATGATAAATATTTTCTAATTAAACTGAAACAAGGTGAATAAATCAAAATTACTTTTATTTTCTCATCATTGTTTTGTTACTTTTCGGAATATCGAGGTAATTTCATGTAATAAAGTAATAAAACTGCAATGGGGTGTTACTAATTGTGCATCAAATGCTTTAAAATATTTAACATATTAATTCACGCTTTTTCAAATATTAAAGCTACTTACCAATCCAAATCATGATTGCTCATTTTAATCCAGGTGCAGAATATGGTAATTCAAATTCCAGTTGGTGTTTGCTGTTTTGTTTTGTCACTTTTAATCAATGCCTGTTTTGTCATTTTTGATGTGTTTATCATGTTTCCTGTACCTATCTATTTTTCGCACTATCTCTTTGATTTGCCAATTTTGCTCATTTGGTTTATTTCACTATCTACTATCTGCTATATCAATAAGATTTGTGTTAGGGTCTAATTAAGTTTTTTTCTGCCTCAGAAATCAAAGCTGCAATTTCTCATCTCCAACTACCGCATTTCATTCAGGCTCTCCCTTTTTTTGGTATTTTCCAAAAGCCTTTTTGAAAACTAATAATAAACTAATATATGAATTATTTTTTCTTAATAATTCCAAGATAATGCTTATGAGAAAGAGCTAGCTAAAATTTTAATCTTATTTACATTTTTGTGTTTATTCATTTTGGGTTAGGGGAAGTATGGGGTTTATTTAAATTGATACATTTCTTTATAAGCTTTATATAAAATAATAAGAACCGTAATGAACGTGCATCCAGTGTGTAAGTGCTCCAGTAGTAAATTTTTACAAATTTATAAACATAGCTAATTTCAACATATGTAAGAATCATTTAATACAGTTGAAGAATTTTGTCTTCATAACATTTTCAGATTCCCAAAATATATATTTTTTCAATTTAAATCTACGTTCACTAAATCATTAGGATTTGTTCTTTATGCTTTCATTTTGTCTGGTGTATTTTTCATCGAATATTCACTGTTATATTCATTGCATGGTTAATTTGTTTCACTTTTTATACTGAAACATCTTTGCACACTAATATTTCTAATTAGTTTCATTTAAAATATATCATCAATTGGCCAATTCCTAATTATCTACCTAGAAAAGCTTGCTTATTTACTTTATTATCAATTATTATGTAGGTACTTAGTTATAGTGATCAAAGATTATGAACAATGTGGCAAGATAGAATATTTGGAATGATCCCAAAATGCATCCTTTAATACAGGTTGACGCCCTCTTTCCTAAAAAAAAACAGAACCTGAGGTATTTCAGACATATTCTGGATATAACATAACTTTTGTGCAAAGCGTCATTTGTTATTGAAACTTTGGGGTACACTCATGCACAACAGAAGTTTAAGTGTTAAATAAATTTACTACATTTTTTCAGAAGTAATTAAGAAGTTCAATGGTTTTGTGAGATCAATATGAAATTGGCCATACATCTTCTGTAGCTCATTTTTGTATTTTAGTGATGCCCCATGATTGGCCAAATATACAATCTCTTTACTCTTGCATATTTGTTTTGGTGTTGTTTATTTCGAAATGAAAACTTTTTGAAATAGAAAAGGCAATTGGACTTCTGATTATTCAATATATTTATATAAACTAAATTTTATTTATGTGAAATGTGAATATTCAGGTGTTAACGGGCCACTGATAGCGGGAGTTGTTGTGACAGCAGTTCTGTTGGTCCTTTTTTTGGCTATTGTGCTCTGCGTCTTCATCTTGCAACGTAGAAAACAGGAAATGGCAGACAAGTAAGTTTTTCAATATCTTATTTATCTAATTGTGTTTCACCTTCTACATGATTATTGATGTAATATCCAAATAATTTCTCTAAAACTAGTTGAAAACTACAAATATAAGGCAGCCAATATAATCCATCAATTCAAAAGATATGCAAAAGAAAAAATGAGAATCTTTTCTAAATTTTCATTCAGTATACTGTCTTTCATTCCAGTCCCATATTCATAAGAGTACCATTCTTTGGGAGTGTTTACTTCGAAATGTTCTTTTGAACTTGGTTTTCTTACAAATAACTTTGCCTATTTTTAATAAGTAATTATTTAAAGGCAAAGCAATAGAGTCATAAATGTGCTGTAAGTGCTAAAAGCTGGAATAACTGAGTTTTTGTTTGTGATATCATTTGGCACTATACTCACTCTGTTTGCCGCTGGTATAAATATTTTTAATGGGATTTGCTTAAAGCAAGGTCATGCCTACTCACTCAGCTCTGAGCAAAGATACGGATGGCCGCTGAAATATCAATGCTTACGGAAAGGAAGCTTGTACTGGTCTTATTAAGTGTTGTCAATTTTATATAATATAAAACTTATAACAGGACGAGCGAACGTGTTGATGCAATCATGATGCCGAAATTGTAAATATTTTATGTGATACTAATTATTTGGCCTGTGTCATTTTTGTTGATTTATAATATTTTCGTTTAGTTTTGTTTTGCTTCCTTTCTTTTTTTTCAATTGGGGTAGTTGAATAAAGCAAAATATTCGACTTCTAGAAACTTTTTTGATTTGTGGATATTTGTTATGGTGCCCAAAATCCAATTTTCTTATCAATGTTTCGTTAATGCACTATGCAATAAACATAAATGTAAGGTAATTATCAAAAAAAAAAATTCTAATAAGTAGCTTATTTAAATTTGCTTTATTATTAACCATCACATGCTTAGATTTTCGATTTCAATTTATTACATTTCATCTCACATTGACATGTATGCAATGTTTTTGTTTTCAATTCAGTGCCTATCCTACTGTTGTTCAAAGCGCCCATGCAATGGGTTTATCAGTGAGGCACTGCCTAATTTTATCATTATTTGTTTCTTTAGTAAACATCATCAAATCACAATTGCATGATCGTTGTTTAGTTTGGTTTCCAAACTATTCTATTTAAACTATAGGTTTGGTTTAGGGATGAAATGAACAAACAAATTTGAATTTTTTTACATCATACTTCAGAGTCCTAAAGTGGTTCCTGACATTTTTCAATTCATCAAAAATAGTAACACTTTGCCTGACACTAATTTGAATAGGCCTATTAAAAATCCAAATTGAAAGAGATGAACTCGGGCTATTACTATAAGAATAAATGCCGAATGCAGTATCTAAATATTTTTGAGTTTTGAATTTAATGATTTAATTTTAATGATTGTAACGGGCACCGCACCAGACACTTTTTTAGGATTTTTTTTTTCATTGCTTCGGTATTTCCTACATAGGTCAAAATTTAAAGTCAACAATAGTAAAATTAGAGCCTGAGATGGTTGATGAACCACCAGATTGATAGGTCTATTTCATCATACATTTATGATGCTGATTAAATATTTTTATTGTTTGTTACAGGGAAAAGAAGACGCGGTATGAAAATTTAGATTTTATATTCTTAGATTAGTTTATGATTATATTTGAATATAATTCTATGAAAAATATTTTTTTTATTCGCATAATTCAGACCTATACAACTTGAGGAATTTTCCGATCATATGGAGATAATGAGATCAGATTCTGATAATTTATTCTCAAAAGAATATGAGGTAATACCAGGAGGAAAGATTTATATACATCAATATACAATAATCTTTGTTTTGACCTTGTTCATTCTGTTCATAGGATAAGATAGGATTTTCCTATTTATCCAGGCAGAAAGGTACCGTAAGCTGATAAAATTATTTTTTATTGTAAGAATTTCTGGGAAGTACTTTTTAAGTTCTTGAATTTGTTAATGCAACAGTACTTGAGCAATGAAAATGATTGCTTTTAATTTTTCAGCGTTCAAAATTAATCCTATTGACTATTGAAACATTGAAAATATATACATATTCAAAATGGTATGCAGAAATTCATACAATAGTTTCAGTCACTAAATCTCCCATAAATAAATCTTACCTGAGCTACAATAGATGCAAATAAGAAAGTAAACCATTAAATATGTTAAATATATAAAGTCTTTAATATAATTCTTGTTTTCGTGATTTGCAACCTGTGATTTTATATTTTATCAGGAATTCAAAGGAGTGGGAAGAGATCAGGCGAGCAATGCTGCTGTTCTTGCAGAAAACAAAGAAAAAAACAGATACACCAATATTCTTCCATGTAAATAATTTATTTTGAAGAATAAAAACTTTGTTATAAAAAGAATAATACACACAAGGATGATCAGATTTTGTAAATTGCAACTTGCTTGGTTCGGTTGGTGCTGGGAGAAAGTTTCCTTTTTTATTGTACAAGTTAGCAATTGTAATTGAAATGATCAATATTATGCTTGCCTATACCAGTGGTTTCCACCCTTTTTTATTTCATTTCTCTCTTTGCTTATCCAGAAACTTGTCAATATCCCAAAAATATGTAATACAATACTACTGAATCAGTCAATATTAATAATACTACTGGCAACTTAAAAATAAAATTTTCTGTCCAAAACAATAACTCCAAATTTTTCTGCCCAAAACTCCTCTCTGGAGGGGAATTTTTCTTGTTTGGGAAACGTTGGATTTCACATTTGCAGATGATATTTCAATCTATTCTGTAGAGAAAGTGGTTAGCATTTCTAAACTTTTGAGCTTTATTTTTATACTGGATTCTTAAATTGATTTGCTAGATCATATTATTGCTGGTAAATTGCATAAATGGGACCCCACAATTTCATTGTGGAAAGAAATAGATAACATTGTACTGGCATTATAAACAAATGTCTCCTTTCATGTGGTTACTGGTTAAGAATGATGTAACAGGAATGTTTTGCAATACAAATTATATGTTAAGGACTTGTCAGTTTTAAGAAATATTGACAAAGATGGATCTGATAAATAATCGTCGACTAACTTTTTATCTTTTAATTTATCTCAGATGATGCCACTCGTGTCAAGTTGGATGAAGTTGATAATGACCCAGGATCTGATTATATCAATGCAAATTTCATTCCAGTATGTATATTTTGAAAAAATCTGTCCAATATCTTATCAAAATGAACCAACTAGCTGTCTGAAATATTCATATCTTTGTCTGTATTCTTCTCTATTGTCAGTTTAGTTCATGGTAACCAGATGGGATATGTTAAACTTTGCATGTTTATAATTATGAATGCAGGGGTGCTGTATTATGTGGACAACAAGTGCTGGAGATGTATTAAAAATATAATCATTGTATATATTTGAATTTATATTTAACAAGGAAATTCGAACACAACTAAACTGGCTTGAAAAGTTTACTTTTAAATAACGAACAGTTCGGGGGATGTGAATTTTTTGACTCACTGTCTGTTGAGAAATAATTGTGACTCCTACTTTGAATATTTTTTTATAAAACAATTCAGGGAAACCTAAGTCAAAGAGAATACATAGCTGCCCAAGGTGCATTACCTGGCACTAAGGATGATTTTTGGAGAATGGTTTGGGAGCATAACACAAGAAACATAATCATGTTGACTCAGACTGTAGAGAAGGGTGAGTTTGGGTTCGGATTTATCATATAGGAGGGGAAAACAGATAAGATGCATTACCAGGCCATTAATTGTGGTGCCTGACCCAGTTTCAATATAGTAATACCTATAACCAGTTATTTTGTCCATTTCCATTCAGTTTGCTGCTTAGTAGTAAGTTACTAAGAAGTCAGATTATGAAATGTTCTTTTCAAGTAATAGGTGGATTATTTCGTTTCTTCAATTTTCTTCATCCGATCGCATAAAAATATTTAAAGAAATATTGATACACGATGACCTCAAAATTGAACCTAGGTCTGTTGGAACATATTATAGGCAGTGGTTCCCAACCTTGTACTCGCGGACCGACAAAAATTGAAATGAGTGGAACAGAAAATAATATTATATGTTTGCATGATTTATTGCAATGTCGGGCACTATGCTCATAGAAAAAAAAAATATATTTTACTGTTCTTGACTGTTTTCTGGTTTAAACAAAGAAATATTCATAATCTTTTATTTGGATGGTAATATTATTAAAGAAAGGTATGCAGAATGGAAAAAGCATGCATGCTAATTTTCAGATTTCTGAATCTTGCGAGATTTGACGAAGCGCTTTCTCGATGAATCGGAACCAAAGAAGCGAAAACTGTGATAACTCAGCGCCAAGACGATCCTAATCCTTGATCCTAATTAAAATTGACTTTACATATTTTCCAGGTAAGATCAAGTGCTATCAGTATTGGCCATCTGACAATGAACCTATCATGAGTGGTGATCTCACTATACAAATGACATCAGAGTCTATGCTTCCCGAATGGACTATTAGAGAGTTTAAGATCACTCATGTAAGTATGGCTATACAAAATCCTGTGCTCTACCAATACTGAATGATGATAATTTGTTTGTTTTTATTTTTTAATTTCAAAGTTTATTTTCTTTCTGCGGAGAAGATTTCGTAAAACTCTGTTTGAGGTAAAAGTGTGATGGAATGAAAATTTGTGTAAATTTATTTTTCATTATATTAGGGGTGTACAACAGGTAGCTGGGCCAAACCCAGCCTGTCAAGCCACTTAGTGTGGCCTTTGTCTACACTGAGATTTTTCTTCATCAAACTTAAAATTGCAATCTGGCAGTGTATGTTTAAAAAGTCGCTCACATGGGTAGAAATACATAATATTGTTTTACTCTTGTTGCTGTGTTAAATCTTGCATTGTGATCATTTTATAATTTGATGTGTACATGAAAAAACTACCATAAATTTTATGTGTGGCCAATATAGATCTCTGAAGTTTGCTATATGGTCCATCGACAAAAAAACGATGCACATTCCTGTATTATATAAAATAGAAAAGTCAGCCCCCAATATTATTTGATGAATGATATCCTATTATGTTGAGGCTAGTTAGCATCAGGTACAGAGTTTTTGATGTTGCAGTGATTTAGTGGTATAAAGAGTTATATTCTAGTGAACCGGCGGTAAAATTTGTTGAAGTTGGGTTATCATTGAAGTAGGAATGATTAAAACCAATCGAACATTCAAATACATACGGCATTGTGTGTATTACTCAAGGTAAATTTCAGGCCGGAATTTAAACTCCATTTCAGAAAATCATTCACAAGAATTCTTTTTTATACTTAAACATTTGAAAGTTATCTTTAAAACCAAATCATAAACTGAGACATAAACCACACATAAGGAAGTTTTCCTTTTAGAATTTTGAAAATGTGTGTTCATAGTATAGTCTATTTGTATACCCGGTTGAAATGGTTACTTCGAGACTATAACCAGAAATCGGCTCTTGAATTAGGTCAACAACTCAAAAGCAATGAGCTATCAGACCATTTTATCTATTTTTTGAGAATTTTATCAGAACTGTTCAACTTCAACAAAATACTCATTAGCCAAGTGTTCTGTATCAACTGTAAATGATATATAATAATCAACAGATTAGTAAATAAATATACATCAATTTTATCAAAAATTTTATTTCACAAGATTCTTCACATTCTTTTTATAGCGGTCTCTTGCATTCTAATATACAGGGTTCTAACATACGACGTGTTCGTCAATTCCACTACACTGTATGGCCTGATCATGGTGTTCCAGAAACCACAGAAACAATTGTTAAGTTTATAAGATATGTAAGAAGAACTATCTACGAAGAAGCTAAACATACAGGACCTACTGTTGTTCACTGCAGGTTGGGATTAGTTAATTTGAGTTTATCCCAGAATTTTAACAAAATGAGGAAAATTTATATTTTTTATTTTTATTGTAATTTTTTATTGCGATACTGCTTCAAATTATTTAAGCAATATTGCTTCAAATTATGATTATATACCAGCTTTAATAGCACCTATTTCTTCATAATATTTGAAAGAATATTTTTTTTTAAAACCTAATCATTTGCCATTTTATCTTAAATTATCTTCATAAGATGACAGGAGTGGTAATATATAAAATGCTTTTAATCCTGCAGGGAAATTCGTTTCCAAAATTTGAAAAATATGGTCCAAATCAGACTTTTTAGATTATTAAAATTATTTTTTTTTGTGAAATTTTACCATTTTTAAAGTGATTTTGTACATTACGAAAATTTAATACATTTTATGATAAATGACAATTTTACTGATGATTAGAAGACCAATTCAACGAAAAGTTTCTGAAATGTAATTTAGTGTTCCATTCCATGTATTTAAATGCGTTCATCAACCAGTTTTAAACCTCGTTTGTTCATATTTGCACTGTATTTGCCTCTCTAGTTTAGTTTATATTTGGTCACTTAGTTTTTATCACTAATATATCTTTAGTGCCGGCGTTGGACGTACTGGAACATTCATTGCAATGGACAGATTACTTCAGAATATCCATGATAATACTTATGTTGATATCTATGGAATTGTTTATGAAATGAGGATGCACAGAGTGTACATGGTGCAAACTGAGGTACTAAAAAATCCCAAAATTTGATTTTAAGCCTGATATTAGTGACTCAAAAAAATAATAATAAAGAAAGAAAATTGAATTGTTTCAAATTGCTGAAGTTTCAAATAAAAGGATGGCTTAATGGCCTTGCACAGGCCCTCCAAGGGGGCCACTGTTGCAATGCTAGATGCAAAACTGATTTCACTTTTGCTTTTACTAGAAAACTCTCTGTTATTCCCTTTTCCATTGCTGGATAGCATTATTTCACAATGTGTTTTCACTTTGTTGTGTTGAGCATGAATTGTTAGATAATAATTGGAATCAGAATCAACCAATCAAAATAAAACGATAAATATCACAGAAACTATAAACGAGTGCTAAAAGAAATAAAAAAAATAAAAGGAACGAGTGCTGAATCGAAATGATTTCTGTCATTCTAATAATAGTAGCTCTTTACATATCATTAGATATCAGTAGCTGCTTATACAGAGCCTTGTTTACAACTAGGAGCGTGAATATCCATCGTATGAAAAAAATCAAGTGAATTTCTGAAACAGGTGTTGACCACCTCCACACCCTGTAAAAGCAATTTCTATTTTGATCTCATTCTATTTTCATCTCAGGAAAATACTAAATGAAAAACCAATCAAATTGAAAAGCTACATTGACATTATAGTTTAATTTATTCCAATGGAATATAAATTGGTACATGATATTTACTCTTTTTAGCATTCCTACTGTTCTCAATAACTTTTCATTCTATGATTATATTCTAATTGGGATATTATCAAGTTCCAACAGTTTCTATACAATTAATACTGACTAAAAATCAAACTTTTTTCGAGGAAATCTTCCATAATTATCAATTTTCATCTATATTTTTAGAGTCAGTATATCCTAATACATAAGATGGTCGATGATGTCAATCAAAATCTTTATGATGAAGATGAATCCAACAGTGAAGATCAGGTTTGTTTATCTTTATGTAAATAAAATAAAATCATAAAAACCATCAAGCATATTATGTAACATATAATGAGTTACAAACTATATATTACAGTAAATGCAATCTAGGCTTGCACGTAATTTATTTTCAGTTACGTCGGAAAATTGGATTATGTGAAGTTGTAATTATTGACTAACGCACCCAGTTCTTGAAAACATCTTGCGAGGCGTTTTCTATTTTGTCTATTTCGTGCTGCGCAACTCTTCCTATAACACGCAAACAAACATCAAAATGAGAATTTCCAAAGATGGAGATTCATGCCAAATGTTTGTAGTAATCTGCCAGAGTCTAAACATTTGAAAATTTTTGGAAGAATGAAAAAGTCGCTAATAACGTGTGCGATTGCATTTTGTTAAAATGGCCGATTATTGTTGCGGTGTGACGTGTTATATAGACTTTAAACATTTTTATTTCTGTTTTTATTTTTCCTAAACACAAATTTCTGGCCACCTATGTCTTATGTCACGAGAACAGAAACTGACTCCAGTGAGGTAAACGAGTTATTATATACCGGTAATCATCGATGACAAGGTGCTAAAGATAAGGGAGTTCATCCGCAACCCAAATTTTCTAGATTAAAAAGCGGCAATATAAAATGAAGAAAATAAAACAGAATGTGAGTTATATGTGTTTTAAGAGGCCCGCAACAGAATAAAATCGCTGTTTGAGAAATTGTAAATCGCAAAATTTTACAATATGAGACAGATAATTGTGCAGGCGAAGCACCTTTTTATCCATTGTAAAACTACCGGCGGGGCATGGCAAGACTTTTTTCTAGATTATGGAGATATAAAAGATTATTAGGTAATGTGAAGTATTTTCAATTGATTTTTTGAAATAAATTTTACCTCATGAAATTTTATCGTAGACCTAGAGATTTTCATAACGGTGATATCTCAAAAATAATCTGAGGGGCAGCGGTGCGATAGATCGCAGTCAGTGTTACAAGAACAGCGCAAATTTGTCAAATCCAAATCCAAATAAGATATAATCGAGCACTTTACCACACATTTTTATGTTTGTGGATTGTCGAGATATTTTGAGTAGAAATGCTTTTATTTTGTCTACGCAACTGCAGGTTAATTTGCACACAATTAAATTAATACAAGAGGCATTTTAAATATGCCCGTGTCAATCATGAACTGAGAATTTTATGCTACAAAAAATTATTAATATATCCATTGAAAAAGTCAGCTAGGTAACAAGAATCAGATTATTATGATTTTTCCTATTTTAGTTCTATTACGAGTTCGGGGAATATCTGCGTTAGCCAATTGAATATACCCCCTACCGCCCATAGTTTTAGTTCCTTCACACAACTTGATGTGAAGTAAACAAAACAAAATTAGTTACCTCCATATCAGTACACATACTTCTGGAGCGCCGTTTCATGTCATATTTACTATTATTGTATGTCACTATGTAAGCTGCATTTCCATGACACGTTACAAATAAATCGAATACATAACTTTCGAAGCGGTGAATATATAAAGTCGTCAGATCAAAACCAGATCTGCTGATTATTGCAACATCTCAAGAATAAATTTTCAGGAACCCATAGGAACCTCCCACATATGACTACTGGTCGTAAAACTGCTTTAAATGAGTCATTCCCATTCCTGGGTCGTATTTTTTCATTTTTTGCTTATTCATTGGGGTCTAATTAGAAGAATGTCTGTGTACTCAATGTCTCAATATTTCTCAAAATTGTCTTCAATTTTGTTCTGTTCAAGTGTTTTTGTTGTTTGAGCTTCTAGATATAAGCAACTGGAATACCAAACAGTATATGGATCTTAAGTTTAGTTGTAAAATTGAGTTCCTGATGTTCTCAAAAGTGCAACTTTTGCAACTACATGCAAAAAGCACCAAACACACCACTTTTATTCCAATTATTTTGATCGGAATGTTGCTTAAATAAAAATACATTTTTTCTTTTAGAATGGTGAACCGGTATATGAAAATACCAAAGAAGAGGCCGTTTATGAAAACACTAAATTCAATGGAGATATCGATAAAAATAATATTGATGGAATAACAAATCCTGCCATGATACATTTTGAAGATGATGGTATTCTTCATTTTTTTACATGTTATTAGTTACACAGGGTGTCTCAAAAGTAAGTATCCACTTTTAATTTTGATTGCTTTTTAGGTACTCATCATAGAGCGTTCATTTTTTCAGGAAATTTCTTCAGTATGGATAGGTAGTTAAATTTAGTTATTGTTTGCATTTTTCAACAACCCGAAGAATGACAGGAGATTAACCACAAAAATGAGGCGCAAAATTGCTGTTTGGCAAGAAGCATGTAAATCAGTACGCTATTCCAGCGCTTTGTTAACAGAAAATTTAACTACATCAACTACAGATTCAGTTTTCATGAATTTTTAAAGAATTTCCTAATTCTTTGTCGTAAAAATGCTGAATGCCTTACTGATTTATATGCTTCTTGCCAAACAGCAATTTTCACCTCATTTCTCGGGTTAATTTCTTTGTCATTCTGTGGATTGTTGAATAATGCAAACAATACCTAAATTTTACTACTCATCCATACTATGTTTCCTGAAGAAATGAACGCTTTGTGATTACCTGAAATCAAACCAAAATTAAAAGTGTATACTCACTTTTGAGACACCCTGAACATATGTTTTTTGTCTTTATTTCAAGTGAAACTTAAGGGTTAGTTTGTGTTGTTTTGACAGTTTAATTATCCGAGATGAAATAACTACCGCATTTCAATCTTTGCTTAACAGAGGGTAATGAAAATGTTCAGAACCTCTCGACAATGGCATCACAATATTATTGAAGCTATGTTTGTTCATAATATTTGGCGAATGTAGTTTGATATTGTAATGCTTATCAATACATTATATGCCTCTATTTTCATGGATTTTTGAACTCTTAATGAAGTTGTCAGATAGGTATAATGATTTGATGTTGTTGTGAATCATAATTTCTTTGTGACATCATATAAGAATTATGCTAGTGCCAAAGAAACTTAGTCATACTCCGACTTTTATTCAGTTTGTGGCATTTCTACTACTTATGCAGATATAAATTTCTCCATCATACCTCCATTATCTTATGACTTCACATTTTACTAGCCAACTAAATTGGGGCTCTCACAATATCACTTTTGTGAGTGTGATTGAAGTCTTAATGTATGTTTTTAAGCTGGGATTTAATATTTATCCATGGGAATAGGAAGACCTTTAAGATGCCTTAATCATATTACAAACCACGGCATCTCATACAGTTACCAGTTCATGTAAGGTATGGGATTAGTGTGCCAGTTATTTTGTTTTCAAATACTGTACATGAACTTGATGGTGTAGGAAGCCATAACCGACCAACGGTTAATTGAACCACTTTTTTCATCATGGATGAAATTAGCATCCTCTAAATTGTATCATAGTATAGTTATTTTAAATTGGGTTTAACTCAACTGAGCCAAATTTATCAATAATGCGTGCCATAACCTTGCTTTGAACATAATTTCTAAAAAATGGTTTAACCGTTCTTAGCTTTCATTATGGTCTTGTCAATTCAAATGCAATTTTGTTTATAATGCGTTTTCAACTTGGGTCATCACAAACTGTCTAATGGTGGTGCTTTGTAATACATCCATGGATATGATTAACATGTATGTAATTGTGAAGGTTTGTCTGGATTTTTGTCTCGTGCGTTTTGTTCGTTTTATTTGTTTTTATTCATTGAAGTCATCAAATACTCTTCACCATTTTCAAATGGAAGTATTGTATCAGGTATCTTTAACAAAAACACATAGTGTCATTCTGTCATAAAGTAAGCACATACAACACACATCTTTCAAACCAACTTGAGAATTGTTAAACTCAAACTTGAGAATTGTTTTGTGAAACTGATGCTTAGCTTATTAGGTCAAATCATCAAGTTAAAAAAGCATAGGTTTTCTCAGTACATCACTCAGAAAGTACCGTAATAAATTTCATAGCTTCAATGAATACACTTGTCTGGCTACTTGTACATGGATGAGATGTAGGTGAACACCTTATGAACCCATTTCATTTCGAGTTTAAAACTTTTTAATGCCAAAAAATTATTTTTCAAAAAAAAAAACTATTCTCAAGTTTTAAAGTATACTCTACCTTTTTTCAAGCGACCCAAATTTTTTCAAAAATAAATTTTATATAGGATATGTTCAAGTACTAAACTACATGTAGTACTTTTATGGCCGCAAAATTAATGCATAATATAAAGCAATCATATTTATATAACATTTATTTTCCCAAAAATTACTGAGAAAGCGACGCTTGTTTACTTACCATCAGTGAGTTTTCGTAATGGTAGTGTGACTTTGCTGATCTAAATGAATGCTGCCACGTTTTTACGCAGTGATACGTCTCTAAGATACAGTTACTATTGAGCAACACTTCAATACCAAATATACAATGAACAATAAATTTACTGGAAAATAAAAATAGTAAATATTTAGTTTTTTTTTTTAAAAACAAGCGGCCCAAGAAAATTTGCAGGCGAAATTTGCATCGGTTATGTTACCTTTACAGTTTCCACATTGGAAATACAAATGAACCTTGCAGTTCATTTAACTTCAGAATATTCTAAATTGCTCCGCTTGCTTGGAAAATATTAGAAAACTTGTTTGAAATAAATGAAATTTCAACCATGAAACTTCAACTCTTAGAAAAAAGAAGCTAATTTTTTTACCCACTTTTTTTTTTAAATAACAGCTCCGAATTTATTATTTTGGAATCTCTAATTGTCAAGCTTTTTAACCAATTTTTCGAAGTATAAATATATCGTTAAATATATATCTTGAATGACCTCGTCACCTAGTTTCAAGGTCAGGCTAGTGTCACATGAGCCTCCAGAACTTACCTAATAATACCTTGAATATGAATACCTGTAAATTTGTGTTATGTCATATATGCTATGACTTATCACTTTGTGAAAATTTCACTGTTAGGATTTCAATTAATTTTCAGTCTGTTACAATTTTGTTCAATGCAACCACACCACCTTACCCATAATGTAAAAAGAGAAATGAAACATTCCGGTATTTGAAATTAGCTGCTTTCTGAGAATTCAGGAAGATATTTTCAAGGATGAAAAGATGAAAAGTTTGTCCTAACCACTCAAATTAATTTTATCAACAGAGAAAGTAGCAATCAATCCGGAGAATGCGGCCTCTGTGGTTGTAATTAATGAAATAAAGAAGGAAGACATAGATTCCATAAAGAAACAAGAAGACGTGGAAGTTTCTATGGACCATAAAAATGATAATTCAAAACAAGATGACATTACTTCAAAAAGTAAATCAGATTCAGTATCGAAACCACTCACAGAAAATGTAGCTAATATGATTGCTATAAAGAGTAGTGATTCTATTGATAACAAGACGAAGAATGCGGAAGCAACTCCTAAAGATTATTCTCAAATTAAATTGGAAATTTTGGGAAGTCTAAAGAATATGGGAAGGAAAGTTGATGAGGAAAATGGCAGTAAGAAAAATGTGAAAATCGAAGTTGATAATTCAGGTGTTTCAAAGGAATCTCAAGTCATTCCTACCAAATGTGGCGATCCTAGTAATAACAAGACAAAGAATGCTAAAGCGACTCCTAAAGATCATTCTAAAATTAAATCAGAATTTCTGGAAAATCTGAAGAAATTGGGAGAAAAACGTGCTAAGGAAAATACCAGTAGCAAGAAAGATGATGCAAAAGATTCAGATAAATCAAAGTCGTCGGATGCAAAAATGAAAGTTGAGAATGAAGTCTTTCAACCTGTTAAAATTGAAGAAAACGACCCACAGGATCCTCATGATAGAATCAGTTCATTTGGAATTAAACTTCCGCTATTGAATCTGAAATTGACAAAAAATTACTTGAGCAGAGAGGATACAACTGACAGTGTTGAATGTGATAAGAAAGCAATTGCAACAGATACAAATAAGACAGAAAAATCGAAAAAGAATCTCAATACTGAAGACAAACCCAAACCTGATAAAAATAGTTCTCAAGAGAAGAAGATCAAAAAAGAAAACACCAAGGAAAGTAACGTTGCAGGAGAGTCTATATCTAAACCTTGTAATCCTAAGAAAAAGCCATTTCCTCCACCGAAGAAGATAAAAAAAGTAAGGGAAGAGCAAACACAAGTTAGTAAATTATCTGTTGAAGCATTGGTGAAGCCAAGCGCTGTTAAAAAAGAAGAAGATGAAAGAGAATCGAGATCAATCAAATTAGTCAAAACGACGGGTGGTTCTACTATTACATCAGAGGAAATAGAAGATTTTGCTGAAAAAAACTTCGTCGAGTGAGCTCGTCATCTTCTTCATCCACATCACCCGTCGACGATAGACCACCAGTCGATTGCAGAGACTTACCTTCCATCAAATCAAGAATCGGGAACTTAGGTGAACAATGGATCGTTTTGCATCATGATTCAAAACAATACACTTCTGTAATTGAAAAACATTGCAGAGATAAGTTACATTCTCAACAATTTATGTTGCGCTTTTTTTTGTTTCATTATTATGGACTTCTTTGTATGAGAACTAATAGCGTTAATTTGAATTTGTGTAAATTACATGGTGACACAAAAAAACAAGGTCATTTGAAACATATTCTACAGAGAACATAACTTTTGTGCGAAGTGCTCTGAAACTTTGGGTACTATTATACACAAATGAAGTTCAAGCTTTGAATATATTCTTTTCATTTCATGGAAATTATCGAGAAATTTATGGTTTGTTTTCTTGTGTCATCCTATATATTGATATTTTGGTGAGAAGACAATAAAAGTACTAGTGTTCATTCAAGAATGTACATCTTTGTTATCTTTTCCTATACAAGATTTATATGACTATTTCTTGGACTATTTTTTTACAACCAGGGATGTAATTTTGACTCTTACAGTACATTATTAGTATAGAGCTTATCATGTTTATTAATTATGTTTTCTTTAACATTTCTCTACAGTTTATTATCGTATGCATTCTGAAGTATGAATGAATATATTCAAGGTATTGAGTAGTTTAGTAAAACACGTTTCTGTTATAATCTTTCATTCTGTACTATTTTTCATCATCATATTCATCTTGTAATATTAGATCATACATATATTTAGCTTGACCATGGGTTGCAGCAAATCTCCTTATTCCAACATTTTGGCATCCCCTAATTTCAATATCTTTATAGATTCATTTCGGTTTATCTATTTCCAACCATGTCAAGAAAATTATGCTATAATCTCCAACATTCGATGATAAAACAAAATTATCTAAATACTAAGTTGCATCTTTTTGTTTATTTTTATAAAGTATTAGTAATAGAGTAGAGTAATAGTTTCTTAGTAGAATTTGATTATATCATAACTGTTCCAAATTGAATCATTTTATAGCAATGTTTATGTTGTACTTAAAATAGAATTTTTAATAATCTCATTAGAATATAGTTCTCCGTCAGAATTATGATTAACTAATTGTCAATACCTTCTAAGCAGACGTTGTTTTTCTGCAAAACAATATAACAATATATGTGATTAGCACCTTGTATATAGTAAGTTTTAGAATTTACAATACACACATTCCAATATATATAAAATGTTGAGACCAAGCGGTCCATTCAAAACAACATATAGCAAGCAATAGTGGACCATGTATTGCACGTGCTTACAGTGGTTAGATTGTATCTTCAAAACTGATAATTATCATCTTTGTCTCTTTATTTTCCTAAATCCGTATTTGAACAAAGAATTAGTTATTTAAAACCTGTCGAGTTTTTAAAATGTTACAACAAATAACGGTTATAACTTTTTAGAAGACAATTACCCTTTTTCACTCAATGCAAATTTGCAAGTGGTTCAGTAGTTATAAAGAAACACTTTCTAGTTTTAAAAAAAACAATTCAGCAAAATGATATTTAGACCTACTTTTAAATGAAATGGGATTTACTTTAGTTGCTCTTTCTAATCTGTATTCCATTTATGCTCAACTTATTATAAAATACATTATCGCAACATATAAAGGACAAAATAAAACTATAGTTAGTAAATTCAAAAGATGATAGTTCCGTTAACAGTAAAATTTAACAAATTCTCATGAATTACTATCACTAACACATTGGGTAGTAAATTCAGCTTAATATTGGTCAAGCATGATCAAATCATATCTTGCCACTTCATTCGTGCATGTGCAATCTTGTGCATATTTCCTATTATTTTTTCGAATTGTGTCATTTGGATTATATTTTTGCATGCAGTTTTTTTTTTAATAGACCAGTTGAGACCATATTCAGAGGTTTTGTTTTTATGGAATGTCTTTTGGTTTAAATTCATTTTTTTTTGACACTTCAACTAATTCACTTATTTTGATCAGTAATGCCTGGTTTAGTTTATGCTCTCAATATGATTTAGGATTCTACAGTGTCCAATTTTGTCAGTTGAGAATAGGGATGGATATATGTCCTAATTTCCATAAAGGTTATGGGTCAAAACAGCGGGCTTGTTTTTTAGGCCACTCACTCGAGATGTGTACTAATTACAGTTTCCTATATTCACTTGAATCATGGATGGAGATCAATTTCTTGAAAGGCTCAATTTTTTATTTAATCAAATATTGAGCATTACTATCATCCACATTTAGCTAAAAAAGGACATTGCCATGAATACAGTTTTAAAATATATATATAATTTACATTTGTTGGAACATGATTTCTACTTTTCTATTCTCAATGGACAATCATTTAATTACATCCATTCAATTTAATACAGAGCCGATCAGTTCAGAAGATTTGTCTGGAAAAAAGTTGTAACACGACATAGGTTTGCAAAACAGATGAAGATTCGTCTTCCTATTGATGCACTTCCACTCGCTGATGCCCATGACTCTATGTTCTTGCAGTTGAGGCATGAAGATTATGCTGTAAATTTATAATCAGACAGTTTGAAATAATAAGTTATGTGGTTTGGTGTGTATTTTGTAATTGTGGATATTTTGTAGATAATGACTCTTTTCTTAGTATTCGCTTCTCTACTTGTTGATTTTGCTCCTTTTGCTTGTAGAAAAGTGTTTCTTTTAATCATTGGTATATATTATGATTTTATAGCTACGCTGTTCAGTATTAGCATAAAGTAATTTAATAGAATATGTATATACAATTATACAAATCTTGTTCATAGATCCAAATTAGCCAAAATAACTCATACAAATTGTTGTCTTTATGCAGCGCTGATGAAATTAAATAAGTTCATAATTCCCTTGGATCCTATTTTTAACTATCACATCCAATTTGCTTGAATTTTAGTGCAATCTTTTCTGAATGCGCTTAGCAACTACGTATAACTACATATTATGTGCCTTATTCTGTGTTTTCTGTCTTTCCATTTTATTCTGAACTTAATTTTTTATCTTTGTTCAAATATAGTCATTTTATAAGTCTAACTAACCAGCATCGTACCATTCTTGATTTCTTTAATCAGTTATAATGTTATCAACTTATCTGCTATCTCGTAATATGCACAAATCATGATGATTTAGTGATGTTTTTCTTATTTTTGTATGCTATATATGCCATAAACACAGAATGAAAAGTTTCACATCATGACGTTTAATATACACAAGATAGCATGTTTAGCCTCGTTCGCAACAACTTTATGCGTCTTTTTATCTTTTATATAACTAATCATTGTGAGATTATAAAATATATTGATTACATATGGATGCCTTTATCACACCCAACATCAACATCACTTGGTTATTATAGAAAATGCTTGCCATAATGTGGACAGTGATATTCACTTCCTAAATTAAAGAGTACCGGTATATTGATTCCTTCATATTTAATCTTGCTTTATAAGCCATTCAATAAATTTAAAATAATTAATATATCCTTACTAATCATGTTTATTGTTGCTATGTACTTCTGTGTTTGATTTTGATATCTAATGCAATATTCAATTGTATTGTTCAATTAATATTTTGTTATAGGAACTTTGTTTATCATGCCCTTACAAATTCTATATTTTCCATATATATTCAATCTATGTTCAACACAAACTCAGTTTATGAGATTCCACTGTTTTGTTGAATATTTTCTCAATTCCACCGTATTCTTTCTGTAGAAATCACATACCAATCCCATTTATGTGAAAATATTGATTGCTAGATAAGGGCAACACTAGGTTGTCAGAGCAATGAGCCAGAAGAAATTTCCAAATGATTGTTGTTCACTTATAAATAAGCTTCATTCTGAAGGAAGGTGTGCCATTATCAAAAAAAATAATAATTTAATAAAGAGTACAATTTTTATCACAGTTTTCAGTTGTAGGATTCCATAATCAAACTCTATATTCTCATCAAATATTATGTATGAGCCATCAGTTTAGATAAAATTATATTGCAATAATAAAATAAAAATTTAGGTCTGAAAAGCATTTGAAATCTCAAAGTATTTTTCCGTACTTCATTTTTTGTTTAACTAGCAAAAATTACTATGGCAACAAAAGTTTTTTTCCTTGCAGGTAATGTGCTATATGGTATTAGGTTGAGGGCCTTCAGTAAAAATTTTTTTCTAATTTTCATTTATTGCCTTATTTTTTATTATAAACAACTTTCCTGCCCCAAATACTGAATCTACACAAGTAGTTATTTACTTTTTGGTAATATGAGTTGGAATATTTAGGTGTCTGTTTTTTAATTAATTATAGAAATGCCAGTATATTATTCAGTGTAGTATTGTTTTCGAGGCCTTTGTTAGGGTATATTTTACTGTAATTTTTTTTGAAACATATTTGTGATGCAGTGCTTTTCCTCTTATTTTCTTTGTCTTATATAAAATCATGGTGTTCATATTTCTTATTTATTTCGTATTGAATTATGTTGCAAAGAGAAGTTAAATTTCAAAAAATTCATTCATCCATTATATATATATGCGGCAATTTTATGATTTATTTCTCCGGTTCATAGAGTTTCTCATAGGGGAACAATTTTTAATAACTCTGTGTAATACATGGTGGCGTCATAAAACAGATGCTAGTCAAATTTTTTGTATCAGAGTGTGATATCTCACGTATAACCTAATCATCCTTAATTAAAAACTTTGAAAAAAGCTGTTGAAGTATTTCAAAAATGTAACTCTGAATATTCTAAATGAGTCGTTCAATGGTGGCCCAAAACTGATTGCTGATTTTAGGGTGAAATTTTTTTTCTAATATTTCATGTTCTTTGTTATCTTTATTCTTTATCTGGGTGTTTAATTTTAACCCATTGTGATAGAATTATAGATAATAGTTTTTTCTTGAGAAATATAATATTTGCTGGAGCATATATATGTCAGCTGCTATTTCCATAATTTAAATATTATTGACCAATCTTTCTGTATATGCAAATAAAATTGGCATCATAACACATTATTAAGTTGTTACTATGCATAGAGGATATAACGAGATAGCGATCGGAGACCGCCGACTGATCGATCTAGCGACGTGTATCCTTCGCTCTGACTCAATAGCGACACCACGTGTCCATCACTAATTAATTAATAACTCACTAATTATACGACATAATTCCTCCAAAATCAATACGCTTCTGGTCCATGATATGATGAATGCACATACAAAATTTGGAGCAGATTCATCCTCACTTTCGTGAGATATCGCGTATATCTAACAGACCAAACAGACAAATACCTATCAATCAACATACTTACCGATCAAGATCGATTGTATTGTAGTAAAGATTAAGCATTAAGTTTACATTGGCCTACTGCAATAGTGTCTGGTTCTCTCCTATTATTTCTACAATAAAGTTGTCATCTGAGAAACCAACCGCATTCTGTACACACAAACACTCGGGCATCCGGTTTCCGAATTTTATTTCCACTGTCATGAGAACAACAAAGTTTTCATGAAGTACATTGCTCAACAGTAAAGGACGGTAGAATAAACAACAGTTTTGGGTCAGAGAATTTGAATACAATTATCCATTAGCAAGGTAAAGTCGATTAGCTGGAAAAGGTCAGCCTCCTATTAGCCAAAATTTCAATTTTTCGAATTCAAAATTACATAACAAAAAATAACCACCAAAAGCAAAAAAATAAATTTAGAGTCATATTAGGTTTTTATTATGCTAGACCTTACACAAAAGTTACATACATAGACCATGCTTTATCAAGCATGATATAACAGATGTATTGAAAATATCCTAACACAGAAAGCGTTTACCAAAAAAGAGCAGATAAATCTCCAAGATTGTGAAACTAGTAAACAAGAAGGATAAAACTTAATTTCAGCCTAAAAAAAAGAGAAATTGTATGTCATTGGTCACAAACAAATGCACTAAACAACAGAAGGCACCAGAATAAACTTAATTTTGAGAAATCCTATTGGTGTAGAATTTTAAGAAACAATATGGTGTCTATGATTTGTATTTTCTAAACAATAGATGTGATAACAATATATACTGTGATTCAATGTATTCAAACAAGGGTATCCACTATTTTTGTAAACATTTTGTCATAATTCCAATATAACACGGTGCGAAAAAGTATAGTAAGGACCAATAATGTGTGAAAGATAACCTAATTTAATAAGCTTAAAAATAAACTTGAATACTGATTAGTATTACTTTTCATGGTGCAATTTGCCATGTACAGAGCAGAACTCACAAATATCCAACTACGAAAATATTATCGAAGATACAACATTTTAGGCACACTTTTTTTTAAAAAGCAGTCGGAAAATTTCAGAAAAAATTGCTGCCACCACAATAAGCATGATATTAATAATTGGTCAAATACGGACTCTGGAAAACCATATCGTACTGACCATAAGACAATACTCGGTAAAAACAAACTATCCACACCAAATTCCAAATAAATAAATCCAGTAAACCAATTTTACTGCAAAAAAACTAAAAAAGTCATGGCACATTAAATTTTCAAATGAAGTTTCTGAGCCTTTCATGGCATTCTTATTTACTAAATCATTGAACTCATCATTAAAGTTCCTCAATATGAGTAAAGATAAAGCTGAAAGAAACGATTAATATATCATTCATCCAAACAAGAGGCACAATTATCTATTATTAGAACCAGTCTCTGTCATACAAATAGGACAGGTTGACTCAAAAAGGCTGGAACACAAGGCCGTACAATATCAAAATGAGAGAGGGTTGTAATTAAATTTTAAAAATTCGCCTTCAAATTGATATCAAAAAACACTTGCTACTCCGCATTTCAAACATCTTCAAAGATAGTCAGATTTGAACTTGCAACAAATAAGTAGCCTCCGAGTCTCAGCCTGTTACATGTTACAGCCTATAATGAGGATGAATGGCAAACTAAATATTAATTTGAGTCGGGTTGTCACAAGGTCGTAAAATCAGTCATTTATTTTGGATCGCTCGTACGCCGAGTCCGGCATTCCTTGTCTAGTCCCTCGATCGGCGCAATTCCTCGATCCACGTTGATGCGTGGTGTGCCTCGACCGTCATTCGAGCACTTTGAGGACCTTGCCAATGGCGATGGTTTTCCCTTCATCACGCAGAGTAAAACGACCCATTTGAGGGAAGTTCTTGAAACTTTCAATGCATATGGCTCCTGATGTTTGTAAGCGTGCGATGACAGTTTGATCCTACAAAATATAAGTTCAAATCAGTTCCGAGTTTTTCTAATTATTAATATGAGGTTATCTGATAAGGACATCTATTTATAAATCCTAATTTATAAAATTGTGAAAGTTCAAATACAAAATTCATGATGTGAAACAAATAATTTAAAAGACCAAGGATCAATATATGTTGGAAAAAAGCAACTGGAGCTCAGGAAACAGTTGCTTTGGAAATACGACATTTACTTCCAGAACTAAACAATCAAACCCCAGTGAAATAAAATAAGCAAAACATTGCAAGACTGCATATGGTATGATAGAAACACCACTTGGACCACTCATTACTAAACACTCTTTTCAGCAAATCACAATTTGACAAAACGACTAATTTGAGAACAAATTTTTAATTACATTCTTGGGACAAAGTTTGAAATTCTGCCTTAGATTTAATTATTTCTACCAAGCCTAGTTACAAACCAACTAACCTGTTTAACAAATTTAGGCCTTCCTTTCACTTTTTCCCCAGTTTTTCTGTCCAATAAACAAATCAGCAGTTTAATTTCTACTTCTTCAATGCACCTGAAAAACATAAAAAAACGTTGGTTATGTTATTGTACTATATACACACTTGTCATTGCTTTTTAATACTTCCTCTCCTAATATGGATGGAAAAATATTTATTGATCTATCATGATCAATGTATTTTAGTCACAAACCTAACACTTTTGTTTATTAGTAAAAGCAAATTGAGCCCACACAACGTCAGGTCGAATACAATTTGAAATAAACGAATATTATACCTAATCCAGGTCACAGCATTTTCAGTAAATTGAAACATTACAATGATATTGAACTAATATTATTTTCCATCTATCTACCATTCGAATTCAGTGATTCAACTTTTGAGATACACAGTATGTGCTTGATCAAATAAATGTAAAAATTAATCGCTGGTATTTTATTTTTACACCTATTCTATAACTAATTTCATGTAATAGATTCGTTTTCCCATTCCCATTGTCCGAGAGGCTTAGTCATCTCACTATAATATCAATATAGCTGTTTCAAATTCCAGCTGGCAGTAAGTTAAATATGTCCATGATACATATATTTTAATGACCCAACATCCCTATACAAATTATACTCCAATTTTGAAGCACTTCATAAAGTAATAAGTAGCAAAACATGTGATAAGCAAGAATTCACCAATCATGCTTTTACTTACGTATGAATATGTAGTATAGCACTATATCCTGCACAAATAATAGATTTATATTCAATAATAGCAATCTGAGCATCAAATAAACATCCAGTTGAACATAGATTGTCTGGTGAACATAGAACAAATCCCTGAAAATGAAAGAAAAATAACTTTGTTTTTAATTCAGTCAAAAATAATGAAATGAAGACTATTTTATGCAATTAAATTTTTAAAACTCCGTATTAAAATTTGAATGGTGCAACATAATTTCAATCTAATGGTATCACTGGAAAGCTATCTTCAACTTCTACAAATGTTGTTGATAATGTACTAGGTTTAATCGAAAACAAATTGAAGTTTTTTCAATTAGATTTAGAATTTTTCAGAAGTTTTTTATGCTTTTTAATTTTGCCAATTTTCATAAGATGATCACAATATTTTATCTCAATTTTAAAATGATACGTAGTCCTGTAGATTATCTTTCACACGATGTAAAACTTGTCTAAATATAATATATGGTTCGCAAGATATGAGGGTTTCAAAGTTGCATAGCTCATACGGGATGCCAAGCCGCTAAAGCGGCTTTCAGCGTCAGAAGACTTTCTCGGGAAAGCCGCTATTGCGGCTTTCAGGGTTCAATGAGTTAATTTCATTTACATACCTTCGAAACTTCATCATCATCTACGTTGTCAAGTCTCAACTTGCAATTCTCACCAGCCATTGCTTCGTCTGTTTCAACGTCATCCGATAAAATATTCAAAACTGGATAGGAAACAAACACAAAAAGTCACTCAATTATCAAAATCATTGCTTCACCAATAAAGCAACCAAATTTTATAAACAAAAAAAAATCGAAAATGGCTGTCATTCATAAGAGACCCAATTCTGTCCTATACTTTACAATTAAAATAACCAATCAAAGTATGTGGCGCTTGCAATCCGCTCTTTAGGTTTACCACAGTCAACAATGGATTGATCCCTTGTTTCGATGGTTGCTTGCCCAGAGACTTATTCATGACAAAGTCAAGAAAGTCATAAAAAGCAGATAGCCTACAATAATTACCTTTCACCCTTCGCTTGTTTGGTTGCATTATGACATGCATTCCTTTTGTCAAGGTGCCAGATTCTAGTTTACCAAGTACGATTGTTCCCATGTCTTTATACTTGTCGACAATCGGTAGACGAATCGGACCTTTGCCTGATCTGTGCATTGTAGGCAACTGATCGAGATATGGAATAAGAGGAAGGCCATTGTACCATTCTTTGTGATTGCCATCTGATGTAAGTAGGTTGGCACCTAAGAAGAGAAGAAATAATAAAAAAGTTTTCACTTTTATCATTTTATCTACGACAATATGTGTGCGACAGTGTGGCGCATCGAGCTAAGCATTAGGAATACGCTCGTCACCGCACCTCTGATTGCCCTGCGAGGGTTCGCTGTTTCAAATCCCATGCGGGGATAGTTATGTACAAGAGGATTGCTGGACTCCTCGCCGCCGCAGGGTGGTTCACATAATCGCTAGTCGGTTGTGGCTTCCTCCACCATCAAGTTCATGCTTCTGTAAACAAATAACTGGCTAACTAATCCCATACCTGACATGGACTGGTAACCGGACGAGAGGTCGTGGTTCGCCATATGATTGAGTCGTCTTATCAAATTTAGTAATAACACAAAATTAAACAAATATTTAAAACAGTACCTGTCAGACCAGAACATGGCATATAATGTACAGTCTTGGGATTGAACCCAATTTTCTTCAAAAATGGAGTCAATCCCTCTTTGCATTCATTGTACCTATCTATACTCCAACGAACAGTAGAATCGTCCATTTTATTGATGAGCACAATCAAATATTTAACTCCAGCAGTTTTTGCAAGCATAGCGTGTTCCCTCGTCTGTCCACCTCTTTCAAAACCGGTCTCAAATTCTCCTCTTCTGGCCGAGATGACAAGAACAGCAACATCTGCTTGAGAAGCTCCGCCAATCATGTTAGGGACGAAGCTTCTATGGCCAGGGGCATCTAGTATTGTGAAATGTTTGTTTTCAGTTTCAAAATATGCTCGTCCAACCTCTACAGTCTTTCCTTTATCTCGTTCTTCTTGGTTGGTATCAACAACCCAGGATAAGTACCACGTCTCACGATTCTTCTCTTTTGCTTCACGTTCATATTTTTCAAGTGTTCTTTTGTCTACCATTCCTGTTAAATACATAATTTGGCCACCAATAGTTGACTTTCCAGCATCAACATGGCCGATAAATACAACGTTCAAATGATCTTTCTTAACTTCAGTTTCAGAAGCAGGGCGTGGTTTTTTCACTTCTACTATATCTTCTTCCTCTTCTTTCAGTTCAACTTCCTCGTTTTCGTCTTCAACTTTGACCTCTTCATTTTGAGCAGTGTCTTCCCAATTTTCAGCAGCAGGCTTAGCATTTGGAACATAATCTGCCTCTGGAAGTGGAGCTTCTTCATTCATTGATGGTGTATCACCAACAGACGATGGTTCAATATTTTGTGCTAATTGTTCCCCTCCGACAGCTCCTTGAGAAGGCAGATCTTCCTGCTGTGTCATTGGTTTAGTAGGCTGAGCAGAAGGCACGGCTGGTTGTGGTGACTTCAAGAAGGACGGTATGAACTCAGCAGCACCAACATTAGGCACAAATGGTCTTGCATTGACATTCAGGGATGCCAGATTGTTGGCGACCTCTTGGTCCCACGAATCTGGGATATTCTCACCATTCATTTTTTTTAATGGTAATTTGTTCAAATGCAAATTTTTTAATTTATATACTGAGTTGCCAAAATATATGGCATCTGAAAAACTGCAATAAATATTCATTTAATGGATTCTCGAAGTATTTTATAAGAAAAAAATGCTTTACAAAATAAATTCAAACAGTTCTAGAATAGCCTTTAATAAGACTGTAAGTAGGTAAGAGGTGTTTTACTTGTGAACGATAAAATGTACGGTAAAATGTAGCGTTATACCATAAGCATCATTAAACAGTTAAACTAGAAACTTGAATAGTCTTTGAAAGTATGTGGGAAAGTTTCGAAAACGAAACAAGAGACTGATATTCTTCCTACTGTATAAAACATTTTTATACAAGCTGAAAAGGATACAGAAGTGAAAATTGCAGTCTCAAGTCAACAGGTCCTTAATGAAAAACAACAGGTTTACATTCGAAATATACGGATATATTACTGTGAAACACCATTCCATAATTACAGATTAATTAAAACCCAACAATGTATGAATGTAGGCCTGATACAGTAATACCATATCGGAATGAACAGAAATCAAGAATAAGCTGCTCTATGGGAGGTGAACAGCCCACATGTTGACATCAGCACATACCGTACCGTACTGCAGTACGGCACACTTTACAGATCGAGAGACAATCTCTCGTTTTAGAGAAACCTATTTTAACGGTGATCGAATATCCCTCCTTTGATGGACGTCTGGCGGATTTTGTCTCCCGATATCGATAAATTGAAGCTGCGCAGTAAACTAACAAAAAGCGCAATCTAAAACCATCACCATTGAATTCCTCGTGAAAAAATAATCAGATCTACCGATGTAAAAAAAATTTTACCGGTGCGTTCAAAGAAATGAGCAAAAAACGATTGACGGCGTGTGACGTCACTGAATTTTAATCGACGCACGCAGGCACGCATCGGCCGTTCCTCGACGTAAACCTTGGCGTGCCGTGTTTCTCTCATTTTCAATGTAGATAGGATGGCGTGTTAACGATAATAAATGGATCAGAGATAATAAAAATTACATTTTGATAACACACAATCGATAAACAGTAAAATTAATGCCTCGATATAGCATTAGATGAATTAGTTCTAAAGCAATAATTTAATCTAATGCCGCAACGAGACATTCATATGCCGCAAAATGTGCAACTTGCGTAATTTATACAAGAATAGATCGGCGAAAAACGAGAATCAAATTAGCAAAATACCTTAATATAATGCCACATCGATGTATTCATATGCCGCAAATGTTCAGTTTGCATAATTTATACTAGTATAGATCGGTAAAAAACAAGATTAAAAATAATATAATGTCCCATCGATACATTCATATGCCGCAAATGTTTAACTTCGAAAGTTACGGTATACGAGAATAATTTAATTCAATGCCACATCGAGGCATTCATATGCCACAAATGTTGATCTAAACGAAAATAATTTAATTCATATGCCGCAAATGATCAACTTGCGTAATTTACACAATAATAGATCGGCAAGAAACAAGAATCAAATTAGCAAAATAATGTAATATCATGCCGCATCGATGTATTCATATGCCTCAAATGTTCAATTTGCGTAATTTATACTAGTATAGATAGTTGAAAAACAAGATTCAAACTAATATAATGCGGCATTGATACATTCATATGTCGCGAATGTTTAACTTCGAAGTATACGGAATACGAGAATATTTTAATTCAATGCCACGTCGAGGCAATCATATACCGCAAATGTTAATTTGCGTGATTTATGCAAGAATAGATAGGTGAAAAACAAGAATCAAATTAATATAATGCCGCATTGATGCATTCGTATGCCGCAAATGATCAACTTGCGTAGTCTGTGAAAAACAAGAATCAAATTGGAAAAATAGTTTAATCCAATTAATCATCGAGGCTTTTATTTTACTATGGATTGTTGACGCTCAAATTTAAATAAAAATCTGGAATATAAATATTAAATGATATCGTAATTCGTAATCGTTGTGCGTTCTGGAAGTTTCAGTTCTAAATAACCGAAGATGCTATGTTAAATTGTTGTAATTACAGGTATTAACGGGCATACAAAGTTTCACTATCGATATTAATTTAACTATCGAAAAAAAAAACTTCGATATCGTGCATCGTTTTGACTTCGTTATACGACAATTCAAACGATGTCATGTAGTCACAAACACTTATAATAAAATTAGTTGGACTCGTAGACGTATTAATCGAAACGCCTAATTTTGTAATCTCTTGATATTATTTAAAAGTAATTATTTTATTCACAGACGTTTGCATTTACGCGACATTATTTTAATTAGGCACTACCAACAGTAGACTGAATATAATGATTCAGAAATACATCGTATATCTAACCATAAATAGGTCAGTATACATCGGTAAAAAACGAAAATCAAATTAGCAAAATTCGAGAGCCGTGCCGAACTGCCGATCTGTGCGTGACTTTCTTTGACGTCATATCCAGACATCTGACGTTCTCACGCATCGAGCTCGCAGACGACTCGACGCCCCCCGTTTCACAGACGCCTATTCATATTTTGGCTCTTCCGGAATGTAGACGCAAATCCGGATTCGGGATAGTGTGCCGTACTGTACTGACATAGATACATGAGGAAACAGACAACTACTCAATTATCCTAAAACCACCTACGGTACCGGTTTGGATTACTGGATTATCACATTTGATCATGAGAGATGCTCCCCTGACAGCCTGAAGAAACTGAGGGTCTGGTATAGTTTAGTACCACATGCACTTCTAGTTGGCCTGGCTCAACAATTTTCGCATATGTTAATCCTAACCCCCACCTGACTACGTCAACAGAAAATTACGTCATTTCGACGTCACAGTGGCGTAATAAGGCCCACCAAAGTATGCGGATGATCGTCCAAAACGCGCAGACGGTCACCCGAAATCGAGCAAGCTATTTCTCTCGTTTTCTCGTCACAACGATCACGATCGGAGACAGATCGTCGGCGTTAGCGACTCGTTATCGGCAACGCAGATGCCATTTCGGGCGATCGTAATTACACTTTTGCAATCCTATGACGTGATGGTGACGTCGTAGTGACGTAATTTTTTGATAGCATAGTCAGGTTGGGGTTAGGAATAACATATGCAAAATTCGTTATGCTACGCCCACTAGTACTTGTGGTACTAAACCATACTAGACCCGAAACTGAAGTCTATTTTTCACTTTTTTTATTATAGAACCAGGTCACTCACTCAATACTTGAACTTAAGATTTACATATTTATCCCAGAGAAAAGAAAAGCCTATAAGACACCTCTATCATATGGCAGTATGGCGTACCATCAGACCATGCAGTCATGGCCTCTCGCCCGTTTACAGATTTACATGGTTGTCAGTCCATGTACCGGTACGTAGTGCACGGTATGGAATTAGTTAGCCAGTTATTTGCTTCAGATGCATGGATCTCACAATATGAATAGAATATGAAATAATAAAAACACTGCTCATCTTGAAAACGGTTAATAATGATGGAAAAGTACCTACATTGCTGGAACGCACGTGAATATGAAATCTCCAACACTCAATGCCCAGCCTTCTACGTCACATGGCTCAGAAAAACATGACCGCATTGCATTGTCATACGTCATAACTGACTCAGTCAAGCAAAACGACCAATTTCGATTTTGCGCTCCCTGTAATGATAGGGACAACGATTTCTCCAAGCTTGCATTCCTCCTCAGAGAGGAATTTTGTTTGGTATTTACTGTAGTATAACTACTATTATTCTTTATTATTACTACTATAATGCACACATAAAGTAACTAAACTGTACAAAAGCGTGAATGCGACTCTCCCATTCAGGGGCGGATTTAGCCCCTTTGGTGCCCTAAGACTTTGGTGCCCCCTCATCCTCATGTGTAATTTAATTATAAAAACCATAAACCACATAAGTGTATTATTCATTAAAAATAATCACAACCAACAGTAAATAAAACAACTTTTACGGACATTTTTAGTTTTTTTAACTGTTATATATAGCCGATATATATATCGATATATACTTCCGATATCATATATCGGCAAACACGCAATATCGGGCCGATATATCGGTTGAGCTCTAATCCCGAGGGAGTGAGACAATACAGATTCATGCCTCCAGTCTCAACGCGAATCGAAATATCAAAGTATACAAGTCACACCTGTAGTTTGAAATTTTACCAGTAGGCTACCTTGTTGTCTACCTCAGGGTGGTTCAAGGTTGCTAGATTGAGAGACCGCAAAAACTTTTGAGGAGGTCTCGCGGGCCGAAAGTCGGAGAAAACCCAGAAGTGATCGAAATATCGCGAGTTTACTTACTTAAAATTTAATGAACAACGAGTTTACCGTTTTAATCAGACAATTATTATGTTGCATGGGTGGCGTTCTTTTAAAGAAGATATATAAAGCCTTCAGTTATTTTAAAGGTAATTACCGTTGTCAAATTATATTCTTTCGTGACAGATATTACTTGAAATCAAACCAGACACTGTGTGATGGACAAAGAAATACGTTTCCGCCGTGATTTCCTTATGTCCCCTTTCTTGCTACGCTCATTTTATTAAGAGTTGTTATATTGAGTAATTTAAAAACTTGCAGCGTGAGCAAGCTTAGTGCCATCGTCAACTACCAACCAAGTCCGTCTAAGTTGGTGTTTCGGGGAAAAATTCAGAAACGTTCCTACATTAGATACAAATATACGCTAAAATTGTTCTGTGAGCCGCACGGAATGTATCAGCATGACAGATCTACCTTATCAAAAAACTCCCGACTTCGCTGACCACTAGATCGTTGAAATGCGATCGTGGAACCGCCACATAGTGTAAATAGTTCATTGGTCCAATTGTTGAAGAGAAAAGGAATTTTTTTTAAACAAAAATGCAGCAACAAGGTGAATACTAAAAGAAAAAACAACAACAATTTAAGAAAACGACTCATAGGCCCATTTCGTGTCAAAAAAAAAAACGTTTCAGTGTATATTTTCAATAAAGAAGGTTCATATAATATGAAAATAAGCGAACATTTTGAAGTTTGAGTCGTCTGGTGAACTCGTAATGTTTTAATAAACA